ATTTTTCATTTTCTTGTTGCTTTCATACTTTTTTCGTCGTTGCTCTGACACTGTGTTTTGTGTCCATCGTTCACATTTTTTTCTCGTTCATTGAGCTTTGTTTTGCGGTCATGTGTCGTATTTGTCATTTCCAGTTCGTTGTTGCTTTCTTATCAATTTTATTTTGTTATTACTTATATTTGTGACGTATTTGGATTTTTTTCTTTCGTTATTGTCACTTTGGCTTTCCGTACTTCTCGTTTTGCCAATATGATTTCGTTAATCTGCCTCACTGTGCTGCTGCTACTGCGGCTAAGAAATGTGTAATTGGATTCGTAAGTAGGCTCACTGAAGTGTATATTATCAGGAGCTGTGTGTAGAAAAGCTTGTACTTTGATCTGTACTCGTTATTTACGTTGAAATTTTCAATTCTTTTTTCTCTCGCCTTCTTCTTCTTCTTCTTTTTCGCTCATTGTTTTTTTTTTGTTCGCGTTTTTTTTGTGTGTGTTCCTTTACTTGTGAATTGTTTCACACTCCGATTTCAGTACTTGTTTATGATAATAAAATATAATTATTTACACGATGACTTTCGTCGCATGATCAAGTGATGGGCTGGCCGAAACATGATTAAAATTATATATTAATAGCAAACGCAAAGAATAGCAAACTGATGATGCCACTGATACACATGCTGCTGATTGATAGCCGTCCTCGTGATTACAGTACCGTTACATTGTTTCTCTCCCATTTACTTTATATTCTCAGATTTTTTATTCTCTTTCCTCACGCTTTTTTCTCTCTCTCTCTCTCTCCTTCTCCCTCTCCCTCTGTCTTTCAACTGTTGCAATCAATTCAATTTTGAGTTGAAACGTGCTTTCCAGTCAATGTTAAAAAGGTGTATGAACTATTCGGTGATAAGATTCCTTTTTTTCCTGCTGTGACTACTTGTGAATTGCTTCTGTGGCAAATTCAATGTTCCCACTGACACATACACTGATACACTGATACATACACAGAGCCAATTTCATTTTTTGCTCGAAAAGAATTTCAGCAGCCACAGCAGCAGCAGTGGCAGCAGCAGCGGCAGCAACAACCGATTACAACGACCCCGGAAAGCCGGTTGTCTTTGTGCAGTGAAGATTGAAATTGGAAAATGATGATGCGATGTGCAATACCAAAGAAAAACTCTTTACCTAGGCAATATTTGTCAAAAATGTATGAAAAGTCATTTGTGCTGCGAACGCTACAAAGAATATCTTGAAAAGATTAAAAGAATTCGAAAAACAAAGACTTGAAATGGCGTTGTCAAACCATCAATTGCTCTTCATATCTCATTCTTTGTGTGTGTATTCTAGCCAAAGTGCGAATGTACACACACAGATGGAAACCGAGAGAGAGAGAGAGAGAGAGAGAGAGAGAGAGAGAGAGAGAGAGAGAGAGAGAGAGAGAGAGTAGAACGAGAAAGTGTTCTTGACGTGTGAAAACTCCTTGTATTGGGCTCAGGGCGAAAATTTACACATTTCCATTGCGTTCACCAAATGATTATGACGATGATGATGGTAGTGGTAGTGGTGGTGATGGTGAGGCACTTTGGCTCGTTAAATTTCTATGCGTGTAATATCTTTGTCACTTCTTTTCCTTCTTTTATGACAATGAGATACAACATAATAACAAGATCATTGGCGAGTGATAAGTGCTTTGTACTCAGGCGTTAGAGTGTGCAATGTATTATCACAGCTAAGCTGAGTTATCATGCGTGCACTTTGCACAATCAGCTTGAGTGTGTCTGCGCTTTTCTATCTATCTATCTCTCTCTCTCTCTCTCTCTCTCTCTCTCTCTCTCCACATAAACGCACACTTTTCCAAGCTGTTTCCGTTCTGGTCGCGTTTCCCCGTGGTTACACCCAATCTTTCGAATGCTTCGATTTTATTCACAACACCGGATAAAAAGCAACAAGAAGAACGCCAAAGTGACGAGACACGAGTGATTGAAATATCATGAAGCTGCCGCTAAATAATAATAATAATGCAACGAAATGTTAACACACACAAAAAAGCAATTTCCAGTTGCACACATGCTCTTGCTCCATTGCTGCTTCTACACACAGAGAGAAAGAGAGAGAAAGAGAGAGAGAGAGAGAGAGAGAGAGAGAGAGAGAGAGAGCAGATCGCTAGCGAGTCTAATTGTTGCTATATTTTTATCCATTGCATATATGCATAAACGTATTGAGAAATAAAAGTATGTAGAGATTCACAACGTGTTCGAGTGTGTGTCCGTGATCAAATAATAAATTATGCATCAATGTTCTTAAAAATCGCTTGTGCATGTCTGCATTTTATTCATTCTCTCCCTCTATTTGTTCCATTTCTGATTGCCTTTGCAACACAAGGAAAATTATCCGGGTTCGATAGGAATGGGCATTCATATATTGTGTATCGATTTAAAAATTATCGCCACATATTCTTGGTGGTGGTGATGATAATGATGACGCGTAAAATGAGACTTTCACCAATTCATTCATGCATCGGATGATGATGGTGAATAAAATTTGTACCGTTGGTTGGTTTTGTCATCGGAGATTTTGCATTTTCCACGAGAAAATGCAGGATTTGAACCCTTCAAACTCACGGAACAAAATGTGGCGGATGATGGAAAAAATAGAGAAGAACGTAGTCAAAATCATTTATACGAATGTTCAACGTGAATTTTTGGCCACACAAATTATTAGCATTTGCTTGTTGATGATGCTCAGCCGACCGAAAGTAAAATTCACTTAATATTCGGGTGAATAATTATGAAACCACAAACAATATCGTGGTGTGTGTATGTATGTGCTTAGATCTAACGTTTATTTTGTGTCGCCAGAACGTTGTTGCCTTACATTCTTTGCTAGCTGGCTCTTACTCTCCCCCACTCGCTGTCTTTTTATTTTAATTTTTTTATTTTTTTGAAGAAGAAACAAACAAAATAAGAAAGTTCTTCATCAAATAAAACATTATTTCAGCTCTTTTGCATCTCTGTTTCACAGATGACTAAAATCGCCTAAATACACTGGTTTGGGCTGTGTGCTTCGCATTGTGAGGGAGAGTGAGACAAAAGTCAGCCATTGCGATTAAGCGCAATGAAATCTGAAATTTATGAGAATCGAGATTACGCGGCGTGCGTGTAAAGCATGTTACATCGCTAAAAGTTAATTAATCCGATTAAATGGATTGCATTTATGTGTACTGTTTTTGGTTTTCTGTGGCTGACTGGCTTCGTACTGTACATGTACTCTCACGTTTGTGTCTCTATTTTCGCCAACCTGAATACAATGGCAAATGCAGTCATTGTGTGTGTGCTATGTGTACCGGTTCGGTGTTGCGTTCCGAAAAATTTCAAAAGCTGTGCGTTTTAGTTGTTGGCATCGTCGTCGTCATTCTCCGATTTATCTATTGCCAAACGGTGGTAACGTTACGCTTTATCTAAATAAATTAAAATTTTTATGTGTCTTTAAGTCACGTTTGCACTTCTCTCAAAATATGTTGGGTGCGGATTTTCATGCTTGAAACAAAACCGAATATAATTGCAAATGCTGGGCTTGTTGTCGTTGTAAGTCGCCTCGAAAAGCGGAAATTTGTTGCTTGAGATTTCTCTCTCTCTCTCTCTCTCTCTGCGTCGCTCTCGCTGCATTTGAATATTTAGCGATTAATTTGGTCGTTTTGCGGTAAGCTTGTTAACAAAGTTAAAGCTGAGATTTTCATCGTCGTTTCGGGGTTGAGCGTTGAGAAAAAGCGACAGCTGAACACAACAATAAAGCAACGAAATCAATTTTTCGTATCGGATAAATTCGAAATTGATTCAAATGTTCATTCTCTTTCTCTCTCTCTCTCTCTATCTCTATCTCTATCTCTATCTCGTTGAATTTTTGTCGCAAAGGTGTGGCTATGACTTACTTTTCTATCGAAGCACTGTGCATTTGCAATTACGCTAAATTTAGCTTGGCGCGGTAATGCAGAGAACAAGAAAAAAAAAACAATGATTTCCACTAATGAGCAATTCAAATATAATTCCAGATAATAAATGTTATGGGTTATGTGCGTAATAAAGTTCCAAGCGTGCTTGAAACGTGTGCATGGGGGGAGGGAATGGTAAAGGAAAAACGCGTAACCTGTGTATGTGTTATCATAGTTGATGATAAATTCCGAAACAAACGTTTATTATGAGAATCTCGTGAATAAACAACACAACCGCCGCACCACGACTCAAACAATAACAATAATAATTAAATATAAAATGAATCTTCCGTGTTCGCTCATCAATCCATTCACACGCTCTATCTCGCGTTCCTTATTTCAAATCGCCACAATCTCAATCAAGTGTGTGGTAAAGGTTTGCTGACGTTTGTGCCAAACACACATGTGTTGTTATTCACATAGTTGGCAGAAAAACCAGGCAAAACTCTAATACTATCAGAAGATAAGAACTCCTTTTTTGTTGTTCTCCTTCCGAACGCAAACGTGTTTTCATTTTTTCGGGTGATTGACTAATCACTTATGGATTAAAAAACTTTAGATCGTATATTTCGCATGCTTCAATGAACGATTACAATAAATAATTAAATCAAACAAATCAAGTACGGAGGAAAATGAATAAAACTATAGTAATAAATTATTATTGAAATCAATTAATTGCCCCCCTCAACGAAAGAATCTCTCACTCATCTCTCAGCACTATTCTCGACGCAGTTTTCTGTCGGCAACAATGACAATAACAATAAAATTAAAACAATTATGCAAAATTAATTCATGGATTCGTACTTCGGAAAATAATATTCATTTAATTCATTGAACCAATTTTTTTTTTCTTCATTAAACATTAAAATTTGTTGATTCAACTATTTCGAAAATTTTAACCGACATTTTTTTTTTTTCAAAAGAGACGAATATTTGAATGCATCCATCCCATCCGCTATACTTGTGTATAAAATGTGTGTCTGTGGTGGAATGGCTCACGTGTATGTGATCTGTCAAAAATATACACAAATAGCCACAAGTTATTGCCAATATTATAAACAACTGCTCCGTTGTTGACAGTTTGAATTAGTTTTATTGAATCATAATTTTTTCTCTTTCTATTTCGACAATGTTTATTTAAAATAATTTATTTATATTATTATTTGGCAAGTTGTTAATGTCGTGCACACAAAGTAGTGTTTGACAGTGTAAAAAAGTAAAATGAGCGCCGCAGAATATCTAAGAAAGGCGGTCGAATATGACGTGACAGGCCGAAAATTGGAATCGCTCAAGCTGTATGAAACTGGCATTTCAGCATTATTTGAAACATACAAATGTAATACATTTTATGCACAATTTCATTCGATATACAAATTATGTCATTTGACGTTTTCATGTTACCATTAAACAAACTGAATAATTTTTTTTACACTTTTTTCTCTAGCTGAAACCGATGCAGCGAAGAAAAAGTATTTCCAAAGTAAGATCAGCGAGTATATGAAACGAGCGGAAGAAATCAAGGTGAAAATTAAAGAACGACAGAGCCGAGGAGAAATGAAAGAAAAAATACATATATTGGCCAATGGCACAGGTTATGGTTATGAGCAAATTTTTGGGAAATATCTCGACGATGGTGTCAAAGAGATTGCATTAGAAGAACCCTACCTTAGAGAGTATTATCAAGTATGATCCTTTTTTATGACAATATTTTTGCATTTTGTTGATTATTCGATTGTCTGAATGAAATATGGATTCCGAATACATGAAAATACAATAAGTTTTACTAAATTCATATTGCAGTTAATCAATCTGGTACGATTTTGTGAGCTAGTCGTGTCGAAATGTCGATTTTTATCGTATATAAGTGTAACAACGGTGGCCATTCCGGGAACCAGTCAGCATCATGATCAAAAAACAGCATTTCAGGCGCTCACCAATGACTTGAAGAGTAGAAACATTACATTGAAATTCGATTTTTCGGAACAATTGCACGATCGACAAATTATGTAAATATATATCAACTTTGAACAAACAAACATTTTTACCAAATTTACTGATGATATCTCTGTTCTATTTCATTAGTCTAAGCAATGGATACGTAATCAAAATCGGTCGTGGTCTCCACTACTTCCTTCCCGCTGATAAATTTTGCCTCGGCCAATACAACTACGATTTTCGCAAATGCAAAGAAACTAATGTCGACATTTTTTACTGTCCTGAGAATAAGACAACATGATCACATCGAAACCATACTCCGAGCATGTATATGGAGTTTCAATACATTACATTTGGTACGGGCGTCTAACTCCATCTACGGATTTTTCCAGTAGTTGTGATTCGAGTATATGACGATTTCAACTATTTTTGGGCGAAATTATCTCAAAAATATACAAAAATGAGTTATTTGAGCGTTCGCATAGCTCAAACGGCTACCGGAAATGTATGCGCAAATACACGCACTCAAGTGTATTGTAAATTTGTTATCTAGTAACCATTGCATGTCTACTGAATAGTACATTAACAATACAGTAGTCGTTTGAGCGTTCGCATGACAAATAACTCATTTTAGCATACTTTTGAGATAATTTCGCCCAAAAATAGTTAAAACCGCAACTCAATAGAACACAACTGATGGAAAAATCCGTAGATGGAGTTAGACGTTTCAAATACGTCATGTTCTCGTTGTGATCAAAACATCGTGCTAGGATTAAAAAATTATACTTTGCAATGCAATCAAGTTTTGCTGGTGTATAAAAATCATTTTGAAGCAACCGCCCGTTGATTCAATATTCAAATCATACACTTTTTTACTACGATATTCGTTATAGTATTAAAATATTGTTATTCAAATTTGTAAGGTAGACATTTGTCTCAAATAAATTTTGTATAAAGTAGAGGTTCAAATTTTATCTGCTTTTCTAAACGAAATGACATGTCAATTGATGCGCATATCAATTTATAATTGAAACTGTTCTGTTTTCCATTCATTTCTATTCATGTTTCTCTAAAAAAAATTATAGAAAAATAAAATCACAACTACGCCCGTTTTAAGTGGTAAATGAGTTTTTTTTATGAAACCATGAAAGTAAAACCCCAATAGAAATCCCATTTGTGATATTCCAAACGTCATGAAACTTTCTGGATCTTATTTTTTTACCAAAAAACTCAATCTTTGAAATTTTGAAGCCAATCGAAAGCGATTTACGGGTACCTTCCATACAAATTTTCTTATTTTCTTCATAAAATTGACAAAACAGGCCAAATTTGTACGGAAGGTACCCGTAAATCGCTTTCGATTGGCTTCAAAATTTCAGGGATTGAGTTTTTTGGTAAAAAAAATAAGATCCAGAAAGTTTCATGACGTTTAGAATATCACAAATGGGATTTTACTTTCATGGTTTCATAAAAAACTCATTTACCTATCTAAATCTTGTGCTGACCTGAAATCCCCATAAACAAGCCACAGATATAGCTTTCGGTGCTTGATTTGAAGCTGGCTAAAAGTTTTGGATGGGCAGACTGTCGAAAAATTTAAGAAGTTAAATTAAAAAAGAAAGATAAGGCTCGACTTAAGTGGAAGAGAACCGCTCTGGACAGTGATTATCAGTTTTTCTCTGATCTTAGAAAGGAATGCAAACTGAAAATTGAACAGTGTTACAGTAATTACTTAAATAACCTCCAAGCAAATATCAAATCAAACATAAAACTGTTCTGGGCATTCACTAAGAGAAAGAAACAAACAAATAGCTACCCATCATCATTTAAGTATAACAATGTCATAGTCTCAAGACCCGGGGAAATTTGTGAACTGTTTGCCACTTATTTCAAGTCAACTTACAACAACCGTTCATCAGACCGTTCAATCAACATCACCAATACCGTTCATTCAAATACCGATCAATCATTCCACATCACACCTGTTGATGTTGAAACAATTATCGATAAAGTTGACTTAAATAAGAACGGCGGATCAGATGGCATTCCCAATTATTTCCTGAGACAGACTTGTAAGCAAATTTCAATACCACTTTCAATGATTTTCAACCGATCACTCCGGTCAGGCATCTATCCAGATGAATTCAAAACGTCATTCGTGACACCAATTTTCAAGAAAGGTGATGAGTCATTGGTATCGAACTATAGACCAATTTGTATGTCTAATTCTATAGCTATTATCTTCGAAAAAATCGTTAACTTACACCTGATATCAATGGTTGAAGATCAAATCACACCTAGGCAACATGGGTTTATGAGAAATAAGTCAACCAATACAAATCTGATTGAGTACGTAAGCTATGTGTCAAATGCCTTGGATGAAAAGTGTGAAGTGCATGCCGCATACACCGATTTCTCCAAAGCATTCGATACTGTTGACCACGAAATTCTTTTGTCTAAACTGGCAAACTTTGGTATTGAAAAGAAACTCATAGGCTGGTTCAGATCATATCTTACTAATAGGCGAATGTATGTCACCTTCAATGGTGATAAATCAGCAACATTTGAACCAACTTCGGGGGTTCCTCAGGGCTCAGTTCTGGGACCAATTTTATTCAACATTTTCATCAATGACCTTAGTCATATCCTAAAATGTGAGTTTCTCCTATTCGCTGATGATCTAAAAATTTATATCAAAGTAAAATCTCAAGTAGATGCTGACAGACTTCAAAACGACATCGATAGACTGCACGAGTGGAGTGTAGTCAACAAATTACTTTTAAACATTGAAAAATGTCACGTGGTGATCTTTTCAAATAAATCCGTTCCATCTCAACCGCTGTATACTATGAATACCACTTCGCTCACTCAGTGCCAGATATTGCATATTTACTGCTGAGTAGGCCTGAGCTGAGCTGAATTTGCTAACTCAGGCGCCTGAAGCGGTATTTTAGCGTACTTACGGTGCAAAATTGTCGTGGCACGCTGAAAATCCCACTGATTTTTTTTTTTTTCTAATTATATTTGGGTAAATTCCAGCGTGCTACGACAATTTTGCACCGTAAGTACGCTAAAATACCGCTTCAGGCGCCTGAGTTAGCAAATTCAGCTCAGCTCAGGCCTACTCAGCAGTAAATATGCAATCTCTGCTCAGTGCAGTTCTGTCAAAGATCTGGGAGTCATCTTTGATGACAAACTCAAATTCGATGAACATATAAACTCAATCGTAAAAAAATCTAACAGCATGTTGGGATTCATAATGAGAGCAACAGCCGATTTCCAGGACCTGACATGCCTAAAGTATTTTTACAATTCTTTGGTGAGATCTAGATTGGAATACAACACTGCGGTGTGGAATCCCTATCAGATCAATCATAAAGAGAAAATTGAAAGAGTTCAAAGGAAATACACTAGAATTGTTTTCTTTAAACTCAGACAAAATCCTCAATCATATACCAATCGCATCAAATACTTAAATATGTTAGAACTGGAAATGAGAAGGGAATACTTTGATGCATGCTTACTACATAAATTAGTACACAACCGGAACTATTGCTCACATTCTAGACCGTACTTCAGAATAAGCCGACGGTCGAATAGATCGAACATACTTTTCAATCCTCAACCTATACAAATAATGATTATGGGCTTCACAGAAATCCTGTGACTAGAACGCAGTTACTATACGAAAGAAAATTCAAAGCAACTAATATTCTTGATGCAAACTATGAACTGTTTAAAAATAAAATAATGAGCAACTTCAGTCAAAGTTGAAATATTAAAATAATTGATGCAAATAGCAATATAATAAGGCAATGTTTTAACTGCATCAGTTGAGATAATTTACTTGCAATCGAATTTAAAATTATAATCAATTCTTATTTTCTACAACTTATTAATTTTAAATTAAATAATTATACTATTTTTTCTTTTGCTTTTTACTATTAGTAATATATTGCCAAAAAGTAATTAGAAAATGTAAAATTGAAACTCAACAAAAATGTGATCAGAACTCATAGGTGAAGAATGTTATTGGGATTTTTCCTGTTTTCAACACCATTATAAATCAATAAAAATAAAAAATAAAATAAAAATGAGATTTACCAAAACAATTCACCATAATGTGAAAGTGAAATACTGAGGGTTTCCATAAACTGATATTCTTGCCTATTTGAACCCAAAAATGGTCAGAAGTGCTTGTTTTTTTATTACTGATTTAGATTTTTCGGACCATTTTCCACAACTTTTGCCTCATTTAACTCACTGTTTAACGTGAAAAATTCTTAAATCACGCATTTGAAAATTAAATGTTTAGAATATACGAAAAATGATATTTTTGCATATTTGGACTAAAAAGACGTACAAAATGGTTGGATTTTTTGCTGATTTAGAATTATGTGGTCATTTCCAACAATTTTTGACTTATTTGCAACATGGTTTTGCGTGAAAAATGCTTAAATCCCGCATTTGAAAGTTAAATCTTTAGGATTTAACAAAATTCGGGAAAATCACGATTTCAAAGCCCCATAACGCATATCGAATGTACTCATAAGATCAATTTTTCTTGTATTCGACCAAATTTTATGCTTTGACTTATTAGCTTTCATTTTTTGGCCGTTTTCGCAAAGTTGAAAATTAAATTTTTGGATTTAATTAAATCCTAGGGGCTTCACGCGATTTTGCAGAACGCAAATAACTCTGGAAAAATAAAAATAATAGTGAATCAAACCTTCCACCGAAAATTTGAACAACTTTTGAAGGTTTTTGGTGGATAACGATGAATATTGGAACATTTTTTGACGATACAATCTGCACAAATTTACTGGTATGCACGTCAATCTCAAATATCTATGTATATCTAATAATATTCATTAGACTGTAATGTCAAAAAATGTTTCAAAATTCACCGTTATCTACCAAAATCGTTCAAATTTACGGTTGAAGGTTTGATTCACTATTATTTTTATTTTTCATACGTATACACGTAAATTTGGTATATCTATGTATATTCAGTAATATTCATTTGTCGTTCACGATGAATATTGTTGAATATACATGGATATTTCGGATTTACATGCATACCATTGAATTTCTAAGTTATTACTTGATGCGTGCGGATATAAAAGATGAAAAAAATGATTTTTCCCTCTAGATTAAATCCGAACCATTTACAACGGGCATAAATTGTGCTGCGGCACATGAATTGAAGAAATCCATGGCTTTAAAAAATCAAACCGTATCAAATCCTAGAATGAAGTTGACATCAAATATGTGAAATTATTCCAGATTTTCGATTTTTTTGCTTTTTTTTCATGAAATGATGTGATACGACAATTCATGTGATAAATTTAATGTTGTTGATTAGACAATTTCCTTTTGCGAAGACAATACATACAATAAAAAGAAAAAATTGGGAAAAAATCTAAAGATAGTTAAAAATCATCAGCACAATATATCATCCTAAATATAATGGAAAAAACCAAACATCATCCTTTGTCAGTCCTTTTTAATACACACTGAATCATCCAAATGATACGCGTCTTATTCTGTAAAGTAATCCAATCCGATTACATTCAGTTGTTGCTTCTGTTGGTCATAGTTTGTTCTAAATTGCTCCATGACTTGGAGAAAAAGTGGCGCATCAAATCGAATTATATTCTAAAATTAAATTATCATTAAATTTTTGGATCAAGCAAAACTATTAGTAAATACTTACAGTCAGATCACGAAATCCACAAATCTCTAGGCAATGCGAAATTAAAACGTATATTTTCACGTACAAATGAGCGATTCGACTGAATCGAATATTTGGTACATTGCGAAGATGTATGGCACTCGTGCCGAAACGTTGTATTTTATATTCAGTGATCAAGATGGCATTTGCCTCTAGAGCTGTTAGTTCTCCATTCTGCAAAAGAGATGGTAATTTACATAGTGCACTTTGTATTTTTTGAAATGCTTATTTCAACCATTTTTAGACAATGACGACGTTTGAATACCTGAACGATATATTCTAGAGTGATGATAGCGGCTGACAATTTTTTCGAAAGATCATTTGCTCGTAGTTTTCTCACGAACTCTCGATCCAAATCAAGAATCCATTCGAGTAGGGACCAATGAAGTGCATCGGAATGTTTTTCTCTACGCTTGAAAATCAAATCAAACAATTCGGGCAATTTCACTGCAAAAAATTGGATTTGTTATGTTAATAAAATGATTCAATTCAAACACATTTTCAACTCACTTGGTGGATAAATGATTTCTTCTTCAGTCACTTTGAATGGTTCATCGTGTGCGTGTTTCATACAGATCTTGCGTACAACGGGATGAGGAATGTCATCTTTGAACAAAATTCCGCACATTTTCATCAGAACGGGCATGACCAACTCAGTATAACTTTTGGACGTGTAGTTGCGAAAATCAATGTAATCAATGTCTTTAACACAGAATATGTCATTGGTGGCCAGCTTGTACAAGAATATATTATGTATTTTACAAAATTTCAAGAATGGGTCATTCGGTTCAGGTTCACTGTCAAAATCTAGATCATATATTTTCAGACTATTTGCAATGCAATTGAACTCTTCAGGCGTGTATCCTACCCCAAAAACATCCTGGCTTATATGCTCCAAGTTAAATTTTGGCTTATTGTTAATCATCTTATACTGTTGTTTCTTTATGTATGCTGAAACATTCCATATTTTTCCAAATTTTATCGGATCTTCGTTGGCACTAACTAGTCCATTCAAAAAATCGGTGATAGCTTGTATCGGTAAGTAGTTTGAGCCACTCAACGCACCAAGCAATTGCATTTGATGGAAATTTAAACCGAGGTCATCACATAGTGTGCGTCGACAGTATCGGGTGCAAGTCATGTTCTTAATATCAGTACCATCGGCTCGCCAAAATTGAAAATCACCTTCGAATGCCATGAAATCAGTGTCATTGGTAATGATAGCCAACACTTCGTCCGAATGCTCTTTGGCGTATCGGGCAATCTCTTGATTATGTTGCATGTAATTCACATGGAAATCACCATAACGCCGAACCAATCTCTCCATATTATAATCAAAGGGCATTATCATTCGGAAAACAGTGAACCCGAACGTTTGATACTTCTGTCTAAATGCAGCCTCTAGCTCATTGCAATCAGAGAGACCTTCAATTTTATCTAAAGCATTTAAGCTTTGGATGTAAGCATATTCACGTGATGGAATAAAGAATTGCAAATCATCGGTGTATTTTCTTCCGGCCATGAAAAATACCAATTTTGCATTCGTTTTGCCAAAATTGTCGAGAAAATTTTTCAATTGTTTATTATAACTGTCGAAAGAACCGCCTAGAGCCACATTCCTTTCACCATGTTTATATCGCATGAAGATGTGTGCCGTTTCTTTCAAATCGATCAAAATTGTGGGTTCTTTTCCATTGTTTTGCCTAAATTTAGAAATGAACATTTATTCGAATAAATGATTTCATAAAATATACTTCTAGAATGATTTTTCTTCACTTACGCTTCCCATTTCTCGATCTCTTCTGGTATACTAATAGTTTCACTAACACCTTTGTGGAATTTAGTGATGAATTTATTGAGTCCAGTTATTCCCATTTTGATACCTCACACCTCACAGTATAGTATCTATATTTCTAATCAAATTCTACTTGTTACAATTTTTTGTTGTTTGTTTGATTATGGCCAAAAACTTTTTTCTGCTATTAAAAAGAGAACCTTTTTGTTGGTGACCAAACAATGGAATGAATGTGTCCAAGCATATGCATATTTAGCGAAGCAATGATGGCGATCCTTCGCCCGTATCGAATGTGGTTTGAGTGTGTGTTTTTCGTAAAGTATCGGTTTTTATTGCTTTTCCGTTCGTTCGGTGAGTTTTCTTATGGCCCGCATACAGCCAATGTTCAACATATTACGGCTTAAGATGAATTTAAATATTTGGAATTATCCTCTCGTTCTAAGAATAATTTAATTACTAGAACGAAAGGCAAAAGAATGGTCGCAAAAATGAAAGGCCAATGCCTATTCAAATTCAAAGCCATTTCGAATGGAGTTATATGCAAAAGAAGATGTAGACGTGCTATTTCTTTTTCATACCTTCATAAAAGGATAAACTATAAGAATTTCTAGAAATTGATTGATTACAGAATCTGATAGATTTAAGTAAAATAATTGTATATTCTACAGAGTGTCATCTGGCTTGAATAGTCTCTATTCTTACAGTATAGTACTCATTGTAATTCGATCGTTCCGTTTCTGGAGTGTGTTTTGAATTTCTGTACTCGCTCAAACAGTGTATGACACATAATCACCTTATTTTATCCCATTGTCATTTGTAACGATGACTTTGGTTGTTTGCGTTCTTCTGTCTTACAGGATGCCAGACTTTACTGTTACAGATACTTTTCAAATACATAAGATCCGTAATTAGATTTTTTTCATCATAAAATAAATCATAAATTTTGCACATTTGGGCTAAGTCAAAATTATTTTCCGGAATTCCGTAATGTGTGATAACCTTTAAGACTTGGCACAAATCGACGAGTAAGAATTTTACAGCAATATCTCAAGGAATATTAAAATGAGATATATATGATTTTCAGGTACACTTTATATTGTTATGAAAATGGTCAAAAACTTTCAACAGAATTTTTCCCTAATTTCGATGGTGTGAGTACAATTTTTCAATACTTATTGAGTCTGGTAATATCAGCTAAGCACACGATCTATCGGTATATACTATTGTTCGAATAGTTTCGAATTTCAGGGGGATCGTCATTTACTAGAGCATTTGGCTGGAACAGCAATTGATGATCAATGCTCTTCAATGTATTCAAGTGGTGAATACGAAAACGTACATATTTAAAGTGGCAGATGGATACACAGACAAATAGATAAAACTTGTAGTTTTTCACTGTGAATATGTGTAAAAGCGGGAAGGATTTCAAGCAAATAACATTGTTGCTTATCGAAAAAAAAATTAATCGTATTTTGTCAGCAATGTGATAGTATCGATAAAATAAACAAAACAAAAATTAATGACATTTAATGAAATAGTACTTGAATTCAACAAATTGAAATGAATTTTGTCTTTATTTCAGAAATCTCAATCATCATAAATCAATTCGGATTTGAGTAGTTCAGAGCGAAAATGTAATACAGAAAAGTTGCGTGGAAAAATGTCGATGATGAATGAGCGGAAAAGGGATAGCTATATAGCTATTGTAACTAGTGTATAGTAAACTATAGTGAACTATATAGCTATCTCTTTTCATTTGACATTTTTCCGCGCAACTTTTCTTCATTACATTTTCGCTCCAAACTACTCATTTGTAACTTGGCAATGTGATGAACGTTGAACCATCCGAATTTTATTTAAATGGAAAAAATGTCTTTGAAATAAAAATAGTTTGTAATAATAAAATTAAACAATCCTATTGTTCGAATAGTTTCGATTAATTGTTTTTATTTTTATTTTTTCAATAAAATCTTCATTCGTTCCGTTGTAAAATACACAAGCATCTTTGTTTAATGTATACGTTCAGAGTAGAATTTATAAATCTTGTAAATCAACTTTGGATTGTCTTAGACTTTGATTTTGATTGAAAAAAAAATTCTTATGCTAATGCATGCCTTACATTAATTTAACGTTCACAGACTATCATATCATATTTAAACTTGACCATTTTGTATCGAAATAGAAAAGTATATATAGTGGCCGAGTGGCACTTGATTTACGTGCTCTAGAGTTAATAAAAGAATATAAATGTGAAACAAAACTGAATTTCGTGGATATCTAATAAACGTCATATCGTACTACATTTACTTCTGTAAATTTATGTAAAAATAAAAATTGGCTCGAGTGTCGAGTGGAGAACTTCTATTTGCTGCTCGTCGGCGATTTCGAATTTTTCCATTGTTTTATGATAAATTGCACCGTCGAATCGAAGCAAATCCTTCAAAAAAAAAATCAAATTATAGAACCAAATGAAAAACAAACTAAAAAAGATAAAAATATCGTTCAGATAAGCAAGTATGAACTCACCGTTAATTCATGAAGACCGCAAACATCCAAGCAATGAGAAATAAGAACATACATTTTCACATACAAATGAGCGATGCGAATGAAGTCAGCATTTGGAGTGTTGGGATATTCAACTTTCATCGATTGACCTAGATTTCGCACTCGATGTTCGGTGTACAAAACGGCATTGGCTTCTTTAGCGGTAAATTCTTCATTCTGCAAACACAATTTTAGAAAAATAAGATGGATTTTGGATATATTTTAATTTTTTAGCATTCTTTCAACCATTTTGTATTCGAGTCATGCTTAAATCATTATATTCATCGATTTGAAGCAAAAAAAAAAATTATTCTAGTTCCAAAATTGAAATGAATGCCGTAAATTCATGAACAAAAATGACGGAGAATGAATAAAAAAGTCAATAGATTGAAGAATACCTGAACTAAATACTTCAAAGTCAGAATAGTTGCGATAAAATACGATTTCTTCTTATCAACAAGCGTCTTCACGAATCCCTGGTCCAAATCAAGGATCCATTCGAGTAGCGCCCATCGTTGCTTGTCGAATTGATGCTCTTTGTTTTTGAAGACCAAATCGAAAAGTTCCGGAAGTTTCACTGGAATTGCAAAAAAAACACGCTTTTTATATTAAAACTGGAAAAAATAAGAAAGAAAAAATAAATAAAATTAAAAAATCGGGTTACTTTTAGGATAAATGATTGTCTCCTCGGTCACTTTGAACGGCTCATCGTGTGCATGTTTCACGCAGATTTTGCGTGTAATTGGCTGGCGTTTGTTATCGTTCAACAAAATGCCGCAAAGTTTCATTAGAATGGGTACGATCAATTCGGTGTAGCTCTTAGATCGATAGTTGCGAAAATCAATGTATTCAATATCTCTGATGTTGAATATATCGTCCGCGACCAATTTATACATGAAATGATCGTTCTTTTTGCAGAATTTCTGAAATGAATATCTTGGGTCTGGCTCATCTTCTAGATCCAGATCATAGCAAGCCAGCCCGTTGGCAATGGAATTCAATTGCACCGGAGTGTAATCCTCTCCAAAGACATCACGACTAATGCTATCCAAATTGAATGTCGGTTTGTTCTTCACCAATTCGATTGGCTGTCGTTTCACATACAATGCAACGTTGTTAATTTTCCCACGTTGTTGCGGATTATCGTTTGATTCGATCAATGAATTTATCCAATCATGGATGACGTAGAACGGAAGAAAGTTGGAGCCGCACAGTGCGCTTAACAATTGCATTTGATAAAAATTTAAGCCCAATTTGTCATGCAATTTGTGCTTGCAGTAGCGAAAACAAGTTAGTTCCTTATAATTGATACCGTTGGCGCGCCAATATTGGAATTCACCTTCGAATGCCATGAAATCGGTGTCATTGGTAATGACAGCCAACACTTCATCGGCATGCTGCTTCGCATACTTGGCGATTTCTTGATTGTGTCGAACGTAGTTCACATGGAAATCACCAAAACGACGTACCAATTTTTTTAGATTAAAATCGAACGCCAACGCCATTCGAATATCAGTAGAATACTTATTTTTCTGATCTAAATACGCCTTTAGATCGGATTTTAATTCCATTTTATTCAAAATCTCCAAACAATTCTGTGAACAAGAAAAAATTCAATCAAATTTGTTCTTCTACATTTGCATACAACGCCGTCATTTCACATACCATGTAATCACTCTCACGTTTTGGTATAAAGAATTGTAGATCATCAGTGTATTTTTTACCGGCCATAAAAAACACCAGTTTTGCCTTGGTCTTTGTCAATTTCTCCAGAAATTGCTTGAGCATCTTGTTGTAGTAATCAAAGCGGCCACCCAAGATAACACCAATCTCATCACGTTGCACAAAAATATGCACCATTTCCTTTAAATCGATCAAAATTTGCGGTACTTTTCCATTGTGATCGCTAAAATGCATTTGTCCGGTAAGAAAATGATTTTAGATTTGGTTTTTCGTCGATCTCAAAATGTTTAACTCACATTTTCCAGTTTTCAATCTCTTCTTCCATATAAATATGATCGATGATACCTTTTTCGAACCGAGTTATAAATTTATTCAGCCCCTTCACACCCATTTTGTCCTGTTATTACCTTTTCAGTCTGCAATGATGCTGTTACACTATATTCGATCAGTGATTAATAAATCAATGCTTTAAAAAATCAAACGCACTCGCATAAATATGTAAACAACTTACATGTTCGTTTGCAAGTGGTCTGCAGTTCTGCTGCAAGTCGAGTCAATCGCCTTTTTGCAATCTTATGCACAGATTGTGAAATTCGCTGCTAGTGCAAGCGGCTACTTCGTTTCAATTTTTGATGTTCTTTGTACATGCATACACATTCGTTTGTACACAGTGTTTGTATTGATGACATATTATTTTGACATATACGATTTCAAGTACTATTGTGTTGGTATATTTACGTACAAAGATCGACAGTGTTTGAGTGGTGCCGGCATTGTTTCGTACACTGTAAATGCTTTAAATAGAAAATGAGTCGTCAAAAAGAAGTTGATTAGAATCAATGGTCGTATCATCTGAAGATGAAATATGAAAATGTACAATGTTTGCTAATTTATCTGATTTTTTCTTATTCAAAACTATCTTGAGAACACGAGAACAGCGAGAATCATTCACACAAAAAATAGCATTCTTTTTACCAACACCTTTAATTGCTCAAATTAATTAGTAGAAGAATAATAATATTTGAAGAATGATAGCCATTTATTTTTGATTTGTTCAAATAAAATAGCATTAATTTACTTTTTGTTCGATTTCTCACATACTTTCTTCGTTTGGATCACAAGCTCACACACGTACAGTGTTTATTTCCTTCGTCTGACATATGATATTGACAGCGTTCGATTGTATTGGTGTGTTTTAACACAGCCGTCAAAACATAGCCAAAACCGGTTAAATTTCGCTAAAAAAAATTCATTTTGTTGGGAATATTCAGTTTGAATATTGTTTATAACAATTTTCGATATTTTTTTTTTACATTCAGATACCTTTGTCAGTAAATTTAAAATGCTTTTAATCGATGGAAGTGTTATGGAAGGGGTAAATGGCAACTATATTTAGTAAACACATAAATCACTTTGTTGATATTGATTTTATCATTGTTTAGGGTGGACAAATTTTACGAATGACAATCGCCTTGAGTGCATTACTTAGGAAACCAGTAAAAATTACCAAAATTCGAGCAGGACGTAAAAAAACCGGTTTAGCTGCACAACATTTAAATGGTATTGCTTGAATGTTTATAGGAAATGAATTCAAGCCATGAAATTGTTTATTTTCTCTGACAATTTTTACAAATGAATAAATTCAATAATTGCAGGCATTGATTTGGCTGGAGATATTTGCCGAGCATCGGTCAAGGGTTTGAGCATTGGATCCACTGAGGTTGAATTCTGTCCGAATCAATTGAAAAGCGGCGAATATACAGCTGACACCAAAACAGCGGGGTAATCAAAACTGATTTACTCTAACGATCAATTTCTTTCAGTTCGTTGAAGTTATCAACTTAACAAATGTAAAACGAAAACTCTATTCTTTGTGCTACTACCTCAAAACTTAGGAGCGTGGCGCTGTTGCTACAAGTTTCTTTGCCATTGATACTATTTGGTGATTCCCCGTCCACTTTGCACTTGAAAGGTGGAACAAACGCTGAAATGGCTCCACAAATAGACTTCATAACCGAAATTTTCCGACCCAATTTGGAACGATTTGGCGCAACATTTGATTTTACATTGGAACGTCGCGGGTAGGCATTTGCATTTTACAATCTGTTTGCTTTTCATTTACTTGAATCATTCTTTTTGCTATCAAAAGATATTTTCCTAAAGGCGGTGGATATTGTATAATCAACGCTCGTCCCATCAAACATTTAAATCCAATCGATCTCACGAATTTCGGTGATGTCGCAAAGATTTTTGGCTGGAGTTTCGTGGCCGGCACATTACCAATTCATGTAAGAAGACCCCCTTCTTTTATTAACAATTCTATATTAGCTCATTCATTACAAGCCGGTCAACGCATTCTATTTCATTGAAAGAAGAAATATTCATTTGAAAAAAATGTTGACAAATAAATTCATTCATGATTCGTTGTTTCTATTTTTCAGTTGGCCGACGAAATGATGAATGGTGCCAAAAATGAACTGAATCGTGCATACCAAAATCGAGCAATCGATATCGAACCATATAAGGAAAGTAAAGAAGTTGCTCGAGATAATGCATCTGGAATAATGTAAGATGGAGCCGAAAAATATAACATTTCCTATACAAAACAATTGATTGTAACTTTTAATTTAGAATCGGTTGTGAAACAACAACGAATTGCATACTCGGCGGATCAGCGCTTGGTTCACGAAACGAGCGTGCATTTGATACAGGTAGAAAAGCCGCAGATGAAATTATCAAATGTACAAATGTTGGCAGCTGCGTTGACATTCATGTTCAGGATCAATTGATAATTTTTATGGCATTAGCACGAGGAGTGAGTCGAGTCCGATGTACGCTACCACTAACACTACATACACAAACTGCCATCCACGTTGCTGAGCTCATAACCGAGGCCAAATTCAATGTGATTGAAGAAGGTTCAACGGCAATAATTGAATGCAATGGCATTGCCTATGAAAATGAATACTTACGATAAATCACTTTCTTTTGCTGTATATTTTCAAGAAATAAAATAAACGTTTACCAAATTCATTTGACTTTCAAACGGAAAATTCATGATCGTTTTTTTTTTTATTAATGAATTGAAACATGAAATGAAACTTTATGGAAGCCTGGTCTATCCCTACCGAATCTTATCGAACAGTGAATATTTTATTGCATCTCAGTCAAACCAAATGGTAAGTGATGATGCCATTTGGGCTGCACAGAAATTAGATGATTTCTTGATCAAAATGTGTTCTTTTATAACATTATTTCGGATTTTTCAAATTACAATAACTAAACTACTTCGACAACGAGTGAATTTGTTCAATTTTTTTTCTAAATAAAATGGCAAATTGTTCAATCAGCGATTAGTCATATTAGAAATGGTTTCGGAAAAAAAAATGCTAAAAAAAAATTCGGACAAACGCAAAGAATGAAGGAGTGAAGAAACCAATGAAAGAGTATCATTCATTTGGGCCATGATCATGATATCTGATATAATTTATTGGCCATTCTCAAAATCAAAGTATTTTCACATAAAATTTTTTACAACAAACATGCAGTTTCACGCTCTTTCGTAAGCTGAATATCGATTTCTTACTCGTCAAATTACAAAACGCGAAAATTACATTTTTTCATGAAATTAGGATATTTTTTTTTTTAAAGGAAAGACACAGAAAGGCACACTCTACTCTGTTGTCATGACCTTGTTCAGAATGTTTTTGGATTTTTCACAAACCAAAGCCATTCCACCTTGTTTTTGTGAACAGTATTTGGTGTAGACGTTGTTAGTTTTTGATGTCGGTGCGGTTAGTATGTAGGCAATCAGTTGATTGACAATTGGACGCAAATGCTTCATGTCGTATGTGCTGTAGTATTCCAAAACTGGATTCCATAATTTGTCGAAATTGATCGAATTGTCGCTGACCAACGAATTGATTAAACACAATGAGATGAACAACGATGCGGCTGCAATCTATAATAAACCAACAAAATAATCCAAAAATATTCAGTATCAAATGAAAAAAAAATGAACGATTTTGAACGAAATTCAGAAATGAAAAATTGGTTTGCAAAATGAGCAAATGCTTACCTCTGATGGTAGATATTCGGACAGACCGTAATCAATTGCCGACAATTCAATGAAGTATTTGGATAGAATGTGTGTTTGGCTGTCGGCTTGAGCTGCCTTTGAGAATCTTCGCAAGAAATGAATTGCTGTTGGTGCTCCCATTTCAAAATTCAGTCTCTGAAAAAAAAAAACATGGAACGAAGCCAAATCAAAATCCCATGATCACACATATCGATCGCAACAATCGATTTGATTTAACTCACTTTCAGCATATGCTTTTCCATCGAAAGAATCTGTTCTTTCGTGTATGTATTGTCCGTGATGTAGACAAAGTCTTGCACCTCTGGTGGATACAATTCTTCGTATTTTGCCGCAATGAGCAGTGCAGCTACTCCGACTAGTTGAAGATTCTTTCGTGACGTTGATTTAACAGCCTGTTGAGAACAAGGAGAGCCAAACGTTTTATTTCTTTCGATTTCAATTACAAAAACAACGAAATTTCCTTTTTGATGAACAACCAAGTTCTTGAAACAAGAAGAATTTGGGTTGAGACAAGAAAAAATTCGCATGTATTTCGTCACTCACTTGCAAATAACGATCAACGGTCGATACGGCAATGTGAAATGTTTCCTGAGCAAAGTGGTATTGCGTATGAACTTCGCTGATCCAATCCAATAATACGGTTCGCATTCGTGGATGCACTTCCTGTTGTCCGTCCAAGTGATTCTTGCGAATTGCAAACTTTTGCTCCATGTCGAACATGTATGCATAGATATCATTCACGTATTCACATACAAGTAGTGCATTTTCTTCATCTCCATCATCGATGTTCAAGCCACCAAACTAGAGGAATGTCGAAAAACTCGTATTAGATTGAATTTCCATCAAAATTTTATGAATTGTCGACACGTTTTGATTGAAAATGCTGTCAAAAATAGTGGAAATCGCATATACTTACGCCATCAATTAATCCATTGGAATATGATTCGCCGAAAGACGGTGGTCGGAATCTGGATTGAACGGGTGGAATGTCTGCGATGAGTTTAGCTGACTGGACTTCAAGTGGCGTGTCATTCGATTTGGTGCGGCTGAGTTGGCTCTTGCCAATTGTGGGGATGCTGCTTTTGCCACTGCCCGTAACGACTTTAGCGCGACGAGTCAATGTGCTATCTTGGCGTTTCATGACCGTTGGCTTATCGATCACTTTGACTTCTTTGACTGATGCCGTTTCAATTGTTCTTGTCTTCACCAATTTCGGGCCAGATTGTACCGATGGAATCGAAGTAACGCTGGTTAGCGACCCTTTTCGTACCGAATTGGTGCGTAACACTGGCTTTCGAAGTGGCTCATTTTTCCAGTGTGTATCCACTCGAGCTTTCACATTTTTCAAATCAACGCCACCGGATGGATTCACATTTTCGATGGAATTGCTTTGATTTGTGGCCTTTTTGTCATTCAAGACGCGTGGCTTATCTGTGCGATTGACCAAATTTCCGAGGGCCGCACGGCGTGTTGTTGTTGTCGATGTTGTCGTGATGGCTGTCTTCTTGATGCCACCCAATACTGCGTCACCATGAGTGATCAAGTTCTGTGTGATACAAACGAGAAAAAAAATGGAAAAAAGTCAATTTAGTACAAATGAAAGGAATTTTGAAACATTCAAAATGAGACCCGACGCTTGAATCTCAAAACAACAAGCTAAAATTTAGGAAAAATTCAATAAAATGTGGTTTACTTGTGAATCGAAAAAGAAAAATTTCCATACAAATTACACACACACACACACACACAAACGTGTATCTAAAACAGTCTGAATGCCCAAGTTAATCGCACAAAATATTTGGATGCACCAAATCGATCCACAGCGTTTTGGCAAAGTAAGCGAGTACCGTTTTCTTGATGCGCTACACCATCGAAACATCACAGACGATTGAGCGATTTCTGTGTAATTCTCATGAAAAAAAATGGACAACTTCTAATTCAAATCATCGAAACTGAGGTCTATTGAATGAACGAAGGTTCGAAAATGTTGTTTGGAAATGGAACGAAAGTGTGAAAAATGTGGAAGAAATGATGAAATTTTGACATTGTACTGAATTGTTTGACATTAAAAGCAAAAATCGAAAATTTCACAGTGAAATATTATCAAGATTTGGTATTTTACACAAATGCAAAAAAAGGAAAAAACGAAAAGCCCCTAAAATTTTTTTTTTATATAAATCACATTCGAAAAAAAAACAAATCATTTCGAGTCGATTGCAAGTAGGGTTAGTTCGCACCAATTCAATACGCAGCCGATTGACGAAGTAAGCATGTGCCGTTTTTTTCACACCATCAACGCATCATCGACAATTGAACGACATGAATATACAATTTGAATGAAAGCACATGAACAATTTCGAATTGAAATAACCAAAACTGAAACGAAGTGTCAATAAATCAACAACGTTGAAATTGTATTATGTGAACTAAATTGAGAGAAAAAAATACATGAAAAACGACGAATGTTTGACATTATACCGACTTATTTGGCGCTAAAAGCTACCAGCCAAAACGTCACTAAAATTGATGAAATATGCAGTGAACAAAAAGGGCGAAACAACTCTGTCGAATTTTTTTTTAATGCAAATACGAAGAAAAAACGGCAGAGAAGCAGCCGGTTGTGTTGATGAGTCGCATTCTACAAAATCATCATCATTTACACCAAAATGAATATTCTATTCGGATTAGACAAACATCGTCATGTTAGACCGAAGCGACACATACACCGAAGCGAATACCGTTAATGCCTCGATGCAAAATCGACTCATCACCGACTATTGGGTACTCAAAATTAAAATTCTATGAACAAATCAAATAGTTTCAATGACAAAAAAAAGTCAAGAAATATTGATTCAACATATTTTTTGACATTTCAACGATACATTTTAGTATGTGATAAACTATGAATGCCATGAAAATGAATTTAAAAATATACTGTTCAAAAATAAAAGGGTACACGAAAAAAACCATCCGATTTATGTAAATCGTGCAGACGAAAGGGGACCATTTATTTCCGTTATGTGAAATTAATTGTATGCTATGGAAATTTGGTTCGATTGGAAAATGAATGAACACTTTACATTTTTGATCAAAATTAGATTTTTTGTTACTGATACACAGAAAAGCATGCCATTAAATCGAAACAAAGACAAAATAATCACCGATTGAACAGTTTAACGGACAAAAACGAAGATTTACCTCATCAACGACGGTTGCTCCTCTTCGTGTAGCCATGTTCTCCCGTTAAATGTAGATTTAAGTTAAACAAAACTAAACTCTATTCTATCTAATCAGCGTATTTACAACAAATTCGAATGATTCAGTTCATCAAAATTAATTACACAAACACGACGAATAATTAAAATAATTTAAAAAAAAATGTGAAATTATTTTTAGTTATGATACATGTGAACAGAGACGATGCAAAAAATGGAATGCGCTACGCTTGTCTCTCTGGCTAGTTCGTTAAGAGAAATTTTTCAAATGTACAAAGGCGAGTCTATCCGACGCTTCTGATTGGTCGGATAGCAGAAATGCAGTGGTGGTTCGCCTAAAGTTGGTTACAATTACAATATTCACCACTGCCAATCGATTATCCGTTCGGCGGATAACAACGAGATGGCGCTGTACTGATATCACTTAGCAATTCACGATTTGCGCGAGTTTTAATTGAGTTATTTTTAGTTTGGTATTTTTTGTTGAAAAATTTTGTGGTAATTTTATCGCGTAGTTTATATATAATAACTAAAATCAACTTGAATTTTTTCATAGAAAATAGTGTTCAAAGCCAATTGACGTTCAATGCAATATTTGAATGTTGAAGGTGAATTATTCATCGAATCATTTTCGTTTGCATCGAATACTGTCTGTAAATCTAAAAAAAAAACTGTATTCGGTTTGTTTGTGTCTTTGTAATGGAAAAAAAAGAAGTAATAATCTATTTTTTACTGTGATTTCTTCCTTTCATTTTTTTAAAATTTGTTTATTATATATGTAACCAAACATAAACTATGCGCTATGTATTTTATTGTCCGCAAATTTGGATTCTCCTATGTACACGGCAAATGAATATTATATGATTTATCACTTAAAACTCAAAATTCTGTTGAACAGTGCATATGCGCGCGCGACATGCACATTCAGAGTTCTTTTAGTAACTTTTCTTTTTCCTTCATTTCATCCGTGGGTTTGACATGCAAAATGTGATTGATAGTCCAGTCATCTTCGACACCTTTTGTGAATTCCTTAATGAACCGATAATTGGCAACACTATAATTTTTCTCGAGCTTATGCATAATTTCGGCATTAGGTTTGCCGAGCACATCCGACAGTTCAACGTCATTGTCTCGATATGCATGAATGACCACCATAATTTCCACAAAAAATCGACTTTTATCCTTCACCGTGTTTTCTTTGGTGATGAATTGAATTTCGTACGGGAAAATCCATTGGATGTCAGAGTCGTTGACCACAATCCATTGACGTTGTTCGGGTGACATTGAGCCAACAATGTGTCGCATTTTATCGATAGTGTCATCGTCGACCATGTCCCGTAGCGCTTCAAAATTGCCAACAGCCAACAAATTCGATACTACCTATTGAAATCAAATTGTTGAGCAATTAGTGATACCATTTGATGGAGTTGGAATCGAAGGAAAATGAATTTTACCTCTACGGCTTGTCGAGCTCCGCTCAAAAATTCATCGCGGTTAAATGTTTGGTCAAAATACGAGCGAATCAGCAAAGTGCTTAAGGCATTTTTCAGCATGAGGTAAACGGAAGGTGTGCTCACATACATATCACCAAATCGTGGCAATTTACGGCTCCATCCCTCCAAATCATCGTCGTCTGTGTCCTCCTTACGATCCTTACCGTGTTGTGTATCGTTTGAATAATATCTGTGACTACACCAGAGGTGATTGTTATGGTGTCGATGGGAACTTGTAAACACTGTCCTCGTTGAGGTTAAGTTTGGCAACGAACCATTGCCAAAATTCAATGGATTTTCTGTGCTACTGCTGCTGCTAGCTACTGCAACACAACGCCTATTTGATGTGCCTAACGATTTATTTAGACATTTTGTAATATTAATTTTATTTATGCGTCGCACACAGTTTGCTAGCAACATTCTTTCAATTTAATACGTATTTTCACGTACGAAACTATTGTCATTTCATGACGACAATGTCATTTGAGTGTGTGGTGTGTTTTTTTTTTGTTTTTATCCGCACCGAATATTGTGTTCGAATACATCCGATGCGACATCTATTGCTAAGCAGCGCAGTTAATGCGGCAATTTGTAGTCGTACATTACACGTTAATGAAATAATCTTTTAAGGTATTTCTAGCAGAAGTATAACGATTTTTGTTTCTTTATTTTCTCTTTTTCTTTTCGTTTTCATAGTCAGTCCAACGTTTTTTCATCATTTCTTCGATTCCCTTCGTTTGTTCCCGCATTTCATCCGAAATATTTACATGATTGATGTAAGACACAATCCAATCGTTGTTCGAATCCTTCGAGAATCCTTTGGTAAATGTGTAGTTTAAAATGAAGAAATTGTCGTCAAGGAATCTAAAGTGCAAATTAATTCAATGTCGATTGGATGAATATAATGCGAACAAATATAGACTTCAATTATTCATACGAAAAAAAAAATCACTTACTGCGATGACTTTTTGATAAATTCACTTGGTGTAATTTTTGATTCGCTTGTCAGCTCTTTGAAACCTTTCACCAAATGATATATCATGCAAATATCAACGATGCCACTGTCCTCTTGGATTTGAATATCAGACAGAAACAATCGACAAATGTCCCCCGGCATCACGCGTAACTCTGAGCGTTGTTCTTCTCTCCACGAAACAATAACATTTCGTAGAGATTCGATTATATCGTCTTTTACCAAACCGCGCAGCCCATCGAAATCACCAGAGGCCAGCTTATCAGAGACAATCTGCATCGAAATATTTTTATTGGAATTTATTCAATCAATCTAGAAATCGATTCGAACAACATTTTGAATTAAATAAAAGTAGAATCATTTACCTCGACGGCTTTTTTGCTACCCTCAACGAATTCATCGAGCGAAAAATCGGAATCGTATGATCTGCGAATTTGTAAAGCTTTCCAGGGGAATATAATGAATCCGAAGAAAGGTGGAGAGACTACAATTTTGTCATTGTTCAGCTTTGGCAACATACGCTCTACTCTCTCTGATGGTTCATCTTCATTTGGCGGGTCGGTTGAATAGAAGTTACAGCGTAAATATAGTGATGGTATCTGGCACCGTTGTTGTTGTTGTTGCGGTTGTTTTTGTTTGTGTTGATCCATCTGTTTGTTGGCCTTTGATAGCGACCGATACTGCCTCGATACTGTGCATTTTATCGTTCCAACTGTAGGTTTCACTAGAACCTGATTCCTTGCGAATCTTTGGCTTACATTTCGAACTAGTTTTAGCATATTAGCTGTTGTTATGAAAAAAAAAAAATTGAACAAGGTTACGTGAAAAGTCACAAGCACAGCTGTCAGAAAAAAGCAAAACACAGTCACTAGCGCCATCTCTGGCATGCACTCACAAATAAACGCATCGTATTGGAAAATAAATCATTGTGATTTGTTTGTTTTATTTTAAAAAAATGCTCTAGCGAACAATCATCGTATGTCTGCTCAAAACCAACTAACTTAGCTTATTGTTTAAATTATTATGGATTTCATCTAATGATATGTGTATTGGATTTGTCAAATCAAGCTGTTGCTCATTCAATTGCTCTTCTGAAAAAAGATGAAAAGAAAAGATGGTTAAATGCAGACGATACTTCTAAAAAGTGAAAAGAGTTCGTGTTCAATTTGAGTATGTTATAATGCGATTACCTTGTACGGATGACGTCGTAAACACTAAATTTTTTACGATGTTCTGTAACAAATCCTTTGATAGTCGTTCCGTTATATTAACCGGTTCGAAAAATAAGAAATTTCTTTTGATTCGTTCGGTGCTTTGGACATCAGTATCGTCATCATTAGTTGGTGCTATTGCTTTGTCTGAATGTGAGGAGCGACGTGATCTGTACAGCGCTAGGCTAATGTGTGATTCAACAAGTGGAATATTTCTTTGATCGAATTGTAAGCATTTTCCATTGACACAGTAGCGATTGTCATTGGCTGCATTACGTGAACACTTTGTACCGAATGGAAAGAAGCCTTGGTCACCGTTCACCAAATAGAAACGATGCTGTAGGTATTCGTCTTGGCACGCAACTTTGCAGCCACGATCTGGATCAATTGAACTTGGAGCGATTTGCATCCCATTTCCAGACAAACCTCGCACTTTTCGCTGATATTTTTTGCACAGATTTGTTGCAAACTCTTGAGTCATTTCGATTTTATCGCATGACTAACGAGAAACAAACACACACGAAAAAAAGAAATTCATTAGTGTTTTTAAGCTGAATGAAAATCCGCCAAGAGTTTGTTTGGTTTTGTTATAATAAAATTTAGATAAGATTTGAAATAAAATATATTTACAATGAATTCAGCGTGACAAAGTTGAATGTTAGTCGAATGGTCGGATTTTGATGAAATAATTTGAACGCCCATTGAATTTTGAATACAACTGAAATGGCATCCTGACTTCACGATCCAATCATCTGCTGAAAATATCGTATGATTGTGCTGCTGTTCGATTCGATTTTGCCGCAGAGAACTTGAACGAATCCGATTTAGTTTGGATTTCTGGAAATTGTTTGGCGGTCGAATTGGCTTGGGCAATTCGGGATCTATGGTGAAGAGAAAAATGAAGAGAAGAAGAGAAACATGCATGAATTGAAATAATGCATTCTGAGGAAAGTGCAATGAACCATTTCCAAAAAGAAATGATTATTCGGTTGCACAGAACAGCGAAAATGGTTGACGTTTCATCTTTACCATTTCTTGTGTAACGTTGAACCAAACTTGCGGCTGACGGTCGCATTTTGTCCACATTCTTTAAATCGCGACCCGTATCAATTACTTCACTGCTTGTTACATTCTTTGTCAATTTTGCGTTTACCGCGTTATGAGCACAAAGCGACGGATCCAATGTGAAGTAATTGCTCGTTGTATTGTCGCAGGAAAATTTCTGAAATATGATCAAGTCAAGATGTGTGTAAAACTCAAAGTGGATAAAAAAAAAAATCGGAAGAAAACATAAGAAAACGTGAAGACAGTAAAATATCAATCAAAAATGCTACTGAAACCAATTAAATTCAATTCAAAGCGACTGCAGAGTGATTAATAAAAAACACAGTTTACCTCACATCGCCCATTCACGCAGAAGAAGCTGCTATCGTCGATGTCGGTGTTTTGATTTCTACAGATTGTACCATCAGGGAATGTCCAACTTTTTGTCACCGGCTTCCCATTTTTGCCGGTACAGTACACACGACAAGAATGCTCTGGATTCTCACTAACCACTTGCAATCCTTCGCCCAATATATTCGAATCAAACTTTTTTGCTCGCTCGCATATCTGATTTGCAAAGTCCAAAACACTCGTTCGCGGCACATTGTAGCACTGATTCGAAAATTAAACTGCATTTTTAAATCCGTCGTTTTCGGCTATGGGTTTCTTAACAAACAATTTTGATGTTGATATTTACCTGTTTCGAAAAGCATGTCTCAAACTTTTTATCCATTCCGAAGCACTTTTTTCGCGACCATCTGAATAATTTACAAGGAGAGATAAATTTTCGGAATTCTCACAGCAGGAGCAATAACAATACACACCTATAATCATGACATGTACGTCGGAATGTTTTCAAGCCGGAGCTTCCTTCTCTAAGTCGTCCTGTTTCGCCAAACAAACATCCAGATTCACAGTCACTCGGTTTTGACCACTCGCTCCATGTCGATATCTGTTGAGATGATTGAATCACTATTAGCCTTTTTTTATGGATCATTCCAAGTTGATGTAGAATAATTTTGAAAAAAGCGATTGCAAATTTGTTACTATAAGTCAATCGCTTTGTTAAAGCCAGTACTTCGATATCATTTTCCTCCTTTTCATCTTCCTCATCCTCTCCCTCTTCATAATTTACCAGAGTTGGCCGACTTATCGTATGCTCTGATTTCATCAAATTGCTAAATTTTCGGTCATCAATTAAATTCGATTTCTCAGACGTATCTGATACTAGTGGCTTTGTAATAGCGGTATATTTTTCGAATGCTGCTGTTTTCAGAACACAAACACCGCTTCGACACCACTTTGAAATAAGAAATCAAACATAAAATGAAAACGAAATTAAATCGAGCTATTAATTTGAAATTAAATGAAATGAGTGTTAAATGTTTGATTTGTACGAAAGAAATGAGAATCTCTTAAAAAAAGACTGGTTTTATGACAAATATGTGTCCTTACTTTCGATTCCGCGCAGCTTGTACCTTCCAGCGCCGGATGTGAGGTCCATGTGTATCTATCTCTCTGGCAGTGTAAATCGCGGCAAATCTCTTTGAGTGGCTGTGCTCGTGATCGTATCGAATCTTTTCCATACTTAAGCATACCTATGGTTGAATAATTTAATTCAATTGAATGTAAATACGTAAATGAATTGAAGTTTAATCTGATTCCGTAATATAAAAACAACTCTTCACATTATGAATAAGCATACATTGTTGGTCTGCATCGAAACGCTCTCCTGGATAAATCATTTCAGCTCCATGATCCAGCGTTGGATCGGCTTGCCCATGATCAAACAAACATTTCGCTTGACTAGTTCTTCGTGTATGCAGAAAAAAGTTTGAAAATAATTTAGAAAAAAAATCAAGCAAGAAAAGTAAGTCCATTCTCTCAAAGTTGAAAGCAAATTGCAACTTACTCTAAAAATGACTTTAAATAGCTAAAAGAGCATTTGGACCATGTGATTTTGCCACTGCCCAATGTCGGTGACATTATAAACAAGCTTGGATCACAATTATTTTCGGCGGTATCGTGACGCATACCCAAACTGTGAACAATTGAAAAAAATGACTCGTGTTACTTAGAAAAATCTACACAAAAGACTAGCGGTTGGTATTTACTTGTGACCAATTTCGTGAGCAACCACGAAAACACTTTCGAAATGTTTGCCTTCGTTGATAGTGCAGCTTGATGTTGACGTGCACATTCCGGCAACTGTATTTAAATGTTAGAAGAAAATGTGCTTGAAATAAATCATTCGGTACGAAATGTTTTAAAATTGATAATAGGATAGATATACCCACCTGGAGCTAAACCAACAACTTGACTGCTTATTTTCCCATTTTTACTCACAACATACAGATCGAGACCTGAGCGATCGAAGAAAAAATTGTGCGCATGTGAGGATTAGATAATTATCTATCTTGATTATAATCAATGACATAGAATAAAGTTGAATTGATTTCAGTCGACCCTACCTGTTAAAATAACCGCGTGGTCAAAGTGGAAAATGTTATCGTCGGCAACCGGATTGAATTTGCGTTGCCACATACAGAAGCTATTCAAAAATATATCAATATCGCTGGAGCGGCGCAGCTCTTTTGGATCATTGTGTAGAATTTCCAAGCGTTTTAGTATAAAATTGATCTGATGCCCTAGTGAAGGGTGATGATATAGCAATTGAACACCATTGATCATGGCCATAACGAAGCGAATAAGATTTCCTTCCGTATTTTTTGGGTAATTTTTGACCATGTGTCGAAAAAGGTCCCGATCCACAAAAATTGCCGTCTCAATGAATAACACATGTGGAACTTTTCGATTGGAACCAGATGTAATATAGCGTCTGGTGCGCTTTAAATGCTTGGGAATTTTGTGCTCATCATCTTCATTGGTTTGAATTCGTTGTCGTCGTCTTCGTCTTTTTATATCGTCCTGAAGTCTGTCATCGTTCAAAATGCCTGCAGGCAATTCACTTTCATATAAAATATGTGAAGCGCTGCCAAAGCGTGTGGGCAACGGATGGATTATAAGATTTCGCGAGTTTTGATATAAAATCCCGCGCTATGCAATCAATGAATACAAGAGGATTTATACGTTTTTAGAATGCGGCTGTTTTCATTGGGATCATAAAATATATTCGAAAATTAAAAAATAAAAAGCTGAAAAAAATGCCACTAACCACATTACCATCGCATAAGTCAATGGCTGAGTTTTGATTGCGATAGAAGCAATTCGAGTATCTCTCCGCTAATTTATCGAAATCGTCGATGAGCTGTGTTTGATTTTCATCGCGTTTGATAAATACAAAATTATCGTCTAGCAGCTTATTCGATCGTTGCAGATGCAAATCAATGCCACCGCCGTCACGATCTCGCACACAATCGCTTGAATTTGATCGACAATGGTTGATATCCAGCACTGCAGTTTGGAAATATTTACAAGTGTTATGGTACAGACAATAATGGATGAGACAATGACAAAAAGATATATAACATAATAGGCATTATTCTAAAGCCACGTACCATCATCGCTGTTTAATCGCAAATGAATGACATCTTGCACGGACCGTTGATTCCTCAATTTATGCTTCACATTTACGAGTTTGTATGGTTTCTCTGCAAATGGGAAAATGTATACGCAATGTGTAATAATAAAAAAGACCAGCCAATGTTAATTAATGCAGTTGTTCGTCAGCTGATTAATGTGTCATCGTAAAATATGGAATTTATGCATTTGATGCTAATGCATCCATGGCTATTGTTTAAATTATATTATTATTGATTTGCGAGTGTGAGGCTCTCTAGTGATATTCTCATGTGGTTGCTGCTTTTTTATGATATGGTGATGCACATTTCAAGCAAATCATTAATTGAGCACTCCGATTTACGATCTCTGACCAAAATCACCGATTCGAATAGACGGAAAAGATACGGGATCCTCTGTATCTCTCTCTCTCCCTTTCAATGGTTCCATTCATGGCCAGTTAAGAATGATTGTTGTGTGTAGTATTCAGTGAATTTAAAGGCTATGGCTTCGAAAGGAAGAACTAGCGATAACGTTTCCACTGATCTTTTACTTTCGAAAACAGCGTAAACAAAATACACACAAAAATAAAGCGCAATGCAATGGCCAGAATGGCAGAAGTTCAAGTTCACTGATTTGTCGTTTTATCGACTTATTTCTGTTTGTATGCTTTTGTTTCTGTAGACGTTGGTATTTATGCTTTTATCTACTTCCATGCGCTATTATATCCGCTTGCTGAGCCTCCATACGCTAACTGATTGTATTTGCATGTTGAATGTTTTCATTTTCAATTGGCAACATCTTGAAATCACCAAACCGAAAGAAAAAGTAACGAAGAAAAAAACCGACGAAAAAGAGAAAAAACAAATACGAGAGAAGAAGGAAGTAGAATTTGTTGATTCAAAGAAATAGCGATTTTGGTTTAATACAAAGGCAGGAAAATTTCCATTGTGATCATCGTCAATTTTTTTCTATTTTAGAATCATTTGTTCTGAGTGCATAGAACTTGAACAGGTTCTTTCTATATTTCAGTCTCTGACGAAATAGAAAAGATTCACGCACGTCTTACGAAGACGAAATCAATAAATAAGATGCATTTACATGAAAGTACAAGTTGAAAATTATAGTATTGTTTATGCGTGGTGCATTGGAACGAAAGAAACATTGCGAAGCATATGTAATTGATAGAAGAAAAAAAAACAAAACAAGCATATACATAAACGCATGCACACCGAATAGATGACGATGAAGATTTGGAGAAGGAGCAAGAAAAAAACACCATTATGTTCTTGTGAAGCCATCTGTATCAAACGCGAACTAACCATGAAATTGCACATGCAATTGACATACACGCTCAAATCTACACGTTACCAAGTTAAGAGACGCCGTCGTCGTCGTCGTCATCATCATCATTATCATCATGTGTTTTCAATTGAAATTTAACAACTGCTACTGCAACAACAACTACAACAACAGCCGGGTGACATAAGTACACTTGAGCCTATTACAATATCAAACGAGTAGACACACGACGTTTTTTTTTTTTAATTTAAAATCGATGATCATATTTGAGAAGAAAACAATTCGCATGACAGAGTCAATATGCTATGCGCGCGCTAAATCAAGATATCAACATGTTTTATATCGTGGAACTGACTTTTGAATACATGTGACGACAACTCAATGTCAGTTACAAATCTTTAAAAAATCCGAATAATTTTCTTTCTATTCATACTCACTTTGAATGTGCTGATGATTCAATCCGAACAGCAACTGTTTCTCATGATTGTCTAAAAATGTGTGCAGATTTTCGGAATTAATCTTTAAAAAAACAGAAAGAAATAGAGAAAGAGAGAAACAAAATGAAAGTTACAAATCGACATGTTCTTATCAGTAGCAGCGCATCAAATCGTGCTGAATTTTCAACCGGAAATCTCAAAAGCGTACGCTGCAGCAGTTCATTTACATCACATAAGTACGCGGAGATTCATTTATTATATTGGCGAAAGGAAAATACATCATTTCGATTACAGCATAAAAATTTTTTTCATTTGTTAATCTCTGATAATATGTAAGATAAGCATCATATCCACGTCATAGTGCCACAGAATTTGGTTGACTTATCAAGTGCAGGCATTCGCAGAAAAGTGCGTGTATACAAAATATGCCGCCCGAAAAAGAGGCATTTTTTACGCATGCGTAATTCGGGATTTCCACTCGTAACGCCAGTTTGAATAACAATCAAGCACGAAAATATATTAAAATATTATAGAATAGCGATGAATATATGATAGAAAGGAGCAGATTACCCAAAATAAAATTTCCATTTAGATCATTGCCAAGTAACTTTTTTTTTTCGTCAAACAAACAAAAAATGGGACGCCTTTACCAGTAGCATAGCTCATTCATGAAAGATAAAAAATAGAGCTTAATTTGTTTCAACTACATTTCATACTCAGCAATATCACCAACTTCGAAATTTGAAGTAAAAACAAAAACAAATATTAGACTATATTTTCGTTTTTTATTCATTTGGTTGTTGTTGTTGTTGAAACCCACACGCAAATATTCTTCGTGCCAGTGGAGCAAGCGCACGACATCACAGAGCCGAGTTGAGTCAGAAAAATCTCTCGCGCATCTGTTATTTCACGCACTCGATGCGAGAACAGACAAAAATGGTTATTGCTATGTGATTTGATTAATGAGGTTACTGAGCTCCAGGAGACAAGCGTCAACAAGATGTCAATGAAATGCTCAACGGTTTATTCACACAAATCGCATGGGAAACCGTGTTGGGAAACCGAAAAATTGTGAACTCATTTCATCATTTGATGTGAAATCGTTATTTTTTTTTCATTCATTCGTTACCTATTTCCATCCACGCTAAATGGTTTCGAGTTGAACGAATCCGTCGACGACGATACATGCTTATGATCGAAATCAATTTTCGATTTGAAAAAAATAGTGAAATAAATAGGTAGTGGAACAAAGCAGCTTATTTGGGCATTATTTGGACGAGCACAAAAATATGTGATTACAATATGGTATGCGGTTTGATTTGGAAAAAAAGGCACGGTTTTTTGACCACACACAAATTTGTATGGCTTATCATCCATCAAAGGGTCAAATCGTTCAAAAAACCAGAGCATTTTTTAACGCACCATTTCAAATGCTAAAAATTGGAATTGAATTGGCCGACATGTGTTATGTTTAATGATTTTTGCGTGTCGATAGACTAACGTTTGTTTTTTTTTTTCGTTCAAATTTTGCTGTTTTATTACGTTTTGATTTCGATATGCACAATACGGCACATAATTCGACATTTCATTTGTTGTGTTTACTTTGATTCATTCACGAGGGGCAAATCACTAAAAAGTAATTTCCAATAAAGTAGAAAAATGAACAATAATATAATAAAAATAAATGAATAATATGTCAGTAATTTCTGAACAACAAATTACTTTTAGTATAAAAGTAATTTGTGGTATAACTGTCACATCGTAATACATCGGAACATTGAAAAATATGTTAGTATAATGTCATTGTTATACATAAATGACTTTTGGTAAAAAGTAATTTGAAATTTGCCTACTAAATAGGCTGGGTAATAGAAAGTAATTTTGAAGTAGTATGGAAGTAGTTTGTATAGTGATTTGCCCCTCGTTCATTCAGTTTTTCTATTAAATCACTATTACGATCTATAAGCTTGACTTTGTTTGCGACAGTGTATTTGTTGACTCTTCTGTGGTTTTTTTGTTGCTGCAGTCAAAACTCAATTCACAATTTCAAATGAGTTTTGTTACATCAATGTTGTTGTTTTTTTCTGTTCATGTTGTTGTGTGTGTGTGTGTATGTGTGTGATACACTCATTTTTCCATGAATTAGATATTAGCACACGTAGTTACATTTGATCGTATCATATCCTGTGTATGTGCATCGGCCACATATTTGATAAAATGTATATTTCATTGCGAGGAAGCAACCAATTAAATCACAGTCAAATACCTTTGGCACACACTCTTCTTTACGCACGCGCACGTATACGCGGTCAAACACACGATCGAACAAGTGTTTTTCTATCGCTCTCACTCTTTCGACACATGTCCAAAAATTAAATTAAAATTTTCTCAAACGATCAACGGTGGTTTCGATGACTGCGTGTATGTGTGTGTTGATGATGGTGCTTTTTCCACAAGCATTTTTGACATTCAGGTGAATGTTTATACTTGGTCATCGGAAAAATCAAGTGAAAAACAATGCCAAATTTCAAATTACATAATTAATTACAATTCTTTCTCTTTTGTTGGCGCGGGATCGTTGGCATTTGTCGCTTTTCGAGCACATTTAACATTCGAAAATTCGGAAATGATAGACCCGAAATTCACAAAATTTCTGATTATTTGCTCTCTTTCTCTTGTCGTTTTTTCAATGTTTTTGTTTCTTTTGCTCGTTTTTTCTTACAAGAAAAACGCATCTATTTGCGGTCAAAGTGAAATGAAAGCCGAAATTAGTTCCGGCAAATGAATTTTGGGACTCGAATAAATTGCAGTCGATTAATACTTATTTTTTTTTTGTTTATTGTATACTTGTCGTTTCTCTCATCTTATGAATGCACGTTTTTCATGCGGTCACCGTATTTTTTCTGCTTTTTCTTCGTATCGCTACTTTCTGTGCGCATGTTTATTGTGTCAGAATATTATTTTATTTCATTACAATTTAATTCATAACAGCTGTGTGAGGAGGAACAAAAAAAAAGAAAGTGAAAACTAAATGTGAATGATTTAGCGGGTTTTTGTGTTTTTATTCTTCGCGGCTTGTGCACACACACACACACACATACTCCCGTATATGTCAAACCGACACAGTCCGTGGCCACCGAAATTGGCAAGAAAGTCAATGAGGAAACAGCATTTGGGATGTCCAGTTCTCACTTGAACACACCACATCGAAAGAGCTTTGCCTTCGAAGCATTTTAATCGAGAGCATTGACGCCGCCAAATGTGTGTAAATCAGCTGCTACGGCTGTTGCAGTGCGGTAAACATAAACATGAAAAACGAAAGTAAAATGTATTTTCATTTTCGCACTCTCATGAATATGGCAATTTCTGCAAGTTTATAATGAATTTTTAAGTGATTCTATATGTGACGTGTTGTCTGCTTTTAACATCATTCCGAGATAGAGATTCGCCACACTTCGTTGCTAATATAGATTACAATCGATGCGATATAAGCGCGCGGTGCGCTATATTTTATATTTTCTGCGGCTGAATCTCTCTCTCTCTCTCTCTCTCTCTCTCTCTCTCTCTCTCGCTGGCGCTCTCTTTTGCTCTCCAGTTCTTCCTCTCGTTCTTATTCGGTATGGCCGGCATGGGTGTGGGTGTGTGCGAATATTTTGATCTTCAATGTTTTGTTTTTATGTGCATTTCAATGACTTGTGTGTTTGCCTCCTCTCGTTTTACGTTTATTACACACACAAATCTGCCAAAGTGATCCAAATCTACGATGCTAGATATGTAATGGATATGAGAATAATTGCCGTATTGTTGATCCGAAGAGTGTGCGTGAGAGAGAGAATGCGGACCGTAATAAAAAGAAAATTGTGATCGAAATGGAAACGCCATCGATAAAATTCATGAATGAGAAATTGAGATGAAGTTAAGACGGAGATAGAGATAGAGAAAAAAGGGAAAAGTGGAAATGAACCGTGCGATATATGTATGTGGTGATTGCTGCTGCTGCTACTGCGTTAGTGCTGGAACTTTCGGTATATATAATAATTTATTGACCGATTGTGCTGATGCCAATTAAAATCGGGTGAGAATGGAATAAGAGATGAAGCAAAATATGAGATTGAAAAGAAAAACAAAAACAAAAAAAGCCTCCAAAACTACTTACGATGTGTCCATTGTAGTTGAGCGTTGCTTGTGGCTCGACGCTGATATGATAAGCGGTGGCCAATTTGAAATTTTCCAACAACGCAATAAATAGTATCAACAAATGCGTGCCAACCGTCATCATATGCAGTAGGCACATTTTTAATCGATATGTCGATGTTTTACTAGAGGGAATGGTTACGAAAACGCTTATTCGCCTAATCACTCATTCCATTCGGGATCTTTCGAAAATCATACGCTCTTTTTCTATTACAATTTTTTATTTAGCATTTAATTGTCGTTTCACAGTCTATTTTTCACAGTCTACTATCATCAGAGTATTACTTCGATGAAGATGATGATTATGATGTTGTTCATGCAATTGGAGTGACGCGTTCAAACTTTCTTCTGCCAGAACCTTTGATGCCATCTTCGATTGGAGCGTTCATTCATTCACTTGACTTACCATTTCTCTTGCATTTCGTCTAAATATGTTTCATTTTTTTCACATGATAATTTTTTTCTGAAAAAAAAACACATAAAATCAAAAAAAAAAAAATATAGGGGAAGGTGGGGAAATTCGGAACATACATCGAAATAACTTGATAACATTCTAGAAAATTAAAAAATTTCCAAATTCTAAAGTGGTAAGACTCAGTAAATGTAAAAACCTAACGTATGGTTGAAATTCGAAACGGTTAAAAAAATTTACTCTGTTGGCAGAAAATCCTTGATTTTGCGATTTTCAAAAAGGTGAGGGAATTCGGAACACTTCATAAATGGATAGAAAACTGAAACAATTTTGATGCAAAACGTTTATGGAGAACTAGGAAATGACAGAAGAATTAATTTTAATAAGGAAAAAGCTAGGGGTTTCACGCAAACTCGAAGGCCGAAGATTTTACTAAATAGCTGGAAATAAAATCATTTTATGTGTAAACTATAGATATTGCTTCATTTTATTCATAAACTCGAATTTTTTAGAATTTTTTGAATCTAAAAATTCTGGAAGTGGGTTTTGGTGGATCCTCAGGATTGTTCAAAACCGCTCCTGGTTCTGGAAGTGGATCCGCAGGATGGATCAGGGCATTGTCAAACCCAGTCTGATCCATCCTGAAGATCCACTAAAACCCACTTCCAGAACCGGGAGCAGTTTTGAACGATCCTGAGGATCCTCCAAAAGTCACTTTCAGAACATAATTTTCAAGACGAATGTTGAAATATTTCGAAATAATACGGATTTTGGTGAATCCCAGAGAATGTGAGAGAAAAGAGAGAAATATTGAAATATTAGATGAATTTTAAGTTGCGTGAAACCCCTAGGGAAAAAGTTCAAAAATAGCGATTGTTATTAGTCGGATTTGTAATTGTTGCCTGTGAAATATTCATCATTTTGGTGCATTTCAAGTCGCATAAATTGCAATGACTAATTGGTCAAAATTTTGCATGAAATATAATAAATATGCACAAAAAAGCGATATCAACTTGAAAAGTATTAAAAATCACTTGATAAATTTTTCGTATATAGGGCGTTCCGAAATTCCACACTCACTAAGGTTAACAATATAATCGTGTTTCAGTCACTCAATGAATTTTCATGGAAAATTCTTTTTCTGAGTCGAAATATGAATGGTATACGATAATTATAAACATATTCATTAGAGTTGATTATTTGAAAAATGTTGTGAAATCAATGCAGACAGGCATTCTCAATATTAAATTTTCATGACTTGATTTCTTGTCGATGTCGCACACGTACACACTCGTCGAGTGCTAATGGAAATTTGAGGTTTTGTTTAGAGAAAACAATGACAGTTGTTCACATGTCTCGAACTATTTATTTGCGGCGAAATTTGGCGGTGTTCCGAATTTCCTCACATTCCGAATTACCCCACCTTCCCCTAACATTTAAAATGTTGAATGACTTTCTCTCCCACGAATCATGTTATGGTTTCGGTATGAATATCAAATTGGCGAGTGAATTTGGATAAACGTCGAATTTGATGAGATCAGAAGAATGTTCAACAGAAAAAAAAAACCGAAAAAAGCGGCACATAAATATAGTTCATGAACGGTTGCGCACCGCTTATAATGCTTGGGAAAAATTGCGAATAATAAGAGCGGTGCGCGAGTTCGCCCGCGTTCACTCGCTCGCCTAGTGTGATGTCAAATCAAGTTGTTTACATCGCAACAACAATAATAAAATGAAGACGCCAGCAGCATCAGCGGCATCGTGAGATCTACAAAATTTGCACTCAATATCAAAAACCACGCAACAAGATCAAACATTGATAGCAGATGAACTTTTCCACTTGGCTGATGGGAGATTGCACTCAACCATTTCAATGATGAATTTCTGTGGCCCAACGAAAAGACAACGAAGAAGAGGAAAAAAAAACGGCCAATTTATATCGCGCAGCATCTTGTTGCTTGTATTTTACGGTTGTTTTTGGTTTTTGTTGTTGTTGTTGTTGTTGTTGATAAATATCGGCTGTGTTGTGTGTGTTCAATTTGCATTCAATGTGAAGAAACGGAAAACTAGTGGCTAGGACAGCGCGCGTCAATCATGGAAAAAGGTGGCAAACAAAACTTTATGGCCCTGAAAATGTGTTTAACCGATTGATGATTTTGGTCAGTGATATATCGTCAATGCATTTAGGTAGAAAACAGCACGACGCCCACACAGTAACACACAACAAAATTGCCCATTCCGATTGTGTTCCGTTCGTTCATTTCCATTCATGTTGTCGGCAGCAGATCGCAGTGTTGCGAACGAAGGTCACACACAAAACAATTTCTTGTACTACATGCAAGTGCAAATGGTTTTTCTTGTGCTGCAGCTGCTGCTGCCGCCGTCGATGCCGTGGCTGTTGTTGTGCTGCTTATTAAATCGTTAGCAATCATAGATAAATGGCAAATTGTTTGTATTAACGCATCAATCGTGTTTGTATTAAAACATTAAACTTTTAAAATTGTTTCGAGAAGAATCTCAATTAGATTCAAAATTTTGAGTGTGTGAATCAAAAGTGGCTTTTGTTTTGATTTATTTAGAAAAAATAGTATGTTTCTCTTTCTCTCTGTCTTACAACTGCTACATTTTTCCTTGCCGAATTTGCAAACAGAAATAACACAGAAAAAGCCTCCGTTGATTTGAATCACTTGCAAATTCTTATTCACAAAAATACAGAAAAAAAAACGTTTGTACTGAATGTACAATGATGATAATTAAAGAAAATAGTTTGAAGAAAGAAGAAAAAGAGAAAAAGAAAAATACAATCCAGATCATCGACAACAATGCGAATTGAACTTCATTTTAACAGACATTGTCTTTTTTGTTAGATTTATGCATGGGGACTGATGATGGATGTTGCAATTAAACGGTTCGTTTTTCTTTTCTTCATTGAATAAATTTTTCTGATTTCGCTCGTTCAGCAATTTTCCCATTTTGAGTCAAGTCGTATTTATCAATTGGATCCAAAAGCCGAAGAGGACAATGCCGATGCAAACAGACGATGATTTTATAAACGAAATGCAGATAGAAAGAAGAAGGAAAACAAAAACAACAGCACAGAACTGAGAAAATGTAATATGGGCGCACAGCGATAGAAAATTGTTTGTCGTTCGCCGTCGTCGTCGTCGTTGGTGTTGTTGTTGTTATTGTTGTTGTTTTTGTTGTTCTGTGTTGCTATTTTCCTATGTTTCGATTTTTCTAATCGCACGTTTAAATAAGAATGGGAAAAATGTCCGATAAATAACTGAAAGAATTTCAATTAGCCATTTTCGCACAATGGGATAAACGTGTGGTGTAATTTTCATATGGCAGCAGCAACATTTACTGCACTATCGAAATATCGTCGCCTCTTTCAACTTTCATTGTGAGATTCAATGAGAAATAGAAGGAAAAATTGTTTTTTCATCGTTCGATACGACCATAATCTTTCTGACCAGCAGCAGCAGCAATAGTAGCAGAGCACCGCGGTCCAAGTAATTCGGTTAATAAGATCAGAGAACAATGGCTTGAAAATGCTCCGATTGTTTCTTTTATGCCGCTTTGAAATGTCGCCTCATTAGCATTTGTAATTAATATCGATAAGAATGAACAGCGAACAATAAACCATGTCACCTCGCAAGCCACGCGATTAACGTGCATAATAACAGCTACAAATTGGGTTATTTTACTGTAAACTCAATTTTACAGTGCTGTTGCCGTTTTGTTACTTTATTTCACTCTTTCCAATCTGATGTAAGCCGCTCTAATAAAACGCCAAATTGTATATGGCACGTATCAACGCGTCATGCTTGCTTGAAATTTTAATTCTGTTTTTTATTTAGGTGACATTCGTTCAATAGAAGGGAGAAAAAAAACGATGCTGACGACGATAAAAAAAACAAATTCGTTCAGACGCCTTTTCTGTGCACTTGATTAGGAACATTTGTCAATCAATATGTTGGCAATTGGCGTGTTGCATATAATGATCGATGTATATATATATTTGCCGTGCTGATACACAGTTTAGCATTGATTTCGGTATAACCTTGAGATATGAATTATTTTATAAGTGCCTGAACGTAGGTTTTCTATTGCCCATTTGGAGAAAATCCAGTGTCCAAATTTGAAAGGAAAAAAAAAAACAATGCAAACGTCTAATCGCTCAATTGAAACATGTGTAACAAAAGTCGATTCAGTTGTCACACAATCACGTTGTCATCGTTCGCGGTCAAACACGTTCATGTTTTCCAGAATAATACATAAATACATCGCAAAGTGTTCCAAATACGGCAAATTTGCTCTGAAAATGTGATGCACTTGATGCATTCAAATGCGCTCGATCGACACAGAAGTGACTAAACAGCAAACACTTCTGATTCTCACTTACTCAGTCAAAAAGCGCAGAGATGAAAACATTTACAGCAGTTTTATATTAATTGGGGCAAATCTTTAGAAGAAAACAAAATTAGTCTCCCGTTCGAACTTCAAAGTATGTCGAAAATCAGAATGTGAAAAATTTCTGTGGCGTCTTGCCGGATTTGGATCAAATGCTTAATTCTAATTATATGACACACTAATGATGACTTGGGGCTGTTAACTGTTGTTCCCGATTGAAACATGGTGCGCATTTTTTGAACATTAATCGTTTTAAAACTCTAAATTGTAAGACATAAACACACATACAATTCAGAAAAAAAAAAATACTGTGACTAAGAGCATACTGATGCATTCGCTGATCATATAATGGTATATCACGCTTGGATTCAATTAAAGAAGCGGCACGTACACGCAATCAAAGACCACCCAATTGATTTATATAATAATCCTTTTAAATGGGCAATCTTGTGTGTACACCAGCGGGCGGCGGGTGGCAAAGAAAATTTTTTCGTACTTTTGTGGTTAAGAAGAGCGTTCAAGATGCTATTTTTTCTTTTATATTTATGATAATATTCAAGGAAGGATCAAACACGCATACAAATGTACCGTTCGTAATAAGGACTTGGTGAAATGTTGTGCTGTTTTCATGTCGTTGTGAAACGTACGTTAAAGCGTTAGAGATGGATGAAAAGTCGTCTGTGTCAACATTTTTCCCAATCACTATCATTTATTATATAAACAAACGGTATTTTCTTTCTTCTTCGGTGCAAACGACTGCATATTTAGAAAGAATGAACAAATAAAAGTGGAGAATGAGCAAGAAAAAAGAGTACATTAAACGACAATGCAGAAGCGACAAACATTGGCCACTGGCACAGATGAATTCATGCTGCTGCTGCTGTGGCGGTGACGGCATTATGCGCAACTTGTGTGAATGAAGTAGCTTGTTGAATATGCGAATCGCATCGCTTAGTTTTTTTTTTCTGTTCATTTATATCGTTTTGTTGGTGGAAGAAAATGATGTAAGCAATTTCTTTGTTGCACTTCTTTTGAATTTTGCTCTATGAACATCGCGTCTAAGGGCCGCGAATCGAATTTTTGACGTTTTTGTGTTGTGCGCGCACGCGGTTATTTCTCTTTCGTTTATTTGACTGCGCTTTTATGAATGAATTTTCTAGTTCGTCGGCTTGAAAAGCTTTCTAATCACGTTAAGTAATCCACCATAAATCTCTTCATTGTCGCGCTACACCGCAAGCCAAATGGGCGAACAGCGCACACAATCCGAACAGAAGAAGGAGAAAAACACATAGCCAAGCAACAAGTAACGTTGTGCTGTGACGAAAAGATTTCAATAAATGATAATTGCCGAAGACACAATATGCTACCGGCCTGTTCTTATGGCTTCTTTTATTTTGCATCACCAGTGCACAATTGTCATTTGTTTGTTTGTTTGCTTTATTCCAAGCAAATTTGATCTTTTATTTGTATTTGAAGAGAGAAAGAAAATAAACAAAAGCGTCCGTAATTTCATTAGGTAATTTCTAAACGTAAATTTACCGAGAAAACCCAAAAAAGTACAAACGAACCAAACCAAAATTGAATAATCAAATTTGGTGCGTATCATTTGATGCGACGATGCGTGGAGAATAGACAAAAACCTATTGCACTTTCATTGGTTTTTTCATGGGTAAAAGAAAAAAAAATCTTGCATCGTTTCACTGGAAAATGGTGTTTTGGCATTTAACTGCGAAAATGATGAACAGAAAAAAAAACCAATTCCATTCGAATTGTGGCGATAGCCTTCTTGCGTCCTTGCTTATTAAAATGACATCAAAAGAAGAAAAAAATCCCAATAATGAGCAGATAAATTGCACACACACACACACATACAGCCTATTTGATTTGTACGAATACGAAATCAGAATATTAAATACGCTCGTTAACCGAGCATTGTCCAAGCGAACGCGAGCAAGCTAGAGAGATAATTTGAACAGAAAACGGCCACAGCATAAAACACACGCACACAGAGCACATAACGACACGTCGTTCACGTGTACATCTAATGCTAAAATAAATAAAATTTATTGCATCCAATTAAATTAATTGGCTTCGGATTTATTATGAGAACAGAATATTTCATTTGGCGACAATATAATGATAGCCTCTTCCTTTCCGCACACACACATCGCGCATTATGTGTATCAGCCGTGCTGAATTTCCATTGTCATTGTGTCGCTCGTTTTATTGTATTCCCTTCTCTAGCTCTCTGTCTGCCTATAAGGCTTATTTTAATTTTCATTTTAGAAACCGTACGTAATTTTGTTGTGTTGTATACGTTGCTCTCTGTTCAGGTGTAGTTTGTTACTGAAGTGTTAATGGATCCAATGGATCGACGCATCAAAATTTGAATTGAATTGACTTGACTTTGAAATGTAATTAGGATGGCTGACATCCGAAAAAAAAAACACATGGCAGTGGAGGATCATCATTACAGTCTGATGACACGAGCGATAAGAATCTATATTCAAATTATCTCAATTTTTTTCTCGTCAAAAAGCGCACCGTGAATACCAAATCCACTGGGAGAAGTCGAATTTTATTTATAATTCGAATGCCAAATATAGACAAAATGAGATTCCGAACCAAAACAAAACATTCGTAAACAATGACAAAAAAAAAAACGCATAAAATTGGCTTTTAAAAAAAATACGCACTAAACATTTCAAACACAAAAATGATTAACAGAACACAATATGGAAAAAAATATGGTTAACAAACGTACTCTCAAAATTGAAAACTCAACGGACAATTTTAGTCGGTAAAACAAAAGAAAAAACACAAAAATATTTATATCAATCGAAAAACGACTGAATATAAACGAAGAAAAAAAAACAATCGAGCAGCAATCTGGGCTGTTTTCGCGATCACTCCAGAAACGGTAATGATTTACAGCGCGCACGGGAAAATAAAATGGTAAATTGGCCCGACGCTCACGAGTAAGCGTACTATCTAGAGCCACCATTCAATTTTGAGTTCGTTTGTAGTTCGGCAACGTGAAAAAAGCAGCGAAAAACAAACCCAACGCGGCGATATATATGTAAAATGGTACTTGTTTCATTGTTTGGTGCTGTGACTATCATCATTGGTTATGTTGCTGCCGCCGCCACCTCCATCACACCATTTACAGTCGCTGTTGAGCGCATCACAGCACCACGCATAGAGTCGGCTTGATTATTTGCTCTACGATTTCGATTCAGTTCGGTCTGATAGAGCTTTAATCATAGACTCGTGCTGACGGGCGTACGACAAGACAAATGCCGTGCTGCTGCTGCTGTTGGCAGCCGTTTTGCGGAAAAGCTTCTTCGTCATGCAACACTCGGCCAATTCTTGAAAACGATATTCATAGTAATATAGGTAATTAAGAAGTAATTCCCATGGCATGGACGTGGTTCTTCGAAGATGTTGTGCACGGTGTATGTGTTCTATCGTGATCAATGGCTCGACATCGAAAACGAACGGCAAAGCTATTTGCTGTATGCCCCATGTTGCATTCGAATGCCGATCGATTTCTGATTGGAGAAGAACGAAAGTGCGCACTTGTTCCCGTACATTGGCTGTGTCTGTGCCAAATGGTCGCTATTCACGAAACACACAAACAATTGGTCATAAAGCATGTCTTGTCGTCGTCGTCGTCTTTTTCGCTCACACGACTCTCTCGCTGCATTTGGAATTATTGATGGAAACATTAGAAGCGATAAATTAATGGTTGGTAAATAGCTAATAATGAAATTGAACGAATCAATTTGCGAAATATCTACCCAATTTCAACACATTTCGCCAAAACCCAAACAAGAGAACAAACATTGAAAAATGAATGAATTGATATCGAAAATTGTCGCTCATAAATTCTCGGCACTTCTTCAAAATCCACCGTTTTGTGGCCTGTATAAGTACGAACAGCAAGATAATGACTCGAAGAGAGCGAACACCTTTCGCAACATGAGCACCAGCGAAGTGCATTCAGTGATTGCAAACAAATGAAAAGAAAAAAAAAATGAATTCAAATGAAACGCCATAGCGTGAAAATATAGCAGCTATCGTCAAGTGAACAGCGACAATGGCAGCAACAAATTGCGAGTACACAACAACAAAAACAGAAGAAAAAAACAACAATAACAACAGTTGCATTCACCAACGCCAACCGAATTGCGAACCACAAAGGTGGAAGTGCAATGCGAATTGGGGGGAGCGAGAAAGGCATAAAACAACACGAACCAAACGGAATTATAGAACAAAACTAATTCAAAGCGATTAGATTATAAACTATAAATAATAATCACCGATGCGTATCATTTCGTCGGCGCAAAAAGATATATACGAATTTTGCAGATGTAATATAAACGCGTAGTGGGCGAGTGACCAACGGAAAGTGAATCGAAGAGTCAGAAAAACGTTTGAACATTTCACTCAAATTCTAATCACTATCGAATCCACTTGATGGCATCAAGTTGATGCTTACGTATCCCCATAATCAATATTCACTAAGTGATTTCCACAGCAGTATTTCGGTAGTGTGAGTCAGTGCTGTGACTCAGTGAGTATAATTTCATTCAAGAAGTTTTAGTTGCATTGTGGATGGACGAATTGGATGATGTCGTTAGAAAATAGATTGTCGCTTGTCATTGCTGTACAGTTTGATGAGTGTAATCATCATCCCAAAAAAAAAAATTATATTATTGCTCCCTCATGACTCAACAACGGTAAATGTTGACCGAGAACAAAATCCGACCGTTGCATATTCATCGACCGTTGAAAACAACAACAACAACAACGAAAAACGCCACACGAAGCCATAAATCTCACTGCAATTGCAATGGATTGTAACTGTTTCTATTAAATAAATCTAATAATATTTGACCCGGAACGTGAATAGCATCAACAACGAATCAGACTCGTCCATGTACAATCCAATCTTTGTGAGTGGTTTTTGTTGTTGTAGCTGTTGCTTCCCTCATCAGTTTATCTCAGAAGTGAAGCGCATCAAATGGCCGGCACAAGTGCAAAGTACCACTCAAATGCCTCTCTCATTCTCATTCTCCTTCTCTGCCGCTCTCTCAGTTTATTAAATTTAAAGTACATACTGACAGTCGAGCCGATGAACAATATGTAAAATGAAATGAATATCGTTGACTTGAAAGCCGGGACAAGAGACACAGGTGATTTGTATCATGTGTTTGTAAACCGTATAAATATGAATGCTATTTACAAGCAATTACTCATATTATGACTTCTTTTTTTCATCATATGGCATTTTCCACCTATTTTCATTCGCTCTCTTCAAAATTTGATTCATTTAGGATTTTAGCGCGAACGCGCGCTCATGGTAATTATAAACAAGAACGTGCGCGATTTTATTATAAAAAGTACAGCGCAATACAATAAAAAATAACAGCGAAAAATCATGGAAACTGTGAATGTCGGTAGGAAAAAAAAAAACGTTCGATTTAGGTATTGCAATGAATATTTATTAGGCAACCAACGTGCAATATGTGTCTGAGGGCAAATGAGAAAGGGAGTCAAAACTTAAAATAAAGAAGAAGAAAAAATGAATTATTGAGTCCCCTCGAATCATTCCATTCGGCACAACAAATTCAAATGTTTACGCTTCCTTCTCCGTGCAACACAGAGAGAGAGATGCACACATTCAACTTTTCAAAAATAGACGTAAATGTTTTATTTTTTTTATTCTCTCGTTTTGCTTGTCATTAATTGTCATATACTTGCACAGGTATATTCGGGCACTTGAAAATTCATTACTACTGCCATTTGGTGTGTACAAATCGTAATGCTTTAGCTATTAAAATAACATAATTATGTTTTCTTCTTGTTGAAATTTCAATGAAATACATTGGAAATGTGGTGTCAACATTTGTTTCAGTGTCATGAATATGAAGTGACTCATAATTTGATAAAAATCAATGAATAGCATTTCGAAAACGTGTCACGAGCATAATTCAGCGAAGAACCACATTGTATTTTTTCGCAAAAAGTCGCCGCAGTAACAACAACATGCACATAAGCTTTTCAAATCACAATTGAATCACCAATTTCAATATATACACGCTCCAATCAATATAGAGACGGCGGACGCCATGAAAAAAGGTAAAGTGTTTTTTTTTTTTGACTGGTGAGCTTGCTACCATGCAGGAGCAGCACTCGGTTTTTAAAATTTGTTGACATTTTGATTGGCAGCTTGGGTTTAAAATCATAGAAAACAGTGCAAGCCATTGCAAAAGGAGGAAGACTGTAAATGAGTTGTATGGCATGGAATGGATGGCATAGAATCTGAATCAGAATCGATATGTTGATGTAAGATGCGACTTCTAATTGATTGCTATTAACCAATGTAAATAAAGTGTCGGTTACAAAGGGTTTCTATGTTTTATACGTCGTCGATTCGATCGAACTCATTCACTGAGCTGTGTGTGTGTGTGTGTGTGTGTTCAATGCTCATTGTTTCATACATGCCTGCCGTTTTATTGGCATTGTCTTTTGGTTTGGATTGTCGCATCACCGTAAATGGTATATCAGAATCAATGAAAAAGAATAACAACAACAACGGGAGAAAATAAAGACTTGAGTATGGAGATGAGACAATTTTGAAACGCGCTTGAATACAAATAATTTATGTAATCGGCCAAACAAAGCCTCTAACAATAAGAAAAGAAAATAAAAATGTGCACAAACAATAAATTCGGTAGTAAATGCTCAAGACAGTCAGAGAGAGAGAGAGAGAGAGAGAGAGAGAGAGAGAGAGAGAGAGGGATAGGGAGAGGGAGAGAGAGAGGGAGAGAGAGAGATAGTTGAATGAGTATCAGCCAGAATGTAAGCGCATATATCTTGCGCACGTTATGTATGCGACAGAGCACCTTTAGCTTTCCGCCGTTGCTGTCGCTGTTGCTGCTTCGAATCTAATTTTTGCATAGCTCATTCGAATTCGTCAGCGAAATATATTGTTCTAAAAGGTGTATATCAGTTGTGTGGTGCCAGTGGTACTAACAAAGCGCAATGCACACAAAATGTCTATCTCACTCTCTTCCGAAACCGTGTCGGCTCTAACACCCGATGGATTTTATGTTGTGTGTTGTATATACTCTCAACATTGCGCACCAACAGCGCTCTCTCTCTCTCTCTCTCTCTCTCCCGTTCACCCCGTCCACTCGCTAGATTCATCATAGAAACCAAGCTACTGATATCTTTCCACATTCCACACACAACGCAATATTCAAACAACAATTGTAGCCGGTATTTTGATGCAGCAGCAGCTGTATGAACTTCAATCGACAACGACGTTCGAAGACAGAAAAAAAAACAGCAAACTGTCTTTCTCTTTCCCCATATTCATTCGCGTATCTTCTTTTCGATTCGAATGTACCGAAGAACTTTTTCATTCTATCCCTCTCTCTCTCTCTTTCCCTCCCTCTCCATCTCTACGGCCATTCTATTTTGGTTTCCTTTTTTTCATTTCAGATAATTCCACTGTGTTGCTTCTAACGATTGAAACAATAACGAACAAAAAATTGCTCATTGTTTCATCTATCGTTTCGTATTTATGACGAATGAGATTATCAGAGAACGGGGATAAAATGAGTCCGAGTGTGAATAACAATTTGTTGAACGGCCAGCACAGCAAAAATTGTCAACGAGAAAAATATTTCGTTTTATTTTTCTTCTTTCATTGAGATAACGACTATTATGATTAAATTTCATATCATTCAAGTGTATTTATAAATAACGGCAATTGCATTGCATACAGCCTCTCTCTCTCTCTCTCTCTCGATTCAATGGAAATTATTTAAATGTGATTTCATTCGTACAAAACTTCAAGAACAAACATAAAATGAGCAAGCGAAAATAAAAAAAAATCGAACAGAAAACGAACGAACAGAACGAGCACGTAATCCATTTCAACGCATGAGAATATTCTGTTGCTCAATCACCTTGAGCATCATCTCTCTACACGAGTCAAAATAGATCACTATTCAAATGATCCGCGGTGGCCACCATCTCATATCTCAACACATTTCGAAACAGCTCTTTCTGTTCTGTACAAAGAAAAAGAAAACAACGATTTTCAAATACATACACACACGTGTAAAAAAAAAACACGTTTAGAATTAGAATGACAAGAATGTAAGAGAATGGATGCGAGAAAAGAAACTGCTCAGCGTACATGGTCCTTTTGTATGAGCACAGAGAGCAACAACAACAAAAAATGTTAATACAGCGAAGCAACCGAATGGAGAAACACAACATATAATATAGTGCTAGGCGATGTCTCTCCTATTGCTTGCGTATTGATCGATAACATTTAAATGCCATGTAGCGCGCGTTCTCTCTCCATGTGAGATGCAAACAACAGTAGTGTTGTGTGCACTGGTAGCATCATTTTCTTTGTTTATGACAAGTTCAAAACGAAAGAGTGGCATTGCAGTTCGTACAAGAGCAGCACAAACAACACAGAATGACGACGAAGAGTGAGAGTGAAGGAGAAGGATGACATAGAAAAGGCTAGAAAATGGCATATTCCGAATTAAATGGCATTTTTACATTACGATTGACGTGGAGAAATGAGATTTTCTATACACGAACACGAATAATATTGATCTCGCCATACACTGTGGCTTGACTTAAACGGACCAAACAGAAACAAGAAAGTTAAACAATCGCTGTAATTGCAGTTAAAAGCGTATAACACTTGTCTTCGCTACAAAATCACGACATGGCATCGATTGCCGTACTATCGGAGAGAGAAAATAAATTGATTATCGGTTGCATTGAACTTTAATTGACCGAGAATTCGAAATTCTGTCATATGAAAAATCTCCAATTCAACAACAAGCGGTCACTGGCCCATGGTCTGTCGCATGAACAAGAAGTTGGAAATTTCCGGGTTCCACTCGCTTTTTTCTATGATTTTTTTCCGTTTTTTGTCTATGATTTTGTTTTTTTTTTTTTTGCAAAAATTGCAAACAATGTCAAGGCCACACCCATTCAGCAACAGCTGCATTGATTTCAGGCATTCATTTTTTGTGTTTGAGTATGTATTGTCGAGTGTGTCATAAGACCCAAGAATCGATTTGCCGGTTTTTAAACTCTTGTACTGCTGAATAGTTAGTACTGTACGGTTATTGCTGTTCTTTTGCTTAACTTCAACTCCATTTGTTTCGTCGTTGCACTTGTTGTTTATTGCTTCTTCGGCTACGTTTGTCTAGTTGTCGTCGTCGTTGCTGCTGCTGCGCTCCATATGTGTATGCAACGTGTTTCTCGGATAATTCTCTCACTCTTTTGCCCCGTGTGTGTACTTGTGTGGCGCACTAGAAGAAATACAGGATGCGCGTATATATTTTACTCGACTTTGTTTCTGATCCGTCGCTTTATTTTCCATTGAAATGGTTTGTCAACGAATGAATTCACATGATATGAGCCGTGAATATTTATCACATTCACATCGCAGATATCACACTTTTCGAAAGAAAAAATAAAATGAACGGCCGAAGAGAAAAGAGATTGTGTGTTGCACATATAAGAAGAATGAAAAAGTGAAGCAAAAAACAAGAACGTTGTTGTGTTATTTAAAAACCAAATGGAATTATGCCAAAATGTTGGATATATTGCCGTCATCAGCCGCGAAAAGGAGATCAAGAGAAGACACAACAAAATCAGCCAAAATTCAAATAATAAAAGAAACGACACACTTAGCCATCTCTTAGCGCTGATTGAAAATGCTGTGTGTATGTGTGTAATTCCGACTGTCGAGGAAAATTCGTCGTTTTGCTCGATTCATGGTCGACGTCGGAGCGAAAGCATATGGGAGTCCGAATGTGTGCTTAGCTGTGTGTCTGTATTTGTGTGTAAAAAAAACACTTGAGCGTCGCGTATTTTTGGTTTTTAAAATACCATGTTAATCACAGAAATGAGGACGAAAATTGAAATGATCACATATTTATTTAAAAGAAGAAAAAAAAAAGAAGCCAGCAAGCATGAACGAAAGCTGACGAGAGGAAAAAAACACACAACAAATCGGTACGAAAACAAAAACAAGCCAAAGGAATGAACAGCGCAACACTAAAAAAAGAGCTAAACAAAAATTGTGTTTTTTTTTTCTTCGCCGTTTCAACAGAGAGTAGCAAAACTGCTAATAAGCATTCAAAACCAAAAGACACATATAATATTCGTAATTCGTTTTTCATAGCATTGGTGATACAGGCTATGAATCATTGCACATTTGTTTCGACAACAAATAAATTATATTAGATGTAGAACGGACGATCAAAACGATTCAGTCGATGATGATACATATGGCGATTTAGCGTTTCTTCGCCGTCGCCGTCGCCGTCGTCGTCGTCGTCATTGTTGCTGTTGTTGCTACTATTTTTTTTTCTATTAATTTTTCGTAGATTCTTTCTCGATCAACTCGTTTGCGACTAATATTTTTTCCTCGATTTTCTATAATATACAATTTATACGTATATGATAGATGTTTTTTTTTTATTTAAAAATATCTACATGAATAACCTCAAACAGCAGCAAAATCTCAATGATACGCACACACATTGGCGCATATACAATTGAATGGAGAGAGAGACGACGAATGAGTCATATCTTTGTCGCTTCACTGTTGTGTGTTGTGTGTGTGTGTGCTCTCTGTTGCTGTTGTACTCTATGCCGCTTACTCTATATGGCCTTTGTGCAATATGTGCTCTTCATTTTCGAATAGCATTTCTTCAACTTTTTTTTTTTTGGCTGTTGCTCTCAATCAAATAGTTTTCAACGCCGAAAAGCGTTTAAGTTTCTTTACCATTATGTTGATGCACGTTGATCCATGTACAATTTTTTTTAAATATATATTTGGTAGTTTTTATTTTAATTCTTCTCTCATTTCATTGATGTATCAACCAACTATTGAATAGCGAGCGTTATTATAGAAATATATGTATGAATGCTACACAAAACCTGGAATGAGAACGGGACTTTTGCTGGCGAATCAAACACTGCTCGGTCGGCTGTTTTTTTTTTAGCTTTTTTTCATCTTATTTTTTATTACGATCATATTAAAGTTACAAAATGGATTATTCGCAATGGATTTTTTTTGATGTTTTAAATTTTATATTGATTATCTGTGTGTGATCGGCTATTATTTTTGTGTGGTGTGTGTATGTTGCAATCATTTTGTTGTTGTTGTTGTTGTTGTTATTATTAATATTACTCTTGTTGTTGTTGTTTTTTTGTTGTTGTTTGCTGGCCGCGGCTATCGCTGCAGTTCGGCATCGGCTTAATATCCACACGTAATTAGGTAATCACCCAGTTTTTCGACGATTGATGCAGCTTGTTGTGGCTGAACTGGATCTTCATAGATGGAAACTATGACCGCTTGAGCAGTTTTCATGCAGTGTACACCATTTCGGCCGAGCTTTGCTCGAATGACACGATCCGTTCCTGACAAATAAATGTATCGCTGACCGGCTAATGTAACACCGCCATTTGCAAGTATGTCTGGTTTGTCAAAGCCTTGAAGTAATTTGGCAATTTCTTCTTTGGTTACTTCAAAGTTATCCGATTTTGCCCAGATTCCGCCGTCGTGTCCAGCAATTGCTGCTTTCGATACGCATTTGGAAGCCAAAAGTTGGTTGTCAACGTAATCTTGCCAGCTCATATTTGTTGTAGTCGCTCTGTGTGTGTATGTGCGCGTTCGGGGCGAAGACGGGTACAATCCGAGAAGAAATGGAAATGGATTTTTGTATTAGTTGAAAACGAATTTAAATGGTCGTTGAATATTTTTTATCTTCTGGATATTTAATTAAAATAAAGAATTTCGTAGAACTGAATATCGTTTTTCTTGGTACTGAGTTACAGTTTGCTCTTTGAAATTGAAATTGAAATAAATTCTCTTTTTTTAGTCAAAATGCAGAAAAAAAATCAAACTCTATTTTACAAAACTCTTCAGTACTCTTATTTTTTTTTTTCTTCGCTCGTTTAAATTCTATGAACGTATCGAAGATTTAACCATATATAATTGGAAAAAAATACCACCGTACTTGTTTTCTTTCTTGCTACAAATAACTTTCTTGTCTTGGTGCGCTAAAGTTGTCGTCCAAATTGGCAAAAAAAATCTCAACAAAAACTTCTCGCTGTCGAACGCCACAGGAACAAAGAGAAAGAGATAGAGAGACACTCAAAAAACTTGTGGTAATTGTTGCATAAAACCGAACGAACGAACTGTATGTATTTGTCGGATCGAAAATTTGCGCAAATTTTTTTCTTTCTTCCTTCTTCTTTCTTTCTCGATTCTCTCTCGCCCACAAAAAAAATTCGAAAATTCAACTCTCAGTGAATATATTCTCAGCGTTCGTTAAAGCGTCAACCGCACTTTCAATCACTAATAAAACTAATTTATTTTGTGTTTCGGTTTTTCTTTTTGGAAAAATATATATGAAAATTGCTAAAAATAACTCTTCGAAATAAATTTGATTCGTCACTCTCAGACTATTTCAGTATACGCCTTTTTGTTATAGCTGCTGAGAAGAAAGAATTCAATATATATTGGTAGTAATGGCGCAGGGATATTAGAGAGAGAGACAAATGGTTTTTTCTTCAGACTTGCTTGCTTGCTGGTGGTGGTGATGTACCAATGTGTTAGTTTGTACTAAAAATTTCCATTATCGACTGTTATCGACATTGCATACCAACGGCAATACACACTTGCCGGCTTTTGTCGCTTCAGTGTAAACAAAATGCTAATGGAACATTTAATTCAATGATTTTTCGCCGGAAATCTAGACTTTTTAATTACATCATCCAGTTAAAATGGCCCTTTCATTCAGATTATGTTTTATTTTTTTCATTTTATGGACCGAATTGGAGTCTGGGATGTAACACGTTTCATTTCCATTGGTGCTGTGAACGCATCGTAAATAGTAATGGGTCGTTGACATTGAGGAACTGCTGAAGATCCAACACAATGCGAATGAGTACTAAAATAGGGTGGAACAGTCGATACAAAGAAAAAAAAACACCGCAATAGATTAAATGAAAAAAATGTATAACGATTCATTTTCATCACTGTTATTTTACTGTAAATTTTTCTCCTTGAATTATCAATTATTATTTTTTTCAAATATAATTTCATGCACGATTTGTGTACTAAATATGAAGAGTGCATGCCGACAGCAGCGCACCACACTTTTAAATGTCACTTTTTGTTTGAATTTTATTCGTTTACCATAAAACCTCATCGTACCTTATTTTTTTGTTTATTGTTGCACTTAATTTAATTTATTTATTGACACGTTGTTGACGGTATGATTTATGACGATCAATCATGGGCATCAAGGAGCTTTGGCCATTTTTGAATCCATATTGCGTGCGAAAGCCACTGTACGAATTACAAGGAAAAATGGTTGCCATTGATTTGGCTGGATGGATTTGTGAGAGTCTTTGTGTGGTTGACTATGAGGTTTCAGCCCGATTTTATCTACGGTAATGTAATGCAATCCCCGAGTGAACCAAAGAAAAGGTTCATAAGGCATCTAGACTTTTGCGTATACCTTGCGTATATATGCATTGGAGCGAACGAATATTGTTATTGTTTTTTTTTTGCTGTAAACATTTGCGAAAGACAGGATGAAGTGAGAAAAAACCATTCACTCCTATGGATGTATACACAAGGTATATGCAAAGGTGTAGATACCTTACGAACCGTTTCTACGTTTTACTCGGGTCATTGTCCAAACTGATGGGATTTCGAATTTTAAAAAATGTTTATGCTTTTCAGAAATCTATTCTTTCGAACATGCTACCTACTTCTGTCAGGAATAACGCCGGTTTTTGTGCTCGAGGGAACTGCACCCGTTCTCAAACATCAAACGATCTCAAAACGTAATCAAATTCAGTTTCGTGGTGCCAAACCGCGTAAAGAACCACCACCAGCCACTCAGGCTCCACGGTCACAACCGGCATCGACGCAAGTGAATACGCAAAAGGCGAGCAAAGGTCGCACACGATTCAATTATGTATTGAAACAATGCGAAGAATTGATTCGAAGTATGGGTTTGCAATGTGTGCAAGGACCTGGCGAAGCCGAGGCCTTTTGTGCACATTTGAATGCCGCTGGACTTGTTGACGGCGTCATTAGCCAAGATTCGGACTGTTTCGCTTACGGAGCTCGTCGTGTATTTCGCAATTTTTCGTTGTCCATGCAAGGGACGGCTGGTAGTATCGGTGGATCGATTGATATTTATGACCTGGATTTCATACAAAAATCGGTGGATTTTGGCCGAAATAAAATTATTGTAATGGCATTGCTTTGTGGCTGCGATTATTGTCCAGAGGGAGTGGGAGGCGTTGGACGCGATGCCGTTCACAAACTCTTTGGTATTTATTCGGATGAGGATATTTTGGAAAGGTAAATGATGCAAATTCAATTACAAATGACATTCAATCAATATTTCTCTTCGTATTTGATTCAGGATTCGAATGTGGCGAAAAAATGACAATAAATTCACTGAACTTGAAATGAAGGTCGATGATAAAAGTTTATGCGTGAATTGTGGTCACTACGGCCGAGTTCAGAGCCACACAAAAGGCGGATGTGCACAATGCAGAATGACCACTGGGTGTGATTCGAGCATTTGGAAGTAGGTTTCGAGCAAAAAGATAGGGAGATTTTTTAAAATTTTCCCAAAAGAAACTTTTTACGTTAAACGGTTCGTAAATTATTTCGCAGGGAAAAGCGATTGGCACTAAAATCAGAGCTACAAATACGAAAGAAAGCGATGCAGAGCGATGATTTTCCATCGGAGGAAATAATTGATGAATTTATGCAAGTTCCTATTGATATGTCACCATTGCAATTGGACTGGGGCCAACCGAATGTCGTTAAGTTTGTGGTAAGCGCTGGTGGTTTTCAACTACAAAATCAATATTTGATTTTTTTAATGCTTCCAAAAGCGATACAACAATCTGATTTCTTGATATTTTGCGTGTTTTCAGAAAATGATGGGCAAACTGATTCAATGGGACGAAATCTATTGTTTTCAAAAATTCTTGCCGCTTTTGACTCGATGGCAATTGCATCATGCTGACGATGATACAAGTAATGTGATATTACGTGGCTGTGTCCAGCCCGATTTCATAAAGAAAAAACGAACACCGAAGGGTGTGCCCAGCTATGAAATTATCTGGAAAGATGAACAAGAATGCTTCCATGCGCTGATCCCAGATGAACAATTGCGAATGTTCTACTCGACAAATAAAGAGAAGACTGAAACTGAGGCATTTCAGCTGCTGTGGAGCACAATTGAACCGATCGATTTGGTGGAAAAAGCATACCCAGAATTGGTAAATGCATTTGAAGAGTCAAAATCAAAGGGTAAATCGAAAAAGACTAAGAAATCGCCAGAAACAGCCATACTTACTAAAGGTCGAAAAGTGAAAAATGTCGTGGCTTTGGAAAAGCAAGTGATTTCGGAAAAAGCACCGAAAAAAGTCATATCACGTACAGCCGGTGCTAAAAGTAAGAAGAAGAACGATGAAAATGCACGACCAATTGACGTGTTTTTCCGAAAAAAGCCAGCCACTGGCATGGCCACAGTGTATTCATCGCCAAAGATAAAAACCACCACCAAACCAATGAATCTTTCGGCTTTCAACGATTCACTTACATCACTTGAACAAGACGATATGAATATATCGGCTATCGTGAGTGAAATGGTGTCTCGACCACCGAACGTAACTGAGTTTAATGGGAAGAAGTTGAAATTTGATGCAATCAAACTCCGAGTGAATGATGATCTGATGAAAGACATGAGTGGCATGAAGGAGAACTATAAAAAATCGAAGAAAGTACAAAAAAATGCCGTTGTCGAGACTAAGGCTGCCATTGGCGATGAAAATAATGAAAGTATCGATGAGTTCGATTTGATTGTAATGCAAAAGATGCGGAAATCCCTGGGCAGAAGACAAAAATCAATATTGGCATCCAGTTCAAATGATGCTACTAAACTAGCCAATTGCTCAACGCCAGTATCAAGAAGTCATAATTGGCGGGTGAATGAATCGCTAAAGCAAAGCCCAGACCTATCGTTCGTGTTAGAAACATCAATAAATCGAAAGAATGCTGTGATTTCAAGCTCATTTTTCGCGGTAAATCCAGAGGATGAGGTCGATCTATTTGAAAAGTCCATTGATTTTCGAAATATGCAAGATGCTGGCAATGAAGAAGAGTCGGACTCACCGCATAATTCAGATTCATTACACGATGATGACTCACCATCAGGCACAACCGCTAGAACAAATCAATTAAATGAAGATGATGTTGATGTTGATGAGAATGACACATTTGATCGTTTAGTTGGAATAGTTTAGAAAAACAATCTTGGATTTTATTTATTGTACTTAGTAGAACATTTTAAATATATATAACATTCGAACTTAGCAAATAGTATCTATGATTTTTTTTAAATAACGCTCCTATTCTAATCTTACGCCCTAAAAAACCATTTGTAACTGCATTTCACACGTGAGTTCAGATCGATGCAGAGCAAAAAGGATGTATGCGCGTTACTGCATTTGATAGGAATTCAGTCTTACTTTTTCTTCATTATTTCTCTTTTGATATGAAGAGACGAAGCCAAACAATTTTAATGGCAATAATATTTGGTGGCCTTTTCAATGTTCTATCACTAGTTAATTTTTTTTTTAAAAGAAGACTGCAGACTATGATATAATGGAATTATCATTGTCATACTCATAATCATCTCCACTGTCCGATTCCTCAACCGTTTCGTATTCGTCAGAGTCATCGATCTCATCCTGAAAATGAAAATCAAATTTTAATCGTTTGTTTTATTCTTTCGATTTTGTCATTGAATGTAAAATGCAAACATGTGTTTTAAGATTGCTGAGCATCTCAGCATTTCGTAAGGCACGGATATATCCGAGCATATCGACGACGCATACTGTATAATACAGTGGCGTGTGTTGCTACGTGCAGCCGCAATGACTCGACCGGAATGTGTATGTTGTTTCTGCGTGCAGCCACATCAACTGAACACACTTCGGTCGAGTCGTTGCGGCTGCACGTAGCAACACACGCCACTGTATTATACAGTATTCGTCGTCGATATGCTCGGATATATCCGTGCCTTACGAAATGCTGAGATGCTCAGCAATCTTGAAACACATGTTTGATGTAAAATGTGAATTACCTGAAAAACCAGTTGTTCAGTTTCGATGTTTAGCTCAATTTGCATGCGAAAATCCATGGCCAAAAAGACGGCGGTCACCAGAACGGGCAGTGTGACTTTGCAATTCCATGCGAGTTTCGTTAGAAAAAGAAATGATTTGCCAAACGTTGAGTCCATTATATCCTCTGGATGTGAAAAATCAAAATGTTTGGTTTCACGCAACAAATTCGAACACACTGTAATGAATTAGAATTTGGTTTGAGTAATAAATGATTCTTTTCGTTTATTGTTAATTTGAAATAACAAAAAATTAGATGAAGAAAAAATTTAGATTTTTCAAGGCAAACAAACAAACAAATAAATACACATAAAGACAGACACATTTTCTTGTATGCTCGATAACAAAAATATCTATATATTTTCTCAATACTCTTCGAATATCATATATGTATAAAAGTGGGCGGGAAATGTTACATTTGGAATCTAAATTAACAAAGTGCGGCTTGGACAAACAAGGCTTGAAACAAAAAATAGCTCAGTGGAATGGAGAGAGAAGACACAATTTTTTTTAAACTCGAACAATACTAAGTAAATTCGATCAAAACGAATTCCTGTAATAAGCTTATCTATATTCTATTGGCCAAGAACATCGTTTTTTTTTTCTTCATTAAAAGCGTTTTTCGTTCCGTTTCATTTTATTGTCAATTGTCATAGTAATCGATGTGCGCTCCAGAAACATAATCACCCGTTTCAATGACTTTTAGAAATTTGATCGTTGTTTCGATCGGTTGTAGAATTGTCCTTTCCTCGCGCAATCCCTTGAAAATGGCCCGCACATCGAATGCCACCGCATTGTTTTCTATTTCGTGTGTCATTTCGGTTTGAACGGGCCCGGGTGCATAATTAAGTACAGTCAATGTTGGATCACGTTCGGCCTCTTCCAATGCCAATGTTCGGAAGTACATTTCACGTGCTGCCTTGCCAGAACTTTGGTGGTGTTGTTTTTTTGTTTTGGTTTTCGTGCCGTGTTCGTTGTTTTGGAAAAAGAGTAAAATGTTAAGAAAATTTTGTTAAACCAAAGAAAGAGTAACAATAAAATAATAAGAATGAATTGGTTTGCTGATAGAATATACATTACCAGTACATGGTTAGGCTTTTGAATGGAACAAGGCTACATTTTGATGTAATGTTGACAATCAACCGTCGCGTTTGCACGTCGAATCGCTTCATGAATTCCGAATTGAGTGCAACCACAGAAAACACATTCACCGCATAATAGTCATGTAATTCATCAATATCACTAAAATCTTTAGCATATCGCTTGACATCACCAATGCTACCCACGTTATGTACAATCATTGCTAATTTAAATTCGTCGAGATTGCGTTCGCTGAGTGTGGCATCGAAAATGGCGGAACTAATTTGGTCGGCCGATGGACGTGTCAGATCGAGTGTCAACAGAAACACCGTTACATTTGATGGATTTTTAGCGAGAATTTGGGCTTTAGTTTCTTCGAGGCCCGCAGTGGATCGTGCTATCAACACGATAACAGAACCCGTTGCCATTTTTGCAGCACATTCAATGGCCATCGTTCGTCCAATGCCACGCGATGCACCACTCATTAGGAAAAAGGTTTTCTGCGTCAAATCGACGGCATTCATTGATTTTTGTTGAATCGATGACATTGTGCTCTGGGCTAATGATGAAATTTATTTGGTTTGTTTGTTTGCCAGTTTGTATTTTTTTTTCTTTGTAAATAAATGCAATGCGTTGTGATCTTACTTCGTTTAATGGGTTTCTTCGCTTTCGTCAGGTTCAGAGGAATTCTTCTGCTCTTGATCCAAATAATCGTGATTTATGATCGTCACCAATTCACCCAAATTGATCGGTTGCTCTGGTTGAATGTATCGCAAAATATCACGTCCCCGGTTCGATTCGATGTCCTCGTCCAAATGAATTTCGTCACCGTTTGTGCTATCGTTCAAATTGATATTACCCACCAGCAGATTTTCGATGCAATGTTCACGGCGCGCTTTCAGCTGATCCAAAATATTTGCAGAGTTTTTCAGCTTTGAAAGTTTCCTTTCTATATGTTATTGGCCCATTTAAGTCAATCACGTTCAGTACAACGACCAATATCAGAATGGTAGTATGATTTTATTTGTTGCCGTTTTTTTGTGTGTTTTGTTTTGCGTTTTGACCGAATAGAAAGTAAAATAAATATTTGACATTAGACAATTTCAATAAGCACTGTCTCTCTCAACATACTTTCAATTACACACATTTGTTTCGTACGCAATTGAATCAACAGACACCAAGAGCGAACGAACGATCGAGATAGAGATAGAGAGAGAGAGAGAGAGAGAGCGAGAGAGAGGGAAAAAAATTCGTTGTTGGCAAATTCGATAATAGAAGCAGAAAATTGAGAAGAAACCAAAAAAAGTGAACAGAGATTAAACTTTATAATAAAACAACAAAATACCTAATGCCTGAATGTACTCCTGTGAATCGGGTAAATTGTCGTTTGATACGTTTGCTGTGGTTTGCGCCAGAAAATTGTCTTCGAATGCAGATGGATTGGCGTTCGATTCGTTGCTGTTAGTCACACAATTGTGAGTATTTTCTTGATTTTTCTCAATTACATTCCATGGATCAGGTTCTACCATTTTAATAGGTCACCACCATACAAGAGAAGCACACACACTTTTGACACTTGTGATACACAAGATATGTCTCTTCTTTTACGGTTGTTCGTTTTTGGTTTTCTCTCTCTATAGCTATCTATACATATATTTTATTCTTTTATCCTTTTCTTCTACTTTGCTAAATTAATGCGACTCTGACATGACTTTATGAGTAAGAGACACACAACCGTTTTATTCAGTACTTTTTTTTCACATTCGCTAGTGCTCGATTACACACTGTAAATAAACGTGCATACATTCGCAACACACATCAATATGCTCACTCACTCTCACTCGCTCTCTTTCACTCTTCCTCCACTCGTAATATTCACGTACAAACTGCGACAACGGAACTAAAATACGACGATAAAATACGTATCAAGCACTAATTTCGTAAAACTGAAGTCGTATTGTTTGACATTTCGTTTTGATTACGCTACCTCTCACTCTACTGTCTGCGTACAATCATTTTGTTTAATTTGAAGCATCGATTTAGTGCTCAACTTGTTTATCTTCTCAAACACAATATTCCTGTTGGATTGTTTGGATTGAAAATTTAGGAAAATGGTAAGTGAAAAAAGAAATAGCAAACAATTCTTGCATTTACACGCCGACAATTTCAACTTGGTCGCATTTTTGTGGGGAAAAATTGAATAGACTGTATTAAATTTAAGGTTATGTTCAGTATATTGCTTTGTCATATAGCATTCGTGAATGAATACAAAAAACACAAATCATTCTACACGTACATTTATGAAATTACTCGATAAATTTTCAACTGTCTATTCGGTATTCTGTATAGGCTCGACGTTATGATTCCCGAACCACAATCTTCTCTCCAGAAGGTAAGCGAATCGTTTTTGTACGATTTTTTTTCTTCGAAAATTCCAAACTAATTTGAGTGATTTGATTTTGTATGTGTTAGGTCGATTGTACCAAGTGGAGTATGCGATGGAAGCTATTTCGCATGCCGGTACCTGCCTTGGAATTCTAGCCAAAGACGGTATTTTATTAGCTGCTGAACGCCGTAACACCAACAAACTCTTGGATGGTGCCATTTTTTCCGAGAAAATCTACAAACTCAACGAGTAAGAACCAAATGGCAACTCGTTCATAAAACATATACTCATTCAACTCATTTATGGTTTTCTTTCCATTTTAGTGACATGGTTTGTTCAGTTGCTGGCATAACATCTGATGCAAATGTGCTCACAAATGAACTGCGTGTAATAGGTAAATGTTCAACACTAAATCTTTTCTTCTCTTTAGTCAGAAATTATAGAAAATTTGTTTTTTTTTTTTTTTTTGTTTGGCAGCACAACGATTCCAGTTGAACTATGGCGAACCAATGCCTTGCGAACAGTTGGTTTCATATTTATGTGATATTAAGCAAGCATACACACAGTATGGTGGCAAGCGTCCATTCGGTGTATCCATTTTGTACATGGGTTGGGATAAGCACTACGGCTATCAATTATATCAATCCGATCCAAGTGGAAATTATGGTGGATGGAAGGCAACATGCATCGGTAATAATTCCGGTGCAGCCATTTCGATTCTCAAGCAAGAATTATCCGATGAACCAATCACATTAGCATCAGCCGAAGATTTGGCCGTTAAAGTGCTCAGCAAATCGTTGGACATGACGAAACTTACGTCAGAAAAGGGTAAATACACTAATTGACTTGATTTGTATTCAGTGCAAACTTTTCAGTTTTACTGAAAATAAAACGAATGAAAGTCGGAATTGTTTGATCAAAAATTAAAATTCCCTCCCTTTTCTTCTCTCTATGCAGTTGAAATGGCAACGCTGACTCGAGTCAACGATAAAACGGTTATCAAAATATTGACAAACGCTGAAGTCGATGCACTTATCGCTAAATACGAGAAAATCGAAGCTGAACTTGAAGCAGCCAAACGAGAGAAATTAGCCCAGAAATCTTAAGAATGTGGTTTTTTTTCTTCTCTTCAATCGAATTAATCGTTTATTACCTTATTTTCTTTCATGATCTATATTTCTTAGCAATGATGGAATCATTCTCTGTTTTGAAAAATGGAAACTAACAAAACCCCAAATAAAAAAGCATACATTTATTAATAAATAAAACGCATTTGTGTTTTTTTTTCTTCAAATTTTCACAAAATTTGGCGTTTTGTCGATTTTTGCTCGTTTATTTAGGTTCTGATTTTCAAGGTTTTTCTCTTGAAATTTTGTTTTGTTGTTTTTTCTTTAATTTATTTTTGGAAAAGAAAAATATAATCATGAACAAACAAAAACTAAAAAAAAATTAGAATAGGACTTTGATTTTTGAGTTTCATTAAAAACAATGTGTTGTTGTTGTTGTTGAATTATAGTTAATGTGTTGTTTGACAACACCAATTCTCTCTTTTCAACTAAAAACCAAAAAGGAAGAAAAAACGATACTTTTTCTATTTATCATAATAATAACTTCATAAAGTTTTACAATTTCTTTTCTTTATGCACTAAATTGTCTTGATAAAAAATAATTTGTCTGTTTTTTTTTTGTTTGTATTGTATATCTTGTTTGTAACTCGTCTTATGTTAGCTTTAGATAGATATTGCGCAGATAGTTTGATTCTTTACTTCTCTAAATAAGGAAAGAAGAAATTAAAGTGTTGTGTTGTATTGCATTTTTTTTTTTTCATTTCATTATTCGGATGTATTCGGCGGCGCGTTAAACATACAAAAAACAAAAACGCAGCCAAAACAGATGGCTATGCACTATTTTGTGTGTACGTATGATGCGCACGTTTCCTTTTTTCATGATGACGACTGTCCACCCCATTTATAGTAATATATAATTGCATAATTTGTGTTTTTTTGCCTAAATTAAAATATTCTTTCATATTTACTCGATTTTTTCTTCTCTTAAACATGCTTTAGTGTGTCTGTGTTTTTATTTACTTATTTTCTTCATATATATATATATATATATAGTTAGCATCATTTAATTTCTACTTTTGTAAATCATCACCAGCAGCCTCAGATGTGGAAAAATATTTTGCTTTTTGTTGTTTATTTTGAACTGGTGAAAATGAGATAACAAAAGCAATGTGACTATCGAAATGAAACAAAGAAAAAAATTATTTAAATATAAAGAAGCTTGTGAAAAAAAAATAACACAATTTACAGCGCACAAGATCATTGGAATTGACTCAATTCAATTATTGTGTATGTGCATTTTTCTATATCATTACTTCCGCTTATTCTTGTGAGTGTGTAATTTCCTTGTCAATGTCTTTTCGCCGTTAAAATGTGGTTTTTTGTTTTTTTTTTAAGAAAAAATTGCCATACTTTGTATGAACATTATCTATATCTTTCATTAAAATAATTGTAAATCATGTGTGATTTATCTCAACAAAATTACTAAAATTGCTTTTCGGATTTTGGATTTAGTTTTCTTTTTAAAAAATGCTAAGAAAAAAGTGCTAAAAAATGTCCTTTTTTCATTCAACAACCAAATGGATTTTTGTTTCTGCTTTCCGTTCTTTTTCCATGTTTCATTCTTTCATATTTTATGTTTGTTTGTGTTTTTTTTTTGTTGAAACACGTTAAATTATAAAATTTTCAGTGTAGTTTGAACGTCTATTTTGATCATAGGTATTTTTTTTATCTTAAAATTCCTATTTTCAATGCGGACCAACACGAAAGACCCTAGTCTCTCCCACTGTCTATTTCTCTCTCTTTTTACATCCAAGAATTAGTTCCGTATTGTTGATCATAGTTCGAGCCAATCAGTTCAAAATTACTCGTGTCCAGATTCGAATTTGGATTGCCCAGCAGCTCCAAATTGGTCAGAATATTTCCTATGCTGTTATATGAATTGGAAGCACTTGTGGCCGTGCTTGAATTCTGTTGTTGTTCATGTTTTACAATGTTTGTATCGATTGCTTTGGGAGCGTATTCCATTTGTGCGGATTCGTTTGGCCACATATTTTGGTATGGATACTGTGGCTGCTGCTGCTGCTGCTGCTGCTGCTGCTGCTGCTGCTGCTGCTGCTGTTGTATTTTTGTATCATTCGCGACGGCCGCTTGGTTGGGTGCAACCTTGCTGAATTTTGGCATATCTGGTCGCATCGGCACGCCATATTGAGCAGACTGTTGTTGATCGACCAAAGATGGATTCAAATTATTCCATCCCGTGTCCAAGTTATGTGTTTGCATATGATCATATTGTGCATGAGTATTTGCATCATAGTACGTAGGATATTTTGTGTTTGGTGCTTTATGTTGCTCGCCGGTTTGGCCAACGGCTGGATGCGTTGGCTGCATTTGGTGCGGTGTGTGCTGCTGCTGTTGCTGTTGCTGTTGACTACTTGGCGAATGATTTGTCTGCGACTCGGCACCCGAACTATAAGACACATCATAACAATTTTGAGGCATTCCCATTACGTTTGCATGGCGCGGCTGTTGTTGCTGTGCTTGTAGCTGTCGCGCCGATGGAGCTAAGTGATTTGAATAGTGATATTGGTTCGGGTATCGATAATGATTCTGAAAAGCATCACAAAAATTGATTAGTTCGATGTATTCAAGCGAATATTCATGCAACAAATTTTGCGTACCTGCTGTTGTGGCTGCTGCTGCTGCATATGATGTGGAGGTTGAGTTTGTTGATATTGCTGAGAAGCATTGGAAGCACTCTGACGATATTTCAACGGCTGTTGTTGTGCGTACTGTGACTGTAGCACATTCGGATGATGATTGGTCACTGTTTGCGTGTGATAGGCCTCTTGATATGCTTGTGGTAGATGTGGCTGCATGTGATAAGCGCTGCTTTGAACGTATGGGAGACTGTGATGGATTTTGTTTGCGTCACTTGTTTGATTCGAAGGCGTTGTCTGATGGTATTCATTGTTCGGCTTCTGTTGCGATTGGTATTGCTGCTGTATATAGAAAAGTCAGAGAATTTTACCTTAGTCAACTCCAAAATATGATATTCATTTCTTGAAAAATTCTATAACAATTTCTTTTTCTTCATAAATTGAAAAGTGACATTATTTTTCTAACGATTGACGCGAGCATTCTGATGAGGCATCACTATGTACTCAAGTTAGAAATGTTGATTTGAAATTACAAAGTTCATAGACAAGTTCCACGTTTTTATGTATTTATATATTTAGATAATATGTTGTTGATGTTGTTGTATATTTTTTCATCATCATCATCATCATCATCATCAAATGGGTTCATGTTATTTATTTCCATTGCCTCTATTTCCCTAGCTTCCCATTTAAAATTCCTTCAACGGCTTATCAAAAAACGATAATGCATTTATTATCACAGTGCATTCTGTGATTTAGCTCTTGTTCTCAATTTCAAAAACTAGATTGATCAATCAAACATGCTCTATTTGAGACTTGCAGCGCGTACAATGTGCACTGTGTGTTTCTCTCTATCTTTGCTACTAATGCAAACTTAATTATATTTTTGCATGCAATCGACAATAATGCTGCGCTTTAAATATGGTCTGTCTCACGCGGCCGTTCGCGCACACAGTGAAATTTTGCACATTTACCTGAAGTTGTTGATGCGCCGTCACATCATGTTGATTCTGTTGACTTCTTGGATTGTGAACATGGTGTTGCTAAAGGGAAATCAAGAAAAGAACGACAAACAAATCCATCATCAAATCAATCGAAAATGGAAAATAAAAGTTTGAAATGAATGGGCAAAATAAGATGGCTGCCTTACATTTGGCGGTTGCTCAAAGTATTGGTAGTAGTTTTGATTGGGTGTGCTTGGCGGTTGCGGTGACTGTTTGATTGGCATATAAGTTTCGACGACATGAAACGATTCGGGCATTTGTGATTTTTGCGCCACCTGTGGTGGATAATTGGCCACTTCATTTTGATTGTTTTGCGGCGTTTCCGGTTTCGGTACGATGGCTTGAGTTTCTTGTGGTGTTGACGAGGCCTGGAACTGGATCGATTGATTGTTCTTATAAAACGGGCTGTCGGATGAAAACGGTTGAAATGGTTTCTTTTGAGGCGGCGGCGGTGGTGTCATCGTTGACGAATTGCTTTCGTCTTTGTCGCTCGACGGATGCTTTCGTTTGGTTTTCGCTTTTGTTGTTTCACCAACCGCATTATTGTTGCCAGCATTACTACTACTACTGCTGCTTGTACCGTGGTTGCGCTTGGTGTGACGCATCAAATTTGTTTTCAATTTGAACGCTTTGGTGCAGATCGTACAGGCAAACGGTCGGTCCTCTGAGTGTGTTGCGATATGATTACGATACAAATGACGATTGGTAAATTCTCGTTGGCACACCTCGCAAGTATGCAACTTCTTCTTGGTATGCTTATCATTGATGTGCTCTCGCAGCGTATGGATTGTTGCGTAAGAACCGCCGCACTGTTCACACACAAAGCTCGGCGTTATATCCTTGTGAATTTGCATGTGCCGCGTCAGATTCGAACGAGTATCAAATGACTTTTCACAATGATCACATTTATGAGATTTTGCTGAGAGAGAGAGAGAGAGAGAGAGAAATGGAAATGGAATTGTTGCAAAATGGAAACACATTAGACCGATACATTTTTGGAATAATTTCGGATATGTTGAAGTGTTAATAGAAGAAAAAACGTCAATAGTTACTCACTGGTATGATGAACTCGTTTAATGTGCTGCTGAAGCATTGCTTCGTCTGTAAAGCTTTTCCCACAATACTCGCAAACTCGCGATCCATCCGTATGGCCCATCGTTTGCAAATGATCTTTGTAAGCTTTAATCGATGTGAATTTTTCGCCACAGCGCTTGCACACCGATTTGATTATTGGCTCCTTTTCATGCGTTTTTATATGGGCTAAATACTGTTGATTCCTCGACATTGAATCACCACACGTCTCGCACACATGTGGATACTGTTTCGAGTGGTATTGCCGATTGTGCCGGACACGATCTTCGATCGTCGTTCCGAAGTTTTCACCGCAATCAAAACAATAGCCAGGATGAAATTTGTAATGCACCGCAAGCGTTTTTCTTTTGTTATAGCTGGAAAGGAAAGCGAAGAACCATTAAATTTAAGTTACGATTGAATGAAACGAAATGAAAACGAAAATGCAGGTAACTTACACTTTTGGGCACTGGAAACACGTGTAGAGTTTGGTTTTGCGTGCCGGCTTCGGTTTGGCTTTGGTTGGGTCGGTTTCTTCGATCGTTTCCAACGGATCGATCTGATGATTGACTGATTCGGTGCTCATGCCTGATTGATTGGTCGGCGTCAGAATTTCGTCGTCGACCTCATTGAGAAGGCTCAATTCACGGTCGCTGTCTTCGTGTTCGATGGTCTCGTCAAAAATTTCGGTGAGTGTAGCTTCCGCTGTGGTTGTTGTTGTTGTTTTTGATGTTGCTGCTGCTGCTATTGAGGGTGCGTCGCCCAACATTCTCTGTTGCTTCACCAGCAACTTGCCATCAATCCAATGCTCGAACACGAAATCGTTGAAAATTGACTTCAAAAAATTCCGACTAAATCCAAATAATTTATGCACATTCAATTCGTATCGACTGTTTTCGTTCAGTAAGTGCTGAACGATGTTTGTTTTGCGTTGTTCGCGCGATAACACTACAGAGTTACTGCTGCTGCTGCTGCCGCTGCCGTCGATATTATTGCTGCGCTGCTGTATGACTGGTATCAATGCTTGATTACCGAATGCACCGGAATTTGCTAAATCATCAAGTTGAATGTGGAATTTTTCATCAAAGTCTTGGCTGTTTTCATCGTAGTCGTCGGTGTCAGTTGTCGGTGGTGATTTTTTCTCAATTACATCAGCCACAAGCCACTGTTCAACATCCGTGTTCTGTCCGAATGTATAGCTTGAATAACGCGATTTACTAAAGTGCTCTTTTGTACTTGCTTTCAGGGTTGTAATTAGAAATTTGATGGCCGCTACTTTATCTTGTTCGGATAATTGATTCAGAAATTTGATTAATGCAAATACCTAAATTTAGCACCCAAGTACAAAATGTATGGCATGTGTATTTGTGTGTAGCGACACAGAGTGATTTTTTGTCGTTGTTGTTGTAGATGTTGAACGGGGGAGGAAGAGGGCATCAAACGAAGAATAAAAAAAAATGTATATCAAGTCAAAAACGATATTCGAATCAATATCAAATTTCAACGATGACGTCGCAACAGTGACAACAATTTGATTACGATCGATACAGTTACATTTTAGTAGTTTAGTGTGATGATTACAATTTATTAGAGGAAAAATGCAGCATATTAACCGTTGTTGTCGTCGTCGTCGTCGTCGTAATAGTCATAGTTGTAGCCGATTGCGATTGCGAGACAGCACACCAGCACCAGAAACAGCACCAAAAGTCGGTGAGATTTTTGTTTGAAAGAAACCACAAAAGAAGAATATATATATATATATATGAATATTTTTACACACAGTTCAAAGCAAAAACAAAAAACAAACAAAATTATAGTCGTATTATTTAATTAAAATTGTTTAGACATTTGTTCTATTTCGGTTTGAAAAGATTCACTCACTCAACTGCACACGCATACAATATTTTTTTTGTAATATTTTCTTCTTTCTCTGTCTCTCAATATATTTTGATATATATATATATATATATATTTTGTTTTTCTTTTAATTTTATTGTAAAAATTCTAGTGTCTTTTTGGGCCTTTGCGTTGAATTTACACACAATATTATTGGTTGTGTCTCTACGCGATGTGTTTTCTTCGTTACTAAATTTTCGTTGTAAATTAATTTATAAAAGAAAAGAAGAAATACACACCGACAGAGCTAGAGCAAGTAAAAAATAAATAAATATAGCGTTTTGTACATAACACAAGGAGAGAGAGATAATAGTGAAAAGGAAGATACAACACATCTATTTGTACATGTACAGAAAATACTTTTTGTATTGCATATAGAAGTGAATATTCACTCCCAGTGAAATAATATACAGAGAGCGCGAGCCGAGAGCTCCACAGAGCCAGAGCCAGCTAGCTATAAAAAGAGAGAGAGAGAGAGAGAGAGAGCAGACGAGCTAGCGAGCGAGTCGAAGTCGAAGTCGATTCGAATTGAGTCGAACACACCAAATACGATGAATATTGCGAGTTACGAGTTACGAGAATTACAAATACGACAGATAGAGTGAGAGCGAGCGAGAGAGAAAGAGAGTGAAAAAGAGACAGAGAAATACGCATACACACTTACACCTAACACACTTATTTCATATAAAATAATAGTAGTTCATGAAACATAGCATTTGTAGCATACCATTAATTTAAAATTTTCTAATGTTACAATTGCATCCATTTTCTTTCTCTTCTCTATATGAACGAACGTTGTGCGATACGATGAGGAGAATAGTGTATACGCGCTAGATATAGCGTATAATAATGTACGGTTTGGTTTGGTTTATTTATATTTTTTTAGCCGTTGTTGTTTGTTGGTTGTTGTTATTCATAATAATAGGATGATATAGTACTTGCACACATATTTATTGCTGTGTCTTTAAACTCGTATGCACACATATTGAATTTTCTAATCGTTAAATATTTCTTCTTTTTCGTAGTTTTTTTTTTTCTTTCTTCTCTCTATTGTGCTGTTTTCTTCATTTTCCTGTGCTTTCTGTCACCGCCGCCGCCGTCGCCGCCGCCATCGATGCACCGCTACTTCGCGAGTGCTCCTTCTTCTTTACTCTTTCTCTGTCACTACTGCTGCTGCTTCTTCTTCTTGTTCGCTTCTTTTTCCTTCGCGTATTGTGTACTGTGTATTACTTTGGCTGCGAGTCGTCTTTTTTCTTCTTTTCTTTTTCTTTTCTGAACCTTATGTTTCGTATATTTCTTAGTGTTTTTTCTGCTTCTTCATCGTTTTCATGTGTGTTGTTCTTCTTTTTTTCTTCTTCCTTTTGGTACTATATTTTTCGTCTTATTCACAAGTCGTTGTGTAGTCCACAAACTCACGGCATATGTGAATACATAACATGTATGACGGAATACATGCACATCTCTTGTTCTCGTATGTAATCAAATCAGGCACACACTGAAACACTTCGTCGATTGTGTGCTTCAAAATCACTGTTCACTAGCTTATGTTCCTCGTTCGCTTACTCGTGTTGTTGTTGTTGTTGTTGTTGTTGTTGGCTGCTGTCGTTGCTTCTAGTAGTTGGCTTAATTCTACTTCTTTTTTGTTTGTTATTTTATTCCTTTCATACTTTTAATTTTATTCGAATCTTTGTTTTTGGTTTCTTGCTTCTTTTTGACTTCTTCGGTTTTGTCTATTTCACCTTCATTCTAATCACTGATTACAACCATCATTATTGTTATTAATATTTATGCATGCAAAAATAGCCACTTCTTTTTTTCTTTTCGGGTTCGATTGGTTTGTTTGTTTAGCGCAGAATGCTGCGCGTCTGTGCGTTTATTTTGATATACAATTACCAAAAATTTCATTTTCTGCATTTGCCTTCCTTCTCTCTATTATACATACGTAGATAAGATAAAATGACACATAAATTGCAACATATCACTGGTTTTTCAGCTGCCGTTGAGCTCATTTCGACGAGTACAATTGTGGAAACGGTTCGTTTGAATTTCGTCGGTTGTATTGTTTATTCAGTATGGAGAGCTTTTCTGAATCAACGATCAAAAGAGAGAATTCAAATTCAAATTCAAAATTTGGAAATGCGCGTTGTCATATTCGGTCTTTCACCGCATTTTGTGTGTATGTAAATTGTGTGCATGCACACGAAATTCCATGTTCATAACAACAAAACGTCGAAAAATAAATAAATAAATAAATAGTACACATAGAAACGAGAAATAATTCCGAAAATGCATTGAATATATTACGAATTGAATGGTGTGTATATGTGGGATACACACAACATAATTAGTTAATTACAATTCTAATTTATTTACATTGTGTGCGTTTTTTTTTTCCTCGGATTGCTTGCTCTAGAAGAGAGCAATAAAATGAAATTAATAGAAAGAAAAACAATAATGATAATAACAATAATAATAGTATAGTGTGTAATAATGCAACGCGCTCAACATTCATAAAAAGCACAACACACAATATAAACACTTTATCGTGCGTCTAATATATACGATTCATATATATATATATATATACAAGCAGCGCAGCACCGCCAGCAGTAGCAGCAGAAGCAAATTTTGAATCGTTGAATGAGCGAAATAATATTCGCGGTCTTTGCAACTAAACAAACATACACACACACACACACACGCACTCACTTCTCTCTCGCGCGTTCACAAACAAACAAACCAAATATCCCGTGCACAATTTCTTTTTCGCTATTTCATCTCGCGGCAATTCCACATGAAATCGACTGACGGAGAACCCCCCCTAAACTATCTCTCATCGTCGAAATCGCATAATGAACACTTTGGACACATCCATTTTGACATCACAATTGCATTGTCACTTTGCCGAATTGTATGCGTTGCACTAAACGAAACCGAATTGCAAACGAACAAAAAAATGCACACAAATCAATTTTAACCGTTTCAGATTGAAAAACCATCAACATATCGGAACGTGTTATTTGAAATCGGTCTCGGGACAATCGGTGCAGAGAGGTATATTGGGAGGGGTCATCACTGTCATCGGAAGTCTCAATTGCAGTTAGTACATTCGCGTACTTTCTCGGTAAGTCTCATCATCCAACCGAGTCGGCCAGGGCACCTGCAAGACATAAGAAGTTTTCGAAGATCGATTTCGCGTGGAATCACCAATGCGCGTATTTTCTTACTTATTTAGTTTAATTCACTTTATTGAACACTGCGTTTTTTTTTTCTTCAGTGCTCTGCTTTCTCGGTCTCTCGTTGCTTCTTCAAGTTTCTGTATGTCTTAACATTTCTTTTTATTCAGATTTTGAATATGACTTCTGTTTTCTTCTGAATTTCTTCACACTCTTGATATCCGACATTCACAATGGTGATGGTGATGGTGATGCACTTGATTGCGGATTTCCACTATCGAAAATATTGGTTCGAGGAGATTTTGTTATAGCGATGCGGCACAATAATGTATTGTTGACATACGCAAATAAGTCGACGATTGTAATCGCATTCGTTCACTTTCTCGGTGGATCAAGTAAAAATGTTAATCCAAATGCTCACAATTCAAGCACGTACAAATCGTTTTGTTTTCGTCGTTGCGTTCAAGTACATAAGGACTTTTCACCAATTGAACTGTCTTTCACCCTTTACTCTAAAACGATAATTGTCCGTTTTTTTGAACGTTCGCTGATTTGGTCGGTGTTGATTACAAGCACTGCGCTTCAACTTTTTCCTTGACACAACAACCGATTTCAAATTTCGTTTTGACATAAATTTCCTCGTCGTTGCCGTCGTAAGGATTTGGAAGTTTTTCTTTTTCTTTCTTTTTCTATCGGTTTAAAGGAGACTAAAGTCTCCACAGATTTTAGAAACTGATCGGATATCAGAAACCTACGCACTTACACACCGAGAGAGAAAAGAAAAAAACAACTCAACTCAAATATTGGAAAACAAACATATCAACGGAACAGAAAAAAAATAAAACAAATTAAGACGAAAAACAGCGATACAAACGGAAAAATGTGTGTAATAATTTTCTAGTGATACATTTGAGTCTCGTCTCCGCACACTGTGCACTTAACTAGAACTAGCGTGTATCTCGCGTATTTTTATTTTTTTTCTCTCATTACTTCTCGTTTGAATTTTTTTTTCGTATTAATTTTCCTTTTATGCATGTGTATGTCTTGCCAATGCTTGTGCTACTATTTTATTTTGAATGAAAGAGACTAAAACACTCGGTTTTGATATGTGTAAGTGTGCGTATTGTAAGAGCGAGAAAGGGACAGAGATCAGGCAGGCACATATAACGCGTGCGACGACGACAACGATAACGACACCGTACAGTTTTTATTTTCTTCCATTTATGCTTGTATTGTTTTGAACTCAGCTAAAAAGAAAAATCATACAAACATTTTTCTTCGTTTTCTTATTTATCCATTTGGCTCGGTATACAATACACAGCACACAGTGAAACGCACACAGATAAATCTATGCACCCATACAATCGAACGGCTAGCCAACGATGATACATTTCCACAGGCAGAGAAACAGAGAACACAGAGCATTGCTATATAGACATATATGTATACTATTGGCTGCACAAAGTTTATTCCTTCGTGCGGTGTATATCAATGCTGTGCTGCTGTCGCTACGAATATTCGTGAAATGTACAGCGGCCGACCGAAGGAAAGGAAAAGACATATCACAAACCGTACCATGTAATAAAAGGAGCGAACAGTTCGGCATCAACAATGGCCAATTTAAATGCGTTGCAAGCACCGAGTATTTGGAATCATTAAAAGGCATGTACACAGAGAGAATGGTGCGGCATAGATGAAGATAAAGAGATAGAGAGAGAGACACACACACAAACAGAGAGAGAGAGAGAGAGAGAGTGGAAGGGAATAAAAAGGAGGAAGAGAGAGAGAGAGCGAGAAAGAGCGCGCATAAGAAATCTTCGCGTTCGCTGCAACGATGAGTACACGACCAATGAGTAGTTAGTGTACAATGTACATGAGGAATACGCGAGTGACTGTAATAAATAAATTGAACTGTCAACCGACGACTGATTCAATACAACTAAACAAGAATTGCAAGTTTATACAACCACCACATGTAAACCCGCACGACCAACCAAATATATACTCAAAAACTCTGATATCGCTCGACTAATTTGTATATTCCGCTTGCTCTTCTCCACAGAAACCAAATGCTATGTATATACGCACATAGACATAAACATCTCTTGCTGAAATCTATGTCTATTTATTCAAATGACGACCGCTGAATAGAACCGAAGAGCTTCCGATCGAAGGTTCGAACGAACAGAACAGAAAAAAAAGAACAACAACATACAGAATTTGTGTGTGTCTCTCGCTCCATTCACATACAACGACGGGCACGAGTGATAAATTTCCACTGTTATAAGTATGTGCATATATATCTAAATGTATATAGAGTACATAGAATCTAATTTATTAGATTTGTGGTAGTACATACAAATAAACGTTCATTGCAACTAATGAGATGGAAAAGTCCAACAAAACTCGTATGAAACTAATTCGAATGCATCGAATAAAATGACTGCATTGTATACATTGAACCATTCTGTTGTGTGCAGTGGCGAAGACACTGAAAATTTTACCAATAAGAATATGCATGTTGCCAGTGCAGACAGTAAATCATGAAACTATGAAAATTTTTCACGCGATATCCAACTAAAAACTAAGCTGTTTAAATTGCTTCTCCCTCTCCCTCCCACACACACACACACACACACACACACACACACACTTGTGTGTGCTGTCTATCTATATCAGATTATGTATCCTCGCTCTATCGAATGTTTGTACTTGGTTTGTGTGTGTGAGTATGTGTTTGAAATTATAACAGCAACAGCAACAGCAACAACAACAGCAACCATATTACTCAATTCCAATGAAAGGAGACAGAGGGAGTACGCGCCAATCTCAAAATGAGAAGCAACAAACAAATGGAAAGTTGCATGGATGTGATATGTTTGTATATGTGTGTGTGCCTATATGTGCTATGCTGTGCCCGTGCTTGTACTCTGATGCTATTCTTAAGAAAATCCTAATACTATCTGTGTGTCGGTTTTTTTTTTGCATTGGAGCGTGCTCTCTTTGGGGCGAGAAAGCGTGAATGCAAAACCCGATTCGTTTGTAGTTGTGCAAAAATTTTATACATATTGGATTAGCGCGTTCCCATGATTTATTATTACATACAGTCTTTTATTTACAGCAGCAGCAAAATACACACACACCAATACCAACCAACTCCATTTGGATGTGTCTGGATGGCTGGTTGATTTAGCAGAACTATGACAACACACTGAAATATCCGAACGAAGAAAATATCCATGGTAAGATCTACGCAGCAGCTTTCCTCTTCAATGTAGTCGTGAGGATTTGGGCATGGAATTGTAAAGAAAAATGAATTTTCCTCAGCACAGCCAATACTCGCTGCTAAATCGAAGGATTTGGTCTTCTTCTCGAGAAATTGACGCAACAAAAAATCATCATCTTTCGAGAATGAGAAAAATAATTCCTTTGCGTTCTGGAATGTGTGGCAGTTTTTGGGGCTAAAGGTTAGAGGTGAACACCATCACATATGATAAGCTATCAGTTTAGGAGTCAGTTTCATTTGCTTGAATTTCTGCATGGGTTCCTCTTTCTCACTTCGATCTGTGCGACACAAGATGTTTCGGCATTTTCGTGATTAGCGATCGATATCGGATGGGAAAATGGACATTCGGGCACGACTCAATGCGATTCGTTGCCGATCATTCGCACTATGTAACATATTTGCGTCAGTTTCTGCGCGTGTATATGTATATGAGTGTCAAATTAGGTGCATGTGTTTGTATATGGCGAAAATTGGTGCGGCTGATGTTGATGTGCCGTACGTCGTAATATAACTAAATATACACAGATCTGGGGAAAATATGTGGACACGACTTCGAAAATATCTTCATCTTACTCTCTTTCCGTCGTCTGTACTTGTGTCTGTTTGGCATGGCTTTTGGACCCAATCTTATTGTAACAAAACTATGAACCGATCACACTCTCTTTCTCTCTCTCTCTCTTTCTCTCTCTCTCTCTTCCGGTATCTCTCTGAGAATGAATAAAGTTGTGTCGGCAAAAATCGTCGTGGTGAATAACCTAATTTAAATGACGAAATCAAATAACCATGAATACAATGGGGCAATTCTCTGTTTTTTTTTCATTCATTCATTTGCCCGGTCAAATTATTTTCCTTTTCATTGCGAATCCAATTTACTCCGGGGATGCCATTTTCAGCCATGTTGATGTCGTGTGTTGTGTCCAGACAGCCACAATCAATTACATAGCGCGCTGCACTGAAATTTCGTGGTTATGTTATGTTATGACTGTATGACATAACATGCATTACGTTTTCTCGCTCTCATCAAACAAAAAAAATGCTAAAATTACAAGACTTGTGTGTGTTCGTTTGAATGGATTTCTAGAATGATTTGATCATTCTGCATTTCGAAATGATGTGATTTTGACATTTCAAAGAGAAAAGTAAATGAAAACAGAAAATACGACTGAAAATCGATGAACCAAGAATCTTACATAATGAACTCATTTTGTTTCTACTCATCACATGATACATCAATGAATAGGGCTTCAAAAGTCGTTCTATTTTTGTTTTTTTGGATTTTTCATTTGTTTATTTTTTCTCGATACTTTTTTTTAAATTTATAACTTTTTGTTGAACAATAAGTTTCGAATATTGAAAATTAATTTCACTTGGTTATGACTCGTTCGCTCGATTTTTCTTTCTTTTCTTCTTGTTATAATCCTGCTCATCTAGATCAGCTTTTCAAAAGTAAAATTTTCCCATAGTTGTTCTTGGTGAAGATGGTGGTAGTTTGGGCGAGACCAATCCAAAAATCCAAGCCAAATATTCGCTAGAAGGATCAAGCAACTTAGAATGTCTATATTTTACTGGATAAAATTGAAAATTCATTAGTATTGATGTCATAACTATTTACAACAAAATAAAAACCATTTTGCCATTAAATTTTACGTACTTTGTTTTTACTTAAACTTCTGGCTCTGTTGTTTGTATGGTGTAAATACATTAAATGTTGGGTTGTTGTTGGTATTGTAGTTGTTGTTTTTTTTTTTTTTGTAGTAGTATTTTCTCAACGAAACGAAAAAAGAAAATTTTCTTAGAATTTTGCTTAAGCAGCGAATGTGCTCAAGAATTTGGTGACAATATCCTTGAGTTTAGTGTTTGTGGCGTCGGTGATTTGACCATCGGCTGAGATTTGTTTGAGCAGCGATTGTTCATTGGTCTTGATGTGTTGCAAAAATTCCTTTTCGAATTTGGTGATCTTTGATGGGTCCATTTTGTCCAAGTAACCACGGACGCCGCAGAAGATAACAGCGACCTGAAAATCAAATCAAAATTTGGTGTCGTTGAATTAAATGCTTCTTGATTTTTTAATTGATGAATTCAATGGTTGTGGAAATGGACTTACTTGTTCTTCAATGGCCATTGGCACGTATTGTCCTTGTTTCAACAATTCGGTAAGACGAACACCACGGTTCAACAATTGTTGTGTGGCAGCATCCAAATCGGAACCGAATTGAGCGAAGGCGGCGACTTCACGATATTGGGCCAATTCCAATTTCATTGAACCAGCGACTTGTTTCATGGCTTTGGTTTGGGCAGCTGAACCGACACGTGACACAGACAAACCGACGTTAATGGCTGGACGAATACCCTTGTAGAACAATTCAGTTTCCAAGAAGATTTGACCGTCAGTGATTGAGATGACATTGGTTGGAATGTAAGCTGATACATCACCAGCTTGTGTTTCAATAACTGGCAGAGCAGTCAATGAACCGCCACCGTGAGCCTTTGACATTTTGGCGGCACGCTCCAACAAACGTGAGTGAAGATAAAAGACATCACCTGGGTAGGCTTCACGACCTGGTGGACGACGCAATAACAATGACATTTGACGGTAGGCAACGGCTTGTTTCGACAAATCGTCATAGATGATCAATGCGTGTTTGCCATTGTCGCGGAAGTATTCACCCATGGCACAGCCTGAATATGGTGCCAGGTATTGCAATGGGGCAGCATCTGATGCAGTGGCTGACACAATGATGGTGTAACCAATAGCACCGCTATCAGTCAAACGTTTTACAATTTGGGCAACGGTGGATCTCTTTTGGCCGACAGCAACGTAGATACAGTACAATTTCTTTGATTCATCTTGTCCTAAGTTGAAACGTTGTTGGTTGATGATAGTATCGATAGCCAAAGCAGTTTTACTAAAAATAGAATTCAAACAATTCAATTGATTAGAACCGATAGGTTATTACATATTTTTCGTTTTCACTCATCTTGCGATGTTATGTAATTAGAATGTGTTATATGATCATCGAACGGTACACCATTTTTATGATGCGAACAAAGCGAACAAAGCGAATGAAAAGGAAAAATTAGATGATATGAGAGAAAATGTAACGGAATTTACCCAGTCTGTCTGTCACCGATGATCAATTCACGTTGACCACGACCAATTGGCACCAATGAATCGACGGCTTTGATACCAGTTTGCATAGGTTCACGTACAGATACACGGGGAATGATACCTGGAGCTTTGGTTCCGACACGGAAACGTTGTTTTGTGCCCAATGGACCTTTGCCATCGATTGGATTACCCAAGGCATCGACGACACGGCCCAAAATCTCATCACCGACTGGCACATCGACAATAGCACCAGTACGTTTTACAATATCGCCTTCTTTGATCAATTTATCGTTACCGAACACGACAATACCAACATTGTCGGTTTCCAAATTCAATGCCATACCCTTCAGACCGGATGAGAATTCCACCATCTCATCGGCTTGGATGTTATTCAAACCATATACACGAGCAATACCATCACCAATGCTCAATACACGGCCGGTTTCTTCTAAATCGGCCTTTGGTGCAGCGCCTAGGATGCGCTCCTCCAAAATCGATGAGATTTCAGCGGCACGTTGACTGCATGATACGTGGAATTTACGGGCTGCAATTGCGGCAGCTGGATATGCTGATTTTACGGCAATTTGTCCAGCTGTTTTTGGCAATTGACGTGCCAAAATAGTGGCCAATCGCGATGATAGTAGAGACATTTTTTACTTAAAAAATTGTTCTTGTGTTATATAACCGTACCTCACACTTCTATTCGAAGGAAAAAAAGATGGTGGCTCGTATCGAAAAATGAGTTGTGTAACTATCACCGACTTTGCGAACAATGACAGCTTCTCAAGTGAAAAAACTCACTGGGTAGGTGAAATTTTTTTGTGCCGATAGCGACTACAGCGCTCGGGCACAACGTTCTTGATTATACAACATGTGGTGTTCAATGACATTGCTCTGTTGCCGCCATCTATCAATTTTGGGTTGAGACTACGTGCAATTCCCTACTTTCAATTTATCATTCAAATGCAATAAATTATATTTAAACGAATGAAAAACACCGCCAGTACTATGCTCTGTAAATACACGCAGTAAAAATGTACATTTTTCAAAACATTTTTATTTTTCGAAAACTTCCATTTAAAATCACTTGCGTTCTCCGGTCCATTTTAGCAAAACGAAATGGTATGGAAACCGATGGATGGGGATTGAACGCATTCAGGCCACTTTATCGCATGTCGTATCAAATTATGACATTTCGTTTTGAACGTTTTCAATAGTCGGCTTTCTGTGAGCGATACTAGCGCAATACAAGTTTGACATCTTTCTTTTCCCACGAAACTCCGTCGTGGTAAGTTGTGTGATTCTCTGTCAAACAAAAAATTCACTTACCAAAATTTAATTCAATTTATTTCCCGTCATCTGACGAACTTTATCAATAATTTTTTCTCAGTCAAGTGTACGGATGATTCTTCCATCGATCCATCAATATATTTTTTGATATTTTGTGCATATTCATTATTTATTCGCGTATGCATTCACCAAACCAAACCGCATAGAACAATAACCTACAAATAAATACATGTTCACTCGCATGTGACTTGCCCAAATATTCAACTGGACGTTCTGTTTTTTCGTTTCTATTCGCAGATAAACACAAGTAAAAATGGTTAACGGCCGCATTCCATCGGTCTTCTCAAAGACCTACGTCACACCACGTCGTCCATATGAAAAAGTTCGTTTGGACCAGGAATTGAAAACCATTGGTGAATATGGTTTGCGTAACAAACGTGAAGTATGGCGTGTCAAGTACACATTGGCCAAAATCCGTAAAGCTGCTCGTGAGCTGTTGACCCTCGACGAGAAAGATGAAAAACGTTTGTTCCAAGGTATGTATAATTGCCGCCAGTTTCACTGAGCTACTTTTATTCTCTCCTGTGCATTGTGTACATGTAAACGAATAAGAAGACGATTGTGATGATTCAACATTTATGACACCTCTTGTCAGACGAGCCATGGTGATAAAAATTAAATGTTCAGTGAACTGATGGATGCATAGCGAAATTTCATATTAACATGAATTTCACGCACACGCACACACACACACAGTGCATCCACAATGTACTAATCAATAGAATATTGCAAACTGATTTTGTGTTTTGCTCTCCCACAGGTAACGCTTTGTTGCGTCGTTTGGTTCGTATTGGTGTATTGGATGAACAACACATGAAACTCGATTATGTGTTGGGTTTGAAAATTGAAGATTTCTTGGAACGTCGTCTCCAAACCCAAGTCTTCAAATTGGGATTGGCCAAATCCATTCATCATGCCCGTGTATTGATCCGTCAAAGACACATTCGGTAAATATCACACACACACACACACACAAAGCAAATGAACATGCAATTTAATAAGCACGTGGAAGGGAACACACAATGATATGTATCAATCAGGCCACTTTTGTGCTGACGATTCGCACACGATTCGGATCGGTATGAAGCACATAACGTCTGATCGCCCTCGAGATATTGTATAATTTTGTGAAAACCTCACTCAACCAATAACGCAGACAAATGGCTCAGTGTCAAAATGTCGTAAAGGCCACTTATGCATCGCATCCCTAACTGCATTGGGTCGATGCTTAACGCCTTCAGTGCCTAAAATGTAATTTAAGCGCACATTTGGTTGTAGTAAGTACCACGTATATTCAAAACAAGATTCGAAGAGAATTCAACATCATTCAGTTCCCTAGACTGAACATTCATTCCGCCTAAGATGAAATACAATTTTACTTATTCGTTCCCTTTCTTCTGTCCGAATATAGCGTTCGCAAGCAAGTCGTCAACATCCCATCATTCATCGTCCGCTTGGATTCGCAAAAGCACATTGACTTCTCGACCAAATCACCATTCGGTCAAGGACGTCCAGGCCGTGTAAAGCGCAAGAACTTGAAGAAGGGACAAAGCAGTGGCGGTGCCGGTGAAGAAGAAGATGAAGAATAGATTACACGCCCCCAAAAAATATTGAACATTGAATCGATTGCTTTTTGATGAAGCGTTACAAATAATTTTTTGTATTCACACAATGTTTTGCAATAAATTACAAGTCGATTCAATTTGTTCAAAAACATAACAAATGGTATTCTTTTTTATCTTTATCGAAATATTGGGTTTTCTTTAACAAACGATTTGACGGATTTTCTTTTTCATCGTTCCGAAATGTGAAATGAATTTTTATAGAAAAAAAAAGTTGAAAAAAAAAATTGGATATTCCTATCGGTTTGCAGTCTTGAAGGTCTTGAAGATTCCCTTGAAATTCTGTAAAAATAAAGTTACAATTTTGTAGAAATAAATTGTTTCTTCTTTTTTTGAGCACTACAATGGAAGGACATTTTTCAAAAATTCCAAATTGTTCCATTGAACAAAGCGAAAAAATAAAATAAAAAAATATTAAGTCTACCATGGTAAATAAAAACTTCAATGAAAATATTCGGTGTCATCAATCGCAACATTCATTTTTATTTAAAATATTTTAATATCCATTAGATTAATTACAGTGGTTAATGTTTGGTTTACGCACATTACGTTATTACATGGAAAAACTACGAACCGACTATTGGAAACAAATATTTCCATGAACAATTATTTTGATTTCGTTTTCTTTTTTTTTTTTGGCAAAGCATTGGACAGAATAAACAAACATATTAGTTGAATCACAAATGAGACAGAAAAAACTGAATACACGGAATGAATAAATTCTGCTTAAACTAGAAAAAAATATACTTGAAAAATAAATGCCATTAAAATCACAAAACTAGACAGATCGCGTTGTGTATGAGTATGCATGTGTCATCTGATCAGATCAAGTGTGTATGCCTGCTAGTCACCGTGTTTGTATGTTTCAGGTTTAATAATCAAATTACTTCCCGGCATCGTTCATCTGCTTCGGAATCGGGATGCTCAGCAAGGAATTGATCAGTTCGGAATTTCGTTTGCTCGTTTGAATTGAGTTGCTTTTGATATGATATGGATTTTTGATTAATGCACAAATTTTGTCGAGAATTTTCGGTTGACGAGACATCATTAGAAGGAAGTTAGTCATTGGACCGGGAAACTGAAAATGTTGAACAAAAACAATTTAATTTGATATGTCTTTATACTTAGAAATGAACATTTAATTTGAAACATTTTCATTTTGTTGTGGTGTTGTATTATTTATTTGAAAAATCTTTTTTTTCTAAATAAAATTTAATTCACACAAAAAAAAAAATGATTTGATGATTATAATCAATTTCAAAAACATACTTCGTCTTCGATATACATTTCATCGCCAGTGGACAAGCCAAAGCAATAATGTACGTATAACATAATCAAAAGTGAAAATATGGATAATTTTGCCATCACGTTCTTGAAAATATTCTTCACAAAAATATCGACTCAATAATAAACTGATATGAAATGAAACGAAACGGAATTTCGAATTTTTGAGCACGCTTCAGAAAATAGACGATAATTTAGCGGTTTTCTTCTGTGTTCAGTTTATCGACTGAAAGGAAACTAATGAAATCCTTGTCGAGCATCGGCATTTTATACTGGATTCGTTTTTGGATGGATCCTAGATTCTGTGACGTTCTAATGATAGAAAGAAGAAATAAAAAAAAAACAATCAACGTAAAAACGGTGTATTTTCTTTTGTCAATAACAATTTAAATTTGAACATGATTATGCATTCATATCGAGAAAGAAATGGGGGTGGATGCGATTGCATTTAGTATTTACCGTCAATCGAGCGCAGCATGTGGTCAAATATTACTTCAACGAAATTGATGTCTACCTGATACGGATGGCTGCCCTACTTCGATAAATTTATGTATATATCGGTAGCAATGCCATGAAAATTGATCTCTTTCTCTATCTATCTAACTCTGTGCTTCAAAATCCATCTCTCTCGGTGTATTGTTTGCATGTGCTGTTTTAAAGTAGGTGGATGGGCTCTTGTATTTGTGGTATTTTTTTGTCGAATTGGCGCGCTTGTGTTTGGCCGTACCTATATCAACTCTTTCAATTACAGTATTATATGAGAACATGTAGAACTTACGCATTTTTTTAAATGTTTTTCTTTTCTTCATCCCAATGAAAAATGTCGATTGCAGATAAAAAGGAGTCCGTATTACATGCTGATATCATCACATTATACAAGAATAGTCCTTACGTGACTTACGTGTGCACCTAAAATCCGTTTGCCAATGCTCGTTGAATGGAATGTTGCATGATTATTTCTTAAAACATCCATATAATGTAAAACGGTTTGTCAAAAACAAAAATGAGCCACGATTCCGTAATTCCAGGTTCACGGCAAAGAACAACCAAAATTCAGTTCAGAAAAGGTGCGAAAACCGATTGAAGCTAGCATGTCAGAAAATGTGTGTGATTGCATCAGATGACCGCCAGAGGGCAGCCGCTTCATATCAATGAATGAAATAAAACAAATCATCAAATTGAAACGTCAAAAATACAATATATCTTTGATCTGATTTTTGTTTTGGAGTTCCATTTCACGTAATTTTCTTATAATCCAAAGCCATTCATCGTAACATTCCCAATTGTATATCGTCTTTGATTGTTTGTTGTGTTGAGGCCACAGACTCATTTATCTAATCAATGTCGCTGCAAATAATAGACAAGCGACACATAAACCATTGGTGCAATATTGATTGTTGTTGAGAATATATACTTTTTTTTTTCTGTTTAAAACTGCATTGAAATCTGAGAAGGCACACTCCGATTCAATGCACAACTCATCAATGAAAATTGTTGATTTGCTTATGTGAGTGAACGGAAAAGGCGAATCAAGTGATTGTGCGTATGGTTTGAAATCTTTAGTTGTCTTTAGTCAACGCAAAAAGTGATTTGGAAATTGTGTGTGTTAAATAATAATCGAATGACAAACAAATTGAATGTTCATCGCTCTAATTTTCATTCTACTACGGAATCATCGGTTTGATTTTTGGACTAAAAGAGAAAGTAATCACGTGAAAACTAATTACAGATAAACTGTGTTCGATTTCAAGTGTGGAAGATCAGTGTAATTTGTAAAAATATAGAATATCCATTAGGCAAAAGTGATTAAACCAAAGGTGGTTTTGACACATCAAATATCAATCTGCACCTGTATCTTGCAATATTATTTGTTTTTTTTTTTTTTTTTTTTTGTAAAACGCAAAACGTTGTGTTGCATACTAGGTGCACTTATACTTATACCAAGATGCATATTTACAACCACGTAGTGAACGGTGAATTGTATTACTTTTGAAGAAGGGTGTCTGAATCTTCAATTCGTTTATTTGTTCTCACATTTGTTTGTCATTGAAAGTTTGTTTATGCATCATCAATCCGTACAATCTGCGACTGAATTTTTTTCTCTCACAAACTCCCGAAAATTTATTTCAAGATTCAGAAAAAAAAAAACGATGGAAAAAATAGAAGTTCAATGGAAATGTGTCCATCCATTTAATTACTTTTGTTCGAGTTGAATCATTTTTAGAGTATATAGTCAATTGCAGTAATTTAAAATTTAATTTGTAGCTGATGATATATCATTTGATTTGGAAGTTGCATTTGATTTTTAACGCCTCAACATTTGAACCGTTAACATGTTTATTCTGTTTGTTTGTTTTTTTTTTGTCATTGTGTTTTATGTTTTACGCTTTATTTTTTTTTTTGCTTTCAAATTTTGTAGCCGTAGTAAAACGTCATAAATTGGTCCATGAAAGTTACAATCACCACCATCATCATCATCAGCGTGTGTGCAAATGAAACCGATTTGAAACTCACAAGCTAAGCCGCAAAGCGAAATAAGAGAGTGAATGTGTGTGTGGCGATGTGAAAGAGACATTCTTCTGACATTCCAAAACGAAGAAGAAAAAGACAAAAAAGAAAGAATAGTTCACATCGCCCGTGGTTGACCGTGACGCACGATTTGTAAGAGAAGGTAGATTTGATCGGTGGTTTTGTGACCTGGGGGTTAGATTACAATTATAATATGGAAAAAAGGCCATTAAAGGGCAATAGTAAGTCAATAGCATTGCAATCATTGGTTGGCGCTACAAATAAAAACTCAATTGGAAGCGGCGGTAGCAGTGCTGGTGTCACATATCAATCAGTTAGCAAGAAGGTAACGTGTGTCCACATTTAAACTATTTCATCTCAACCAATTAAAAACCGAAGAGAACGTCTCGATGGGAATACTTCGGGCATACGTTAATAGCTCATTTTGACCGAGATCGAATTTAAGACAATTTCAATGATGTATGAAGCTATTTTGGGATGGTTTTTTTTTTTTCATTACCACGAAAAATTCATATGCGAAATTTCTGATAATATCCACAAAAAAAATTTATTTCGAATCGATATTTTTCATGTGTCCGAAAAAATATACGAATATTTTAACCCTCTACTGCGCCATTTTTTTACAGAGCTGGGAATTTTATTCTAGGCTAATTTTGAGCCAAAAATGACAAAAAAAATAATGAAAAGCTCGATACAGTTTTCCTTTAGCCGGAAAACTCGGAAAATTACACCCCGCCAAAAGGCGGTCTTGCGTGTATTTATGCCTTCCTTCAGCCCGCCAAAAGGCGGTCTTGCGCGCTAACTACAGTTCTCACTAAAGAGGATATTTTCGTATTTTTCCTGTTTTCAATGTAATTTCAACTTCTAGACAACATAACAATAAAACTTCACGTTGAAATATAATAAAACTTTGGCAGAACATAGCTTTGAGTATCCTATCTCCGCTGGTATATAACATATAGGCCAACATTTCTTGTGAGGGATACTTCTAGTGTATATATTTATATATGAACCTATTCTCTAGCAACCCTACGCTTAATTGTATTGAAAATCTCCCTGATTATAGTCCTAGTTATCCTCCTTTCATCGGAAATATAGCATGTGGGCCAATTTATCTTGTGAAAGGTACCTCTAGTGTACCTATTTGAAGTCAGAATGAGGAAAACTGATAAAGACTCAATTTTCTAGACTTATTTCTGGGCAGCCCTACACTGGATTTTAATGAAAATATCCCAGACGATAGTCTCGGATGTACCCTTTCCAACGGTATGTTAGAAGTGGTACTTTTGATGTACATATTTCAATTTGGAATGAAGAAATATTATGAAAACCGCCAAAAGGCGGTCTTGCGAAGTGTGAATTTTTTCTTTCCTGTACTCTGAGCTTACCCGAAAAAAATGTGAATTCAGAAAAAATAAATTCTCAAAATTGCACAAAATTTCACTTTTGAGGGCCCATAACTCGGCCCCGGCTTGACATATATTATAAAATTTATATGTCAATTTGAACCTAAAGGCCTATCCAATGCAACTCTACCATATTTTCGAACATCTAAATCATGGTACTCAAATTATGGGCCATTTTGTGCACCCCGCCTTTTGACGGTCTTACGAACTAGAGGGTTAAGTTCAACAAAATGCATTCACACAAACAATATTTGCATACACACATTGTTTTCTTTGTGTGAGTTTCTGTGGTCAATTTTTGATGATGACGCATACATACAATCGAACTGAATCAATCGACTTAGCACTGAAATACAATGAACACACCGACGTATGTTCTAGAACGTTCTTTTGTATTGTTTCATTTGGCCAACTCTTTGAAACCAACCGATATAAATCTTTTTTTTTTCATTATTTTTTCACATGAAACTTTTTTTTCTATAAATTAATCAAATTTTTAGATTTACGGTGAAGAAATTTTTTTTTGTCATATTAAATCTCATTGAAATTCTCTAAATATATCAAGCGCTCTTCATGTCTTTCTTTTCTTCATATATGCTATGAACTTTCGTTCAAAACGTTCGCGTGTCTGGTTAGTTTTTCATTTGAGCGCTGCCTTATAATTCGCTAAACTTCGAATTTGCATGAAACAGTATAAATAGCTTCTGACATTGGTATATAATTGCCGGCTTATTGCCACAAGGCTTTGTCGTCGGTCCGTACATTATACCACCTTGGTGGGTGCAGTTTACCGCTCAATAATGTACGAAACGGAACCGACTACACATTCATGCTATGCGCTGAATGTTGTCCCGTTTCGTACTGAAGAGGCTGGCTACTTACGAGAGTCACGATGGGGTAATAACTTGATTCATTTGAGCGCTGTCGACCAAGTTATTACCCAAAAACAATTCAATGAGTTGGTTCATGTGAATGAATAAAATATCAACCGTATGTCGAATTCAACTGATGCCCAAACACACTGCGCATTCGATGCGATACGAGAAGCCGTATATATCGGGAGAGATGACAAACGATATACTACTGAAAAAACGGATAGTTACCGATTCAAAGCACTCCAGTTCTTTCGAACGGATTCGCCGAATTGTGCGCGTCCTATACTGTAAGAATAGTCTATTACGACTTTTCAGCAGTCAATGTCACGACTTAGAACTAAGTTCTATAATGGTATTATTGTTACTGAGCAACTCACTCCCCGAATATATATGGAATCCGCAATGCTAATATACTTTTCTTTGTGAATTCGTCGCCTTGCGAATTATAACAAGCGTCAAAGTGAAAAATTCAGAATTTCATTTAGCGTGTGTTGAAACGCGACAGCTAGCTGTTACGTTCATATATCGATATCTCACTCTAACAAGAAAGACGAACGAAGCGACAGCAACACCAATACACAAGTGATCTTTTGCGATGTGTGACTGTAGTGATTTTGCGTGAATCATATCTGTTGTGAAAAATATGTTTACTGATTCGTACAATAGGCTATGTCAACGTTAACATATTTTGAACAATTAACATTGAATATGATGATATTTAATACAAGGAAAACAGTTGCGATATTATTAAAAGCCCCCAAAATAGGTATTTATCGGTACTGATTTACCGAAGGAATGTGGAAAATGATTGAAATCGATAGTGTGGCATTTGTGTTGGTATGTATATGTGTAGCGGTTTTTGGCTGTAAATAAACGATTATTCCGTGAAATACAAATGAATTCGATTTCTTAGTTTTTCTAAAAAAAAAACACAATCCATATGTTCTCGGTTCACTTGCCGTTTAACAATCAAAATGACATTAAACTACTCTTTTTTCTTCTTCTCAATCCGTATCGTCCGGTGACTGAAATCACCGTCTGTTCTCACACGTAATAATATTCATTCACAATTCACTTTTTTTTATTAATTTACTCGCGTCATTCCTCTTGTTCTTCTCAACGACGTCTCTCAATTACGCGATTTTAGTCGAAGAATTCAAATTTTTTTTGGGGGGTAGTTAAAGCACGCGTTCGATGTGAGTGTTTTTGGTTGCTATTGCAATCGCTGGATTGACATATGGCACGTGTGTGATAATGGAATATTCAAGAATAAGGCAATTCTATCATACATGAACTCTGAGCACTGAGTGAATGCGATAACATTGTTGGCTACTTAAAAATGTTAATTTCATATATTGCAAGATGATGTTATGTATTGGGAAGAACATATTAAATAATTCATGATGCCAATCGAATTATGAATAAATCAATAAAATCGAGGAAATTTTTTCCTAGACAACCAATTGCACTTGATTAGTAGTATTGTTTTTTTTTTCAAATTCATTCTTGCTTGTTTCTTTATCCTCATTCATATAATCATATGATTGCACTAGTTTTTCAATTATTTTTCTCTATGTATCCACACGTACATTGTAATCTATTTGCTGATCATGTAACTAACAACATATTTTGGTAGTGTTTAGCTTCTTCTTTCTTTTTTTTCACATTTCTGGTTCCAAAATGTGGACTCACTAACCGAACTACGGTTCTTTCGCTGTGTGTGTCATATTCAACAATGTTTTTATCACTTGTTATTTCGTGTGCGTGTGCGTGTGAGTATGTATTTAGCTTGAGACCGGTGTCAATCAATGAACACATACCCAATGACTATTTAATTTTGCAGAAAAAAGTGTTTTCGTTGCGTACAAGCACTGCAATTGCATTAACCGTGCAAAGAAGAATTTTTTATCGGTGTTTTTTTTTTCTTATCAACTCATACCATAACCGAGTGAATTCTGCAACAAAGAAAAAAAAACAGACTCAATGTAAAGGAAATGTTCCACTTTTTTATATTTGAATCTCAACTTAAGAAGAAAAAAAAAGAGTTGAAATTCAAAACATAAGAAAAAAAGGGAAACTATTACAAATGGTAAGAATTCAAAAGTTCTTCGCCTTAAAATTTACAGTTTTCCTTTTCATTTGTGTGTTCGCACCCTCATTTTATACTCCATCGAAGAGTAAAAAACGTTCGAATTTGGTGTGACTAATGTTAATTTTGAATCATTTTCATGAAAAACATTAACATTTTCCACATTTTTGGTACATTTTCTCTTTTTCTCAATTATTCAGACATCTAACGGGCATCGAAAACTTCAAAATACAACATCATTATCAATACCATTGTCCGTGGACGATGAAATGATCGATATCACCCCAAGAAATCCAAACTATTCATCAGCAATGGAATCAACACAATACGAAAGACATAACAACTCACCGCCTTTACACAGCAGCTCATATGCACGTGATCGAGAGCTCAACGATGCTGAAGGTAAATGTCAATCCATTTAAATTCCGCGCCGAATACGAGTCATGTGATCACCGTCGTTGCCGATGGAATGTGCGATCATTCTATTCTGGTTTTTTCCCCTTCTAATTATGAAAGAGAGACAGAAGAGAAGAGAATCCAAGTGAATGTAGTAGAAAAACTAGATTTTAATGGCTTTGCACGATAGCCTAACAGCCTTAATCAACACCGTGCTTTTTGCTGAAGAAGTTCCATGACTTTTATCGGAAAAAGATTGTTGTTTAATCGAAAAACCTAAAAATTGCAGACGCAAACAGAAAATATGATAAATATTTGCTTTGTTATATATTTACTGTTAACATGACACCGTGCAATGAGTACACACAGTTGATGTGAGTCAACAACCCATATCACGCTGTGTAGTATAATATGCAAACTAAATAAATTATTGGATATAAAGAGCGCACCAATTCAAATGCTGGACACTACATACATTTTCTCATAAGTATGCAAACACATACACTCTCTCTCACAGCGAGGCCAATGTTGATCGAATTCGGTGACGTTTTGTGAAATTCCCGGCCATATAATGCATATACAACTAACTCACTTGCCATACTTGGGTATGATTATCAGTCAAAAAGAGTGAAATATGCTTTATGTACGTCGCCTTTCTCATTAAAACTAAACATACTGTCTCATTCAACGTAATCGCAGCATAATACATATAGAAAATATGCTCAAATGATAAGCGCTCGTTCTATCTCTCTCTCTGTCTTTGTCTCTCTGATGTCAGTCGTTGAATAGAAATTTGTATTTCCAATCTGCTTCGTATCCAAAGGTGACATCGCACATACGAAGTACGACGTTGGATATTTGGTGTATTATGATCAGTATGAGCGAAGCGACGATCGATGTCGCACACGTTCAGTAAACAATTTTTCTTTACTGTGTGTCGATAAATTCCGTGTGATACACACTATGTGTACTACACAGTTATTTTCATATGATAATATTCTGTGTAATTTCTGTGTTCCTAAACAGAAATTACAATCAATACCTCAAAACTTTCAAATGATACAAAAAGAACAATAGAACATTTGGTCATAACATTCGTCACGACTCGTAAAAAATGGATAATACTCGAAACTTGAAAGAAATAACACTTTTTATGAACAGTTAGTTTCAATAAGTTAGTCAAATTTCGGTGTGTGCTAAAGCATCATTAGTTTATAATTTGGTTTTGTGTTTTCTTCTTCTTCTAATCTTCTTTTCTTCTAACCTTGACTCAACGCGCTGTTCACCATAATTTCACCGTTGACAATAGGTGTTGTAAACGACTCGAAAATTCAATGATAAAATCAACAAGTTATCATAGTCCAATAAAGATAAATTCCAATTAATGAACAAATGTTCGACGAGATGCTAGACAAAAAGCCAAGTGTATGGCGTAATTTTTGCGTATATCCAGATCTCTGGATTTATCTTTGTACTGAATATTTGATTTGCATTGGAGCGTGTTGTTGATTTGCTGTGTCGCTGTTTCGCGGTGTTGTTTATCGCAAATTGAAATCCAGGGGGAAAGAACTGAGTAAATGAAAATTTAAATATTGTAAATAATCGCATATTCTACCGAGTTTGGATCAATACGCGTCAATGCGTGTCAATGCGCTGAATAACTAGCAATGCAAATATGGCCAATAAAATGTGCGTATTTGCAACTGTCATTCCTCCTCGCCACGAACGAGACGAAGCAACAGAAGAAAACAAAAACAATAACACAACGGAACGCAGTGCAAATGCCTGTGAATATTTGTCAATACGTGCCAATGAAGTAAATATACCAATAGTTCTTTCCCCCTAAATCGAAATGTGCACACTTCAATCGACGGAACCAAATGAATGTGAACACGAAATGGAGAAACGAGTGCAGAACTGACACCGAGCGAAGTGAAAGGCATCAGTTCGTCGTGTGTGCAAAATATCAAAATACACTGGAAGTGATTAACATTGAAATATGTGTGTATCATATGTGATAAGTGTAAATTCAATCAAAGTCAGAGTCAAAGTCAGTGAATTGTTCAACCTAATTTTCATTCGCAAAGAGATTTCCGCTTTTTCCAAACTTGATTGAAATCTTCAATTCAAATTGGATAGACTTTGAATATTCTGATTGTTTTCGCCATATTTTCCAAAGTGAACAAACTTGCAATACAAACACAACGAGCAGATACACTTGTGCCGAGCATTGATAAGAATTCCAAAAGTCTTTTTTGTGACATTTTGTGATTCTCTCTCCTTCTCTTACTTCTACTTTCTGCGAATGATGTTTACTACAAATATCTGGCATGTATTAGGTTTATCGGTTGCTATGTAAATGTAACACAGAATATAATTCTCAATCTCTCCGCTCGCGAGCATCGCACGCAATTATTCAGTATGCAAGGGGATTTTTGTTGTTTTTTTTTCAACGTTTCATTACGGGAGCGATACACGAATATCTATCTATTCGCGTGACACTATTCTCTTTTTGTATGCGTTTTTATACTGAGAAAAATTACAAAAAGCATTCCTGTTTTTTGTATTTTGATTTTCTTTGTAAAAGAGGCGTTGGTACAACGCATTCAATACTCCATCATAATGCTGATAAGTAAAAATACGCCTAATTGTCATGCAGTGGAATTCTTGTTTGTCGGCCAACACTGCATCACGTACAATACGTACGCATTCGTTTCAGTTTGATCTCAACACAAATCAATTATGACTGAGCGAATCGGAAAGAGAGAGAGAGAGAGAGAGAGAGAGAGAGTAGGTGTATGTGTAGTAACGCACATTTCGGCTCAATTTTGTTGTTCGTGTTTTCAAATTAATTACAAAGAAACGCGTGCGGTTTATTTTTTTTCGGAAAAAAAGAAAAAAACAAAAGCAGCAATTGCAAACAGAATAGAATGAAATAGTCGACGCAAAAAAATGAGATGAAAAACAGTATATGTACAAATTCCACCGAGTCGGTAGAAGAGAAGAAAAATAAAACAGGAAAAAAACATGAATCGCTTGATGTATTAATTTCTCAGATTAAGGGCCGAATATTTGTTTTGCAATCATGTGTCAATTATCGATTTTCTTTTCGCTCGATTTAGATTTTTTCGAGTTATTCAAAGTGCCTTGCGTTTGATAGGATCAAAAGAATTTGGATGAATTTTTTTGATTTAAATTGCGTTGTGCTGATAGTAAATATCGTCCAAATTCGTTTGTTGCATATTCGAGTGTGTTTGTGTGCGGAAAATACCGAAAATTACTGACAAATCATAGAACCATACAAATAAACAACAAGCAAATATTACAGTTCAATTCTTCGTTTGAAACGAGATACAACGCCAAATAACTTGTGTGAATGTGAAAGGTCTATTTGTGAAATTGAAGAATAATAAAGGGATGTGACGTTCCATAACTGTGATCATGTGTCATTTGCAACACATATTATAATTTATATTAGCCGTAATTCCTAATCTAATACAAACGCGCCTGTAAATGAATAAAACTGCTTTTTAAATGGATGTTGTGAATGCAGTAAGAAAATTGGCCAATCCCAGGCGATCGTCTGTGGAATCAATAAGTATGTTTATGAATATATTTCTTTCTTTGATAACACAAACTGTTGAATCATCTTATAATTTTGATGCATTAAATTTTACGCGTGGGTCGATTCGAGTAGCAATGGGTTATAAATCCTAATCACTGGATCAATTTTCGGAATGATCCAGAGTATTTTAAATCATGGGATCACTAACTCAGTTTTTGGTGAATGATTAGGAATGCTCTGAATTGCCGACCGAAAATGATTTAGTTTACTCTGAATCGCCCAATAAATACTCCGAATCACTTGCAAATTGACTGACTCAGGGGTTCACTAATCACGATTTTGCCCACCCGTAGTGTATCTTCTGTGTACACTGTACACTCTGCATTGTTATGTGCAATCAATTAAGTATGACGTATCTTAGTGATTACAATAGACTTTCAACAGGTGATTTGTACATTTGTACAGTTTCAAATGTAGCAGGTTTTGCATTAAATATGTTCCCCTTGATCTAGATTAACCTCCAAAGGTTATGTTCTATTTGAATATAAAAAAAAAAGAATGTTTGAGATTGTGTGTGAACACAACTGCACACATATTGCGGTTCTGTATTATTTCATTAATTTGAGTGTCGTTCGTCTTTGTTCCCTTACTTCTGCAACGCTTGAATACATAACATAGCTCCGCTTCTGCTAAAATAATATGAGGATCGCGTTTGCTACATATACCACTTCCGAGAACAATAATAAGTGTCAAATTAATTTATATTGTCATACTCTTCGAATACAGTTGTTTTGCTTAAAGTTGAATGTCAAACACGAGCTCCTCGCTTCTAAGTTCCCACGACGAACCTTTTTCATTAGATCATTTTTAAATCAATGCCTACATATCCTACTCAAACTCACGAAGCCGCCTTAAAATTTCTATTCCAAGTGATCAGCATTGCAATATATTGTTTATGTTCACGGCCCGTAGGTGGGATCCTCTACTAAGTACTGATAACGAAAATACTTTGTGTGATAAAAAAAATTAATATGAAAATCAACCTAATGCGCCGTCACATGTCCAATTCGAAAAGAAAAATCTTTAACTTTAACAAAAATCGATGAATTTAACTAACAGAAAAAAATTATCCATTGTTTGTTTTTAGGTAGCATACTATTCTATGGAAGTAGTGCGGGTGAGTAAAAAAAACCACTTGAATTTGGATATTTTCGAGTTTCTAAGCGATTTTGCCTTTTTTCAATATGCAGATGGTGATGATATACCGGGAATCGGGCAATATGAGGATTTCCACACGATTGACTGGCAACGTGACATAGCCAGAGATCGGATGAGACATCGATACATAGTGAAAAAAATTCAAGACTCTGTATGGGACTTTTTAAAAGTAAGTAATTGGTCTTTTAAATTTCTGTTGTTTCATTTGAGTGCGTCATTGTGCACCACTTATACAATTCAAATACCAAAAATATGGTTTTTTAATCCATTGCAGGGTGCACATGATGCGTGGTCAGGCTGGTTATGTGTTTTACTAGTTGGTTTAGCGTCAGGCGGTGTGGCTGGTGTGATTGACATTGGCGCGAGTTGGATGACAGATTTGAAATTGGGCATCTGTCCGCAGGCATTTTGGTTGAATCGTGAACAATGCTGTTGGTCATATTCAACAAACGAAACGAACTTCGACAGTGGAAACTGTTCACAGGTGCGGAATTGCATAACATACCACCTACTATTTAAATTGGAAGCGTTGACGCAATGCGTCGTCGTTTCTTGGATTGGCATCTACGTAATGTTCATTTCATTTCTCTGTTCTTTTTCTTCTGTCGTTTGTAGTGGCTTACGTGGTCTGAAGTGATGGGTAGCTCACGTGAGGGGGTAGCTGCTTATATAATTTCCTTCATATGTTATACGGCGTGGGCGTTATTCTTTGCATTTTTGAGCGCATCGCTTGTACGAATGTTTGCACCATATGCATGTGGTTCCGGTATACCTGAGATTAAAACAATTCTCTCCGGCTTCATCATTCGAAGTTACTTGGGCAAATGGACGTTGCTAATCAAATCAGTCGGTTTGATGTTGTCAGTATCGGCTGGTTTGTGTTTGGGAAAAGAAGGCCCAATGGTTCATATCGCCAGTTGTATCGGTACGTTTTGAATGCCTTAGCGAAGATAGATTTTGCCAACTTGGATTTATTGAGAAATGAAATAAACGTTTTATTTTTGTCAACACAGGCAACATTTTATCATATCTATTTCCAAAATACGGTCGAAACGAAGCGAAAAAACGTGAAATTTTATCAGCCGCCGCCGCAGCAGGTGTATCAGTCGCCTTCGGCGCACCAATCGGTGGTGTACTCTTCAGTTTGGAAGAAGTCTCTTATTATTTTCCAATGAAAACATTGTGGCGATCATTCTTCTGTGCACTCATAGCCGCTTTCATCCTGCGATCAATCAATCCATTCGGCAATGAGCATACCGTACTGTTCTTCGTTGAATACCGTAAACCATGGATCTTCTTTGAACTGGTGCCATTTGTTGCACTTGGCATTATGGGCGTAAGTTTCATCATTCAAAATTCACTTCTATTTTCACCAAATTTTAAATGAATTGCTATATGCATTTAGATACAACGGAATTTGTATAATTTTATTTGTTTTCTCAAATGTATGATGTAGGGTATCGTTGGCACCATATTCATCAAAGGTAATCTGTACTGGAGCCGCTTCCGCAAATCAAGCAAACTTGGTCAATATCCAGTCACTGAAGTTGTTGTGATCACACTCATAACGGCAATCATTTCGTATCCAAACCCCTACACCCGTATCAACATGCCCCAACTGATCCTATTACTGTTCAGTCAATGTGGAATTTCAAACAGTGATCCTTTGTGGTAAGCCAGTTTTCCCGCTCAAAAATATAAATTGTTCAAAATACGCATTTGTAAGAGAAAATCAAAAAAAAAAAAATACAAAAAATATGAAATGTTCATTTATTCCAGTTATATATTTAAATTAACAATTTTTAATTTTTATTCCAGCGATTACAACCGGAATTTCACAGATGTAAATTCTGCCATTGAAATTGCCGCGGCTGGACCGGGTGTATACAAAGCAATTTGGCTGCTAATATTAGCGTTCATTGTCTATCTCGTTTTGACAATATTCACATTCGGCATAAAAGTTCCTTGCGGTCTCTTCATTCCATCACTCACACTTGGCGCTATAATCGGACGAATTGTTGGCATTGGTGAGCAATTTTGAGATAGATTTTGAGCCAAAATTGTTGATGCTGCTTAGAAAAGCAGAAAAAACTATTATGCATTCATTTTTTGCTCACATGCAATGGAAATCACATGGATAATGAACTTTTTTCGATTTATTTCTCTCCTCATAACACGCGACGAAAAGGAATGGAGCAATTGGCGTATAATTATCCAAAGATATGGATTTTCTCTGGTGAATGTTCAACGGGGGATAATTGTATAACGCCTGGGCTGTATGCGATGGTTGGAGCGGCGGCTGTGTTGGGTGGTGTTACCAGAATGACAAGTAACTGATCGAAAACGAATTGATCTATCGAGAAAAAAAATGATATACCCACTAAATTGTGTAAATTTTTTCATTGTAGTTTCGTTGATTGTTATTATGTTTGAGTTGACTGGAGGTGTAAACTACATTGTACCACTGATGGCTGCCGCAATGGCATCCAAATGGGTTGGCGATGCACTCGGTCGTGAGGTGCGCAAAACGATACATTTTTCAACAAAATCCGTCGCACAGAAAGCAGTTGTGCAGCCGTGCTGTTTGCACATCGGACTTTTTCGCATACACATCGTCCGTTCATCGTGTTTCTTATCTGCCGAACGCTCTCTAGTAATTCATTCTATCATTGTAGCCATGCTTCTTACGGAACTCGGCTTTGAGCGTTCGACGCATACATACACGCATACACACGTGTGTCTGTGTGCTGATTTCGTTTGTATGAAACACGATGAACGACGAAATATCGAAAAAGTCCGATGTGCAAACAGCACAGCTGCACAACTGCTTTCTGTGCGACGGATTTTGTTGAGTTCCTTGGGTTTTCTGTTGTCTAATTCATTTAATTTTCCATTTCACAGGGCATTTATGATGCACACATTGCTCTAAATGGATATCCATTCCTAGGCAAAGAGGAATTTGCCCATACCACACTAGCTGCTGATGTAATGCAACCAAAGTATGCAATCGATATGTGTTTTTTTTTAGTTTGTGTTCTTTTATGGAGGTATGAAATAATAATGCCAAAATATGTCTTTGCTATTCGCAGACGAAACGAGACATTGTCGGTGATAACTCAAGATTCGATGACGGTCGATGATATTGTGAATTTGCTTAAGGAGACCGAACATAATGGTTATCCGGTTGTTGTGTCAAAAGAGAGCCAATACCTTGTTGGTTTCGTTCTACGTCGTGATCTAAATTTAGCCATCGGTGAGAATAAAAATTAAATTTATTAACGCGATGAGAAAATTTCTAATGCAATATTGCCGTCTATTGTAGCCAATGCAAAACGTTTCATCGATGGTATCACTGGACAATCGATTGTGTTATTCACATCAATGGCACCAGTACAAAATCTAGGTCCACCGCCGTTGAATTTGAAAAAGATCTTGGATATGGCGCCAATCACGGTGACCGATCAAACGCCAATGGAAACTGTTGTAGATATGTTCAGAAAATTAGGATTACGGCAAACATTGGTCACGCACAATGGGTGAGTAGCAAATTTTCCCCATTTTCGTCGAATCTATTTCGTTTATTTGATTGTTTCGTTGAAAATTAATTCAATTATTTCAGGCGTTTGCTCGGCGTTATCACCAAGAAGGATGTGCTGCGGCATGTGAAGCAGATGGACAACGAGGACCCAAATACGGTGTTATTTAATTAAACAATTCAAAAGAAAAAGATATGATGTGTGTAGAAAATTGAAAATATGCAAGATGTGAAAATATTTGTTTGTGAGATCAAGAAATTGATTTTTGTGTCAGAATTAGAATAATACGGATCATTTGTATAAGTTTAGATAAAATGAAAATGCGAGCTCTTATTAAATGTAAAAAAAAAACAACAAAAATATTTGAAGAATCTTGTAATTTAAATGAATTAATTTAAAAATTGTATAATTTCATTTTTAAACTTAAAACAATTATTTTAATAAATAAAAAACAGAAATAGATTCTGATTCATTTATTTAATGATAATCTGATACAAATGAATGCGACGTCGAATCGATTTCTTTTTCTTTTCTTCTTTTTTTCCACAGATTTCATTCAAAATTCATTGCAAATGTGCACCTAATCGGAAAAAATCTTTCAGTTTTCAGCACGTGGTAGGTGTTTTTTTCAGTAGAAAGCAGGAAAAAACAGAAAGTAATTTTTTTGCGTGTTTTTTCACTATCACTATCAATATAAACACGAAGAATGTTTAAAACAACCGCCTCGTTTTTTGACTTGAAGATGATTTTTTTTCTTTCACAAGGTCCATTAATATCATATCACTTGAATGTTTTGGAACGATTATCGGACTTTGCTCACAATATTCGTTATATATGAATCTCATCAATGGAGTGAATTCTATTTTTAGCTCAATCCTTCGTTTTTAATTTTGAATAAAACACAATGAATATTTGAAATCCTTTGTATTGTTGCATTTTGACTTTTTTCATACTCTCAATTCAACATATTGTTTGCAATGTGAAACGCTGTATTTTAAGAGCACTTTAGCTTGCACAGTTACAGCACTGATATTAGTTTACTTTGCAATACTTCTGGCAAGTTTGTATTTGGATACGCTATGTTCTGTGTAATTGTTGGATTGTCCAAGTAATTGCATTCATCAAGTTGGAATGCTCATCATGCATAACGAAAAAATAATTTAAAAAACAATTTTAAAAATAAAAATTTAGCTAATTATGCAATACAAAATGCAGCAAACGGCATTTGTGCAAAAATTCATGCAATGCCATTTATTTTTCCGTTCATCAATCAAATTGATTTAATTCTGTAAAACAAAATTAAATTTCCAACATGTTCATATATTTTCTTTATGCTTATTAGAAATGCATCAATTTGCTTCAAGCTGATCAAAGAGTAGTATTTAGTCGTTTTAGTATTAGTAGTATTTTTTGTTTGTTGAAAAAAGTCATGTTAGAACAAATGTTCTGTTTCTCTCCATGCATCCTAATCGTTGTTCTCCTCTCAATATCTTTCGCATATGCTATGCTAAAAGACAGAACTGTGGCCATCGTGTTTGTGAGTGCATGACTGCAGGGGAAAACGGCAAGAGAGAATGTAAACAATGCTTGGTGGATAGTAGACGGAGACGTCGTGCAATTCGCATTAGGTGAGTATTGCAAAAAATGACAGCTGACTGTCAATTACAAATGTGTGTAGCGAGAGAGAAACGCGAAAATACATGACATGTTTGCCAGTGATTTAAATTATATCCAACGACGATAAATCAAAACCGTGGCATTTGTGCATCAATTTGGTGTTTCGACTATACACACCGGTAAGTGCTGATATTTCAAATAAAAAAAAAATACCCGGAAAATATGTGCCATTTTACTTTGAATGCGATCGCTTTGGTTTTGTTGCGGCTGATGTAGTTGTTTCAAAATTTGTTGTTTCAATCGAATTTATGTTGTCGTTCATCTATAAATATGTTTGTTTGCATAATATTCATTTGTTGTTGTTGTTGACTGTTTATATTTTTGAACTTTTGAATTGTTGTTGTACATAAAACTGTTTTTATGTGCGCACACACACACACCGTCTAATTGAAATGAAGTGTATCAAAAGTCAACAGAAGTCCTACGATGAAATTTGCTATGACAAATGAAAGGTACAGAAAAAAAACTATGCGACGGAAAACTTTTCGCAATAAATAAATTGACTCTTTGCTGGTGATATCAAATGACGTGCGTGCGCGTGTTTTCAATTCGATGTCTAACTAAATTGTTACTTTGTACGTAAGTTACTAGCGAAAAATCATCGATAAAGTGTAGAGATTGTATGCTTCTTATTTCTTATCAGCCGCAAGACATTTTGTTTGCTTGTGTTTCAACATTTTTATTATTTTATAGTGTTTTTTTTTATTTGCCACCCGTGCTATTATAACGGGTATGCTGTTTTATTTTTGTCTGTATCATTTCTCACAGTAGATGAAACGGTTTTAAGTCGACAATGGCAGACACACTGATGTGGATGATAATGTTTGTGTGGTAATTACCCGTGCAATTGACGCGATAAAGTGTCAATGAGATAATAATTTGCTATTTGAATCATGCGGTGTTTATCTCCAACAGACTGACTGATTGCACTGTCTGGATTTAATTCGCTCTTAATTCTTGATTTCTACACCGAAACAAAGGGATTTTGATTGGACAGCATGATATAAATCAAAATCAGCTATTCCGATGAAATGAGACCTTATAATTTTAAATATGGTCGCAGAAGATCTGATACTACTTTTAGGCATTTTTAGATTAAGCAGAAAAAATCGACTCGGGCAAATAAAGGCACAAATGCTTGTTACCTCTCTTGATAAACGACTCTTTCCCAAGATAACGATAGTGTATTTAAAGTGGAAAGTACACAGACTGAGTGGTAAAAATGTAGCACAAAGGGCGACTATATTGTAAATACAATTTAATATACTAGAAAATATGATAGTCGAAAAACGGGTGATGTTGACAGTCAATTGCTTTGCTAACGCAAACAACCACCACTACCACCGTCACCGTTGCCGGCACTCAAATGTGAGGAGGTTTTTTTTCCTGATAACTGACCAAATGACTTTGCTTGAACCCCGTACGACTATGTCAGAAGAAAGAATTGAATGATGATGGAATTGGAAAAAAGGAGATAGGTACATCATGGGTGTACTTTTAAGAATATAGCTTTTAAAGATAAATGTGCGAGTTCATTACAATGAAAAGTGTTTTTTTTTACAATCACATTGAAAAGTGTTCGTGGGGCTCAAGTGTTGGCTCAATGTTTTGGTTGTTTTTTTTTAATCTCGCCACTCATTTACACACATTTACGAAATTTGTGTTATAATTTAGTAACGGCGACGCATGGGATCTTAGTGTACTCGTCCCAAATTTACTCTTTTTTTTAAATATTTCAATCGGCACATCGCACACAACGTCAACACCCAACGAACAACAAATAAATATATAAAACATAATTGCTCGATTCTTCTCAGTGGGATCTAGGACTATTTCGGATGATAATAATCGCCACAGACAAATGAATCGTGCCAATGTGTATGTACGCAATATTACATATAAATCGAAATTCGTAGACAATCTTTTCGCTTGTCGTCGTCGCCGTCGTTGTCATCATCGTTGGGATTAATTTAGCAAAACGGCCGTGTGTCTGCTTGTGTGCGAGTAGGCTTGAGACATTGGTTCATTGTAGATTGGCTCTATTTTTTTCGAATGCGATCGCGTCCAATGCATAAGTGTGGCTTTGCTGCTATCAGTTCAAGCGGTTATAATCATTTTGCCTGTTCGGTTTTTCATATTGATATTTCTCTTCATTACATTGGGTTTTCTGTTTTTGTTGTTGTTGTTCGTAGCCGCAACGAGAAAGAGCTGTGAATAAAATTTCTAAACTCTTGTTTCAGCCGGTTTAGTAATCAAAAGTCCGTTGCTTGCGACAAAGTGCATCGTCGTCGTTGTAGTGCGTACAACGAAAACCAAATATAAAAATTCACACACCTCAATCGCTAAAGTCAGTTACATCGAACCGTCAACCTAAGTTTCTTGCATATTTGTTATTTGTTTTTCTTCGATTCTTCTAGTTTTGATTTTCGCATTCAAGTTATTCGATTCGCGTTCGATTGCTACGAAAGAAATTTCTTTACTACGCTAAACATGTTTCGATATGCAAAAGTTCAAGGCCTGTCTTGTTTGCAAGTGAATTTTGGTTTCGCTTAAAACGCAAACAGTGCTAATATTCCGAACATTAAATAAAATCCAATTTTTTTCCACAATAAATTCGGTAATTGACATTAAAAATTGTCGTGATGATCATTTACGTCAGAACACTATTCAAAAAATTTCAAAAAGTTATATGACTTGTTGGTTGGGCGTTAGATCACAAAAAGAGCCCAGTTGAAGTGAGTGAAAAATTTGTTGTTGGTTGTGGCGCCGTTTTGTGGAGAGAGGAAGAGAAAGAGAGTGTGCGCGAGAGTCAGTAATTTGCCTGAAGTTCGAAAATTAGTTTCTTTGGTTTGGTCAAGAGAGTTAGAGATACACATACGCGTGACGAACCAGTCCGTATGTGCACATATTACAACGGCTATCAACCAATATCATCATCATCGCGTGGATGAATTTTTACCATCGAGGCGCTGAAAGTAAGAAGCCAATGAGTTACGGTTCGAGTATTCGGAAGTGTAATCGTGGTGTGTTGTTGTGAAAACGCGACGAAATTTCGAATTTAATCGAATCGAATCAAATAAACTCCATGCGGATTATTTCACTGGTGAGCCCGAAGCGTTTTTTTTCTCAAAAATTCAATCACATTGTTTAGATGTCAAAAGCCTTAAATGCATACCTATCTGCATACTAAATACGGAGGAAGTGAATCCATTAACGTTGCACATTCAATGAATAAAATTACTCAAGCGACCCAACTTGTTATTGTTGATGCAAACTTCAGGATGAAAGGGAAAAAACATTGCAAAAATGTAAACAATACTATAGTCACCGACTGGTTCAAAGTACAGATAGAAATACTTGGACGTGCTTTGTGTGCGTATTTTTGTTGTTGCTGCTGTTGTTGATCGCACTTGGCGGTTGCATATATATATATATATATGAAACGATTGTTGTCAATTGGCTCGATAAACACAACATTATTTCACATCGAGCATCGACTCGGCTAGAGTTCAATCTTGCCCAAACAGGCACTCACTCAAAAGCTCTCTGTCTACATTCGCTTGATTGTTTTCACATCCCATAATCAGTTCGTTAACGCCAGAATCAACTATGGCTATATCAAAACTATGTCATTTTTCAAAAATTAGTTCATTTCGAGATAATCAAAAATTTACTTTCTTACAATTCCACCTAAAGCGTACGATTTTATAAATGTGTCGACCAAAAAAAAAAATGTTGTTCACAATGTTTAATATTGTTTATAGGCGTCCTTGATCCAGCCTTTCTGATCATGAAAATAGTAAACAATACAGCGGCACCTGGGTACTAAGTGCAATGTGTCATACTTTTAACGTTTGAACTAACACAGACGCATACTTGTTACAGCAAACTATGTGCATGATTCTCTATTTCTCCAACCAGTCGCCAGGTGCCGCTTTATTGTTCTTGTTTGACGTATCTATTTGTACAGACGATCAGAGAGGCTGCCTTGATCTTGATCAAAGTCACCGATAAACAAAAAAAGTGGATCAACACAAAAACCACACAAGAGATCAATGATTGCTTCATCCAGAATTAGTAGTGGTTTGTTAATGCCGGAATTTGAACTGCTTAGTTTTTCTTGGAATATTCCTTGCAAGTACAAACACACAGAAAAAACTTGCAAATTCATCTTCTGAATCAGAAGTTCCGATGTGTCAACAACGAACAGAACAAAAAACATTGAGAGTACAAAATAATAAGCGGAAGTAAACGAGGGAGAAAAAAAACTTGGATTCACTAATAAATGATACAAATCGGAAAGACGTTATTTGTTGGTGAACCGGCTTTGTTCAGGTTTCGTATGATCTGTTCGATGTATCTAGTAATTACACAGCATGTTTACCGACCGAAAGTGTTCGTTTTTTTTCATTTATCTCTCTTTTGAATTTGCATTTCTGTTCGATAGTATCGTGATATTTTGCACTGAAACATTTTTTTTTTGTTTAAAAAGAGTTGGCTCACAAAACACGGAACTAGCGACATCAACATGGCACTACTGAAATTTTTGCTATAGTCCCCCACAGAATACTTGATTAGTTCAACTCTGTCATTTTTGAGACGTTCTATAAACAAAGTACAGTACAATATGATGCATTTGAACCTGAGCCAAAACAATTTGCTATGCGTTTACTAAATGATCACGTCTCATTACACGCACAATAGTGTGTTCTTAACTTTAACCGCCACATTTCTACATGTGAAACATTCCCATTTGATGCGGTGTAAGTGTTCCGCTTCATTTGCTGATGTTTTGTGTTTATTTATGTAGTTTTTTTTTCGTGTGCTACATTGAGAAAAAATCATGAACAAATGCGAGCGCACACTTATAAAAATCATATAAAATGACTTGGCTATGAGTGAGATTGTAAGAAACAAGACTCAGTATACACATACAAAATATTAAAACAAAAATAAAACGAAAATTAACAATAACAACGCCAACAAAACAGAAGAAGAGGAAAACACACGACAGAACATTGAATCGGCATGTAATTGCACAGAATATAATAGCTTTGCCACCACCGCAGCAGCGGGCATTGAAACAGAATTTATTTATTCTACAAGCATACGACAAGGAAGGAGATATTTCATGATTGTTATTACTATGATATTTTTTGTATTGTATTGTTTTTTTTTCTCTCGATTTCATATTCACTCTTCACTGAATTGTTTTCTGTGAAGTATTCGATTGACTTTGTTGTTGCTTTTGTGTGGCTCCATGTGTGCTGTGCTGCGCTTGCTTGCTGTGCTGTGTTGTGCTGTGAACGCTGCTAGCCGTTATTTATTTTCATTGTTTTTAAAGCTGCCTTTTTTGAACTTATAAAAGATCTTACCCGTTCGCCTCGATTAGTCTCATTATTTTAGTTGAATCGATACAATCGATAAACTGTTCCGTTTTTACTTTATTCTCAACTCTCCCTGACATTCTTCAAATTGCAATTTAGTTCTATTTATTTTGACTCGATAACGTGTTTCTATACATTGCATTGCATGTATCGTCATTCCATCCGTGATAAATCGGCCGCATTTGGATAGTTGCCACGAAGAAAAAAATTCGTTAATATTTCCAAATTTGACACATGTGAATTTCAGTCAGTTTTTAATCGGTGGCGCGTTCGAATTGGGTTTAACTGTAATGTGCACCCGTGTAATATTTCTAATTGTGTCTTTATTATTTCGAAAAGAATGTTTTAATTGAACACTTGAAAAACAAATCAAATACCTTTGCCAATCCAATCAATAAACTATAAATTAAAATTTAAACAACAGATTTAAGAGAACAAAAATGCCAATGCGATTCAATTTCAAGGATTGTATGTTTTGAAAACCGTGCATGTGAATGAACCGAACTATATAATTTGATCAACCCTCGAAATTGATTTATTAAACAACGATTTCTACCAAATTAATACAAACCAATAGGACCAATAGGACCACTTCAAAATTTCCATCGATTAAGTTTTTCATCGAATAACGGTTGATTTTTCTGTGTGTGCGCGTGTGTGCGTAGGTTATCATATTACGTCGATTTTTTATTCGATTACGTGGAATCGAGATGCAGTCGGTCAATCATCCAGTGGCCAACAAAAAAATGGGCCACGCTCGCCGACAGTCATACGGTAAAATTATGCCAATATCGTCATTGTTGAACAATCTTATTGGTTCGAATGCAAATTGTGATTCGACGCCAAACAACGACCCATCTGCCGTTCACGATCGCTCATCGTTGCCTTTGACCCATCATTCATTCGAAGCGATGGCGCTTAATTGCCGTGTCAACGAACGAAGCGATGGTGATAGCTATAGCCAGAAAAATGTCACCGATTTAACGCTAAACTTTATCAATCATGAAAAAATGGACGAAGTTAAGCAGCAACCCATCGCTGCAACTGCCAATGCTATTGAAGAGATCGACGTGAAAAAAACGTTTTTGAAGTGTGTTAATTATCACCCGAGGCAAGAGTCGGAAGCGCAAACAACCGTCGGCGATGATGTCAAATCGGATGCGGAAGATAATATCGATCGGTTATTAGGTAATGATGATACGGCTGCTCCGTGTTTGATATGCATGAACAAAGGCATGGAACCGTTAAAACACAGCTTGATGAATATTTTATGCAAAAAGCTATGCGATGAAAGTTGTAACACTTCGACAAAAACCTGTCAATCCAACGATGACATCGCTACGCATAAAAGTGACACAGCGGCCAGTGAACATGACAGCGATTCAACCGCTGAAGCCGATGCTAAATTCAAAACAGAGATCGCATTACATCGATCGAGCAGCAGTCGTCAAGAGTTTCTAGCTAGCATGCTTGAACCGGAAACAAAAGATGCAACAGATCGAAGTGACGATGAAGCACGTGTTGCACCACTCACGATTGAAAATCTAAAGCAATTCAATGACGATTATTTCCGAGAGAAGTTGGCCATTGCCGAGGCACTTGCAAACACCTCAATGATGACATCATCGGCGGCCAAGAACCGATTAGCCGCTCGCAAAATCGAAATGAGCCTCAACACACCCGATTTTGTCTACGATCCGGAAAATGCTGAATACATTCCACCCAAAGATTTGCTTATGTACTTGGTGAGGTAATGTCAATTTCAGCCTTCATCTCACTTTGTTTTTTCTTTTTCATTCGATGAAAACAAATTTATTGCTTGAACTTGACATTGACATTGATTGGAACATTATTGGCAGCATGTTTTCGCACTCTCACTCGTTCACTCTATCTTCCTCGATCTCGATGCGAACGATCACAAAAACAATTACAGAATCATACTGCACACACACACACACACACACATACACACACACTCTCTCTTGCAACGATTTATGGACAAATTATGTAAATGCATTAGCATATCGAAATGTTGTTGTGTGTTTGAGTCACGTGTCGAACCAGTCTAAGCAATTTATTGCAAATGGTTCCGGTTTAGGGAAACAATAATGAATTTATAAAAAAAAGAGAAAAGAAAAATGAAACAACAAAGAGACAATTGTGTGATTCTGAAATTCGCTAAATCGTTATGCATGCCGGTGTGTTTGTAATTCCATACATTCGCACACTCACTCACTCTGTAATCAATGACTGCTTCAAATTAACCTTGAGGTCCATGCGCATTAAGTTCATATTGGATCTGAAATAGGTGTGTATGCGCATGAGCTTGAATATTTCCTTCAATATGATGCTTAATGAAATAAATAAATTGAAGCATAAAAGTTCATGTGAAGTAGCGACCCAAAAGGCGATTTTCAAGCGAAAAAACCACCCTTACATAAAATTTTCCTTCCGATCGATTGAGACTGGTCTGAATTTTCCCCGATTTCCCGATTTCCCACAGTAGCGCTTTTCGAAGAGTTTTCCAACCAATACATAGCAATATTGCACAGCAGAGCAGATACAATACATACAATATTACTACTTTCGCCAATAGTAATGATGGTAATTTGCTAAATTATATAGTACGATTGAACTTATTCCGTTCTCTGTGAGTAAATTTTTTCCAATCGTGTCTCGTGTGTTTCCAAATAGTTTCTACAGTCGAAAATTCTTTTAAGAATAACATGCTTGATAAAGATTCTTGTTGCGTCGGTCTCTATGCGACGACACGAGAACGAAAAAAAAGCATTATTATACAGCAAGATACACACAAACCACAACATCACGACCAAAATTCTCACACGTGAAGGTCAACATCATTTTTGCATGAATAAGTATCCATTTAACTCTTATTTTGTGACACATTAATAAGGATTTTGGTGTGTATCGTTCTGAAGCTGACAAGAAATACGAACTGTATCGGTGAGATAAGCCTTAGAGTAGGCAATTCATATATCAACACGGATCAGGTTAGGGTCTTTTGATTCTCCTGTGGCTTGATTCGAAATCTAACTAGCTACTATCGCCATCAAACGCCGAAATACTCGACGACCAGCTGAACGAGAAAACCAAAACCGAAATAATCAGTTTTTTTTTTCTCTCTGTATTTACTTGTGCTCCGATTTGTTCAGGAAATAAAAATTTTACAAAAATGAAACGACGTGCGCCGCGCACACATTGTAACCTCATAAACGTGTGATGATTACGAATATTTCATTGTACGGAATAATAGATATACACTCATTTATTTATCTATTTCGTTTTAAACGACCACTGGTACGCTCGATGTTTATTCGCGTTGTGCGATGCCCGATCAAACTGGACACATTTAATATGAATCAGTGCCATAAAATATGAATATAAATAGCCAATATGAATTGAATGAATTGAGAAAGCTTTTCATTTTGTTTTTGTTTTTGTTTTTTATTTCTGCTACTTAACCGAGTGTGCGCCAGTCGTTGTCAATGAACAATTATTTTATGTTCACTTTGTTTGCACAATTGACCGTCGTATTTATAACAATAATTATCGGAAGTTTTTTGTGCTGTTGTTTCTGTTGCTGTCTCTTTCCTTTCACTCTGTAAATTGATGTAATTGTGTTTTGTCTCTTCGAATGTGTGTGATGATTTTGCTCACGAAAATATTCGCAATGAACGTGCGTGGACTTTACATCCAAAAACGATGACTTGATTGGTGTGCATGTGTGTACTTCCATGACGATACTGCCGACAAGCGTTTTTCATAGTTCAGGTGTTTAACGTGCTGATCGCACGGTCATCACGTTAAATTGATAAACAATCCATGATTCAACGAAAAAGTGTATAGAAACAACTCTCGCGGGGCTCCTTCACGGAAGCTTTTCAACAGGCGTGCATTGTACAAAAAAAAAAAACAACACAAAAAAATACACAACCATACGCAACAAAAACATAGTAGTTGCAAACTGAATGACCATTTCTTAATTCCGGAAACCTTCATCCCGTACACACAAGAAACGAAACACTCTTTCTTTAATACACTTTGACAATACTAATTTATTTTTATAAGTTGATTGAATTTCGTCCACATATGCATCCTTGAACTTGAGACTAAGTTCCGTCGTAAAAGATTTTACCGTGTTTTTCCATGGAATATTTGTTTGATTATCGTGTAAAATGACGACTTTTTGTAAAAGTGCCTTTCAACAAATACAAACGACATTATCATAAAAAAAAAGGTTCCTCTAATTGAAAATTATCAAAACAAAATGTACTCTAGATAGATATTGTTCATATTCCGAAGGCAAAGAAAAATGTCAAAAAGAAACGCAACATTTAATCTGGAGTTGTAAATACCGCACCGGTAGTCCCATCCAGTAGCTGTCAAACGAACAGCGCCACACATTTTAACGGCAATATTTGACACTACTCAATGTTTGACAATGTGAGCGAGACTTAAGTGCATCCACGATCGTGCTCATTGCACTACGAGCGTGGGTCTACACTGGTGCTCAATGTTTGGACGCACTTTAGTTTGCAAATAATTTGTTAGTGTAATGCTATCCCTGTGGTAAATATCAGGTCTGCGGCCAAAAAGCTATTGTTTTCTTCGTACTGTTTTCTTGTCGTTCTTGTTTTTTTTTTCGATCGCCTATTGAAACCGAACTGTAATCATTACATTATTGATCTATTCTTATTTGATTTTGGATTTGGTTCTTTATCAGTCTCCGTCAGCTAGACTAAACATTTCAGCCAAATTTTTCGTGCGATTCTTTATCGCAAGCTAAACAAACGTACAATTAAAATCCAATTTAAATATTGTACTGTAGAGATTTTCGCCATTGAACACATTTCGTTTGCATAGCTGAAATTCGTAATTTAAAATTTAAATTCGTGGCCGGAGCCAACAGTAACAGCAACAATACCCAGCAGCTACATCGACGTCGAAAAAAAAACAACAAATAATATGAACAGACGTAAATGCAACGTTTGTACGAAGCATGCAAATGGTGTTTTGCATCAGCAATAAACAGCACGCCAAATAAATCGTATAAAATATGTGTATTTACATTTTGAGAGTGGAAAGATCGAATAATTTGAATGTTTTTGAAGAATAAAAAAAGCACAACAATAACTAAACTATGACGCTTTCAGTAAATCAGCAACATTTATACATTTCGTATGTAAATCTTCCAATTTTTCGTAGACGAATCATGTGCATTTGAGACGATTTAAATGTAAAACCACTCAAATGCACTTGAATCGGCTAAGAAAATTGCATGATTTGCTTGTGAAACAACTAATTTGAGACGTGCAAATTAATGAGGATTCATTTTCTCCGTCGCAGGCTCAAATGATATAAATACAAAAAAATGTTAAGCAAATGTTTTCTTTCTCTTCGCTTCGTCTTCTTTCATTGTGTTAGGAATCGAACGCACCGAAAAAAAATCAGTGGTATTTCAGTTGATTGAAAATGTTATCCAAATGATTGATCCCCTACTGGCAAATACATACACAATACCTTATCGATAAGCTAGTTCGTTATCCCAATAATCAACCGCAATACCATTGGAGCTGCATCAGATATATATATATATATATATATAAATCAACCGTGTTCAACGGCCGCAATTCACTAGAACATCGCGCGCATAATTCAAATTCAATCATGGAAATCATGACCAAATCAACTCGACTCTTTGTCACGCAACGGAAATTCATTCGATTGCTATCAATACCAAGGTAATTGCACAACGGATCAATCGGCTACGATCGTGGCACAATCATACCACAGCGCATGTAAATCCGTTTCTATCTAATGAAAACAATAATCATTGAATGAACCGAGTAAAAAAATCTCACAAAAGAAAAGCTTCCAAAATGATTTGGTGTTTATGAAAAAAAAAAAACTAAAGGTACAAGAACAACACGATAAGAAAAAGACACAAAGAAGAATATTTGATACATAATACAAATGCAGTAAAAATTTGTGAATGAGAAACAGTTAACGACGTGACAGTCCGACAATGAATTAAAAATAATATACACGATTCTCATGGATATAAAAAAAAATATGTTCATCCGACGTCATCACCATCAAACTGGTTCGACTTGTATTTATGTTCTAAAACAATTTTGCAATCTAACATTAATAATAATTTTATTATTACGCTCTCCGCCTGATACATTCCGCATTTGGATTTTTTTTTCAATATATACATTATGTACAAAAAGTACCCGGAATACATCATTTTAGCCGCTTCAGGTATAGATATCGTGTAAAGTATTTTTTTCCTGAGTTGGTACAATCTTAACAAATATCCAAGCCAAATTTGAACTCAATATGTCAATTAGTATAGCTGTGGCAGTGGTGTAAGTAATACCTCCAAAGGTACCAATGGCGATTCTCTGCAAAAGCATCGTCTTTTAAGGTAGTGTCTTTTTTTATGCAGATATCGAGTTAGAATTTTTTCCTTGAGTTGCTACAACCTTAACAAACATCCATGCCAAATTTGAGTTTAATATGTCAAGTAATTTAGTTGTTACAGCGTTATAAGTGATACCTCCAAAAGGTGCCAAAAATTGGGCTCTTCGAGTCTTTTGATTTTTCACCTCCAACACTGCGCGTGTATCTTTTTTTATTCTTCATACTCAATTAAACATGAAGTAGATAGTCCAATTATAATATATTGGGAAATTAGAGCCACAGAAAAATACATTTATGAACAGATACAAGCTGAGAAACTTGAAAAATTCGAAATTTGTGACTTTTTTTGGTTTTCATGGCGTCATTTATCAATGGATGTAGTTTTTCTATGTTAAATATATACCAAAATGAAGGAAACAGAATGCTCAAGAACTTTGCTGAAGACACCAATGCAATATAATGCTGTATTTTTGCTCAAACATAGTTAAAAACAAGATATTTTTATGACACTTTTGCAAAAAATCGCCATTGGTACCTTTGGAGGTATTACTTACACCACTGCCACAGCTATACTAATTGACATATTGAGTTCAAATTTGGCTTGGATGTTTGTTAAGGTTGTATCAACTCAGGAAAGAAAATACTTTACACGATATCTATACCTGAAGCGGCTAAAATGATGTATTCCGGGTACTTTTTGTACATAATCGAATGTAGTCTTTGCTCTGAAACGAATGATAACGTCCTCCTGCGTCGCATCGCAATAAATAGAATTGGCTCTTGATGATTTTGAATAATTTAATAAAAATTTGCCGCCGTGCGTCGCATCAAAGAACAATAGGCAATAGGCACACAAAGAGTGTCGAATCATGCGAATATCATGTAATAATGACGTAAACGGCTGTGAGTTGCGTCAGCGAAATGCTAGAGATCGCTTCGGTTGATCCTGCATAAATCGTATGTGTTGGATTTGGTTGATCGCTTTAAGATTCTGACTCTGTGCACACGCCACAAAAACGCACAAAGACAGAGACATCGGATAAATCATATGAAACAGAGAGAGAACGAAGTTTAAATTTGAAAAAAAAAAACATGAAACTAAAAATCTTGTTTTCTACGCGCTCATTCTCGTGTTTTTGGGCAATAATATTTGTTGTTCTGTCGTCGTTCTTTTTTTCTACTGCTTCTCCCTCTATCTCACTCTCACTCACTCTCTCTCTCTCTCTTTCTCTCTCTCTCTCGAGATCCAGAGATCTTCTTAATGTGTTCAATTCAAACAAGATTGTGAATTTCTGAGTACGAGCGACGACTTGATAAAAGTCCACCAATTTTATGCTTGTCTTAATAGTTTTGGATGAATCTTTGCCGTGTCAAAACACACATCCATGATTCAAGCGGTTTGCAATTTATCGTTTGCAGTTGTTTGATTTTAATTTGTTTCTTTTTTGGAATCGAAACCTCCCCAGTGTATATTATAAATTCAGTGGTATCTTCGATAATTTTGTATTTTATTTTCGTCTTGGAATTAAATGTGATTCTGTAACCACACACAATATTCGAAAAGCTCTTGACATTCTATTTCGTTCGTTTGAAACAACGGAAGAAAAATTACATGGTGAAAATCTCAAATGGAAACAAATCCAATCGAATTATTCTAGTCGAACTGCGCTCCTCCACGAATCTATGAATTATTCCGCGTTGAATAATTTTTATCCAAAGCTCACCGGACGGTGAATACAGATACTCAATTTGACTACGCGAGCAACAGCTTGACTTTGAAAATTGTGACTTTTTTGTTTGATCGATAAAAAAGACACAAACGATTTGATATGTCATTAAAGGAAGGGAAACCAGAATCTTACATTTTGAGTGTATATAAAGTGGCTGTGGCAATCCGTTCTCGAACATTTGATGTTATTTCAATTTTAATGATGATTGTGTTTCCTTTCCGAAATGGTTCATTTTGTATTATTATTCATACATTGTTGCATCGATAATGGGCCACAGACGAAAGTCTTAAAGTAGTGATTGAAAATCTCAGAGCGGAAATCGACGTAGCAAAAAAATGCTTTTGTTTTGAGTGTTAGCATGTTGTATCCTTGTGTGTGTGTGTGTGTGTGTGTGTGTGTGTGTGTGTGTGTGTGAATCCTCGAGCAATATCAAACGAAAATTCCAAAATCATAGAAAGCCTACGATATGAATATATTTTCGAATGGAATTTGCACGTTCAACACAAAATTTTGAATATTTCGTGATAAAACTGGCGATTGCCGTTACATGCGTGTGTTTCTCCCCCTTTCTTCGGTTTATCTTTTCTTCTTCCATCGAGATTGACCTATTCACACATATTTCTCAGCGTTTTGTCTAATGCCATCGTTTGTGAGTTAGTTGAGCTACTTGTGATGCTGCATTTCAACGGTTTGTCGCTCGAAGCCAGTCAAAAATCTATTCAGCGTGTTATGAGTCTCTCTCTCTCTCTCTCTCTCTCTCTCTCTTTCTCTCTCTCTCTCTCTCTCTCTCTCTCTCTCTCTCTCTCTATGTTTTGTGTATGTATGCGTTCATGGGCTTGTATCTTTCACTGTTTGGCTTTCTGTGCGAGACGAATAGCGATTTCGAATATCATTACATGATTATGCTTATCGTCTCGTTTTTATCTAGATTTCCATCACTCTCGAATACAGTGTTGTTCTCAATGACTTTGAACACAGAAGTGTATAATCATTTGCATGTATCATTTAGATCAGAGGTGCCCGACTTGAGAATTGCATAGTTCCCTTTGAATTCGATTCAAGCATTAAGTCAGCAGATGAAATGGATGGCAAAAAAAAAAATCCATAGCACACTCGTGTGACTTATTCAACCATTTCATCTGCGCATTGTATCTCCCCATAACTGTGGAAATGAGCGTGTGAAAATGCCACTCCGCACGCACAGAGAGAAAGAGAGCGAACTCATCTGCAGTGGAAATGAAAAGTAGATGAAGTGGAAATGCTTTTTCAGACATTGTCTGTCTCGTAAAAATCATTGTACAACGAACATTAAATAAACAAATTAATGGTGTAAATAAAACAAGAAGCCATCCAGACATCTGCTACCATGCTATATTATGTGTGTGATTGCCGTGTTTGTTTGCGCTCGCGTGTGTGTGTGTGTGCGTAACCAACCACACGGAATGTGCAAGGAATCGTTTAGAACGTCATAGCAAACGAAAGCAAAACGATAATGCAACTTCAAGAAGAGTCAAAGTGTACACACAATGAAAGAACAATAAATTGCCGGATTAGCTGTGTATTTGGCGCGTTCGACATAATTTTAAATAAATTATATCGAATCGACTGATAAAATACACGTCGCCGAGATTCGACGGATTTGTATGTACTGTTGCTGCTGCTGTTATGGTTTTTTTTTTCTTTCTTCGGTTCGTTTTTGCGACATCGGCTGTCGAGTGAACAGAGAAGTTCGATACAGAGACAACAATCACACTGTGACTAGCAAATCTCCACTCAAAATCGGACTCTCCATGTGTGTTGTTGCTTCTTTCATTCAACTTCAAAACACACAACACTCAGAATTTTCGAAAGCATTGCCCATGATTATTACTTCTTTAATGTTTTCAAATTTAATACTGTTGTAAATGCGATTTTTTTCTTCGTTTATTGTTGATGTTGTCGTCATCGTCGTCGTCGTTTTCTTTCGCTTTTTTCTCACTCGTCTCCTTTTCTCCGTCACATCGAATTTTCTTTCTTCTTTGAGATTTAAAATATATACAGTGTATTCAGCATAAAATAAACTACTAATATCGAATACACATAAATTAGTCTTGTGTTTATATTGATATTGTAATAAGCAAAAGAGACAGACTAAACTGAAAAGGCAGATAAAACAAGACATTATGTCGAACACGTACGTAAATGCTGCTGATCCAATGAAATCAAGAAAAAAAAAGAAACGAACGAACGAACGACAAAAAATAATATATGAATACAAAAATTCGATATATATATAGTTTAAGGTGATCACTTTCATCGTTTCAGTGTAGTTTGTTCCATCAGTTGCGTTTGATTTATCTTACCCGATCGTACACACACTGATCAGTCACCAACAGTAGCGCATCTACACTTAGCACAAAACCGAATTGTATTCGTCCTAACGCAGAATTAAGTGCAGTTTTTCTACTACGCTTTTGGAGAAAATAAAATTGTGTCCTTTTTTGTCGATTTGCTTTTCGATTTTTTGTGTGGTTTCTCACGCAAGAAAAAAAAAACCAAGTGATTTTTAACTTATTTTTCTCGATTTTTTTTTTCCTGTCATTCCATTGAAACTGTGTACAGACTTTTTTTTGTTGGGTTAGATAGAAAAAAGTTCTCAGGAACAATAAAAAAAAAGTGTTTTGTAAAGAAAATTATACAATAAACTATAAGAAAATAATCAAAATGATTGAACAACAAATCCCCACGGTTCCGCAACAACCAAAGAAACCATGCAAAAATGATCGCAAAACAATGCTTAAGAAACAGGCACTGGCACGGTATTATTTTCAGTTTATTTATTTTGTAGTTGAACACTAACGGAGTTTTAATTTTGTTTTTCATTTTCATTTTCATTTATCATCATTGTATATTTTCATTTGAAGCAAAATGATTCAGTTGAAGTTTGAAGTACTTTTTTTCGTGTATTTTTGAACATTTTACTTTCGAAAACCGCTTTTTATTAAAGAGCAGCTAATTGTCGATTGAAGCAACTTCATTATATCATCTGGATACATCACAAATCAATCCACCACAAATGATGAAAATAATTTAACGCTATCCAAATATTTAAAAAAATCTAAAATTCAGGCAATTATTTGCAAACAATTTCTTACTTTCTGTAGAATGGGATCATTTAATTCGGCGCCAAAAATCAATAACATCGATTCGCAAGATGATGACGTCGAAATACCGAATGGATTGGAAACTGCCGCTGATTTGGTGAACTATTGCAAACTGATGCGTGGCGATAATCGGCCGGAATTATTACAGCGATCATTTTTCAAACCGATCAATGACCTTTCGCTGAATGATGTAACCGATGGTTTACGTTATTTACACTTGAATTCAGTGTCTAAAGGTAAAAACAAAAAATAAAGTGGAAATGATTTTGTCATTTTCTTTTGATCTTTTTTTTTTTGGTATTTCAATTGCCAATTGAAATTTTGAGGTTTGATCAGCTTTCTAATGTGGATTTCTCTGTTTTTAGTTTGTAGCTCACCAAAGTCTTTGCCAAATCATATACGAATTCTGCAATGGAACATTCTCTCCCAATGTGAGTATGGAAAAATATTGATTTGTGATGAATTGCCAAATATTGGTCTAATATACAAATGTGACCGTCATGAACGCCGCCGCCGATAAATTGTTTGTTCGAAAATCGAGCAAAAATTGATGAATAAATGCGTTTTTTTTTTCTTCAATTCCTTCTTCGATTGTAATATCATCAATTGAATGAAACGGAGCACGAGGCTACGAACAAAAACTGTTCAGACCACAAACAAGATCCGAGACAACAAACTAATTTATGTATACGTAAATTGCGTCACAATCAGCTTGATTCAAATGATAACCCGAAATTCATAAATACAATCGCGTAAATAAGAAAAAAACATATATCGCACAAGCTACGAATAAAAACCCGTTGGAAATCGAACTGTGGGTTTATTAGTGATTCAATTCAAATCGAAATTCGAAGAAAAGTGTAATTAAAAGGCGAGACTAAGCAAACAAATGTGTGTGTGTTTTTTTCTGTCGCTTTGTGTATCACCACGTAAGAGAAAAAAAGGGAAACCCCAAATCGCAGAACATAATATTTTTTCGGGGCACTCGTTGCAAAATAATCATGAAGATCCGTTTAAAAGAAGATCGGATCGGATCAAGAGACGTGCGGCCATATCAATGACAAGTTAGACGTCACACCAAACCTATATTCAAAGCAATTATTTATCACAAACAATTTTTTTTTTCTGTCGTCGACTTCGATCGAACACACATACACACGCCAAATTTGCACAAATTTACATATCGAATCTATTTTTATTTGTTTTTTTCGGTTCCATAATTCATCTGGGACAACCACGTGATGCCAACCACATTTTCGAAATGGAATGGAAATGTTTAACACGCCGAAATTCGAACAAAAAATAACAACAACAACAACAGCTTTGGGTCAACATAATGACAACTTTGTTTGCTGTCCAGCTGATGCGTTAACATGGGAATCGCGCAAATACCTCATTGTGCAGGAAATCATTCAAAATGATCCAGATGTCATTTGTTTACAGGTGCAGCACGAGAAAAAAGTTTCTGCCGCTCAATTTTCATAATCAATTCTATTTCTTGTTTTGCTCTTAGGAAGTGGACCACTTCAAATTTTTGCAAACAATTTTGGCCACTCAAAACTACGAAGGTATTTTCTTCCCAAAACCGGATTCACCATGTTTGTACATCACCGAAAATAATGGACCAGATGGTTGCGCACTATTCTATAAGAAGACCAAATTCGATTTGGTCAATTATGACACCCGAGTTCTGGAAGTGTGGCGCGTCCAAAGCAATCAAGTGACGATCACGGCAAATTTGCGCATTATCGAAACCGGTAAAGAGATTTGCGTGTGTACAACCCATTTGAAAGCCCGCAACGGTGCACTTTTGGCCAAATTGCGCAACGAACAAGGAAAGGTGAATGACGCAAATCCTATACATCATCATCATCAACATCATCAGCACCATTGCCACCACCAAGTCATTCAAAATTTAATCCATAAAATGTGTTTGTGTCAATTTAGGATTTGATGCGATTTGTGCAACGTGTCGCAAATAATCGGCCAATTTTAATATCTGGTGACTTTAACGCTGAACCGATTGAACCAGTTTACAGTACAGTCATCAATTTTACACCGTTGAAGCTATCATCGGCTTATGCTGATGTCTTGGCTTCGATATCGAACAATTCGACCGAAGAAAAAGACACTGAACATGCCGCCGATGAAACCAATGGGGAAGGTGTTCTGAATGGCGATGATGTCACCAATGGTGATGGCATTACAAACGGATTGAAGAGCCGTGTTGATCATCTTATCAGCCATGAACCTCCATACACCACATGGAAAATTCGTGAAGATGGTGAAGTTTGCCACACAATTGATTATGTATTCTATTCACGAGACACCCTCAAGGTAACCACACGCTCGCTCTCATTCAATCTATGTGTTTTTTTTATTGGAATTCACACATTTCATTTGGTTATTTTTCAGGTGAACAATTGCTTAAGATTTCCACTGGGAAATGAAATTGGCAAGAATCGCACACCAAGTCATCGCTATCCATCCGATCACTTTTCATTGTTGTGTGACTTCGAAATTATTGACAGCGACGGCGAAAATAATGATGATGGTGATCTAACAAACAGTTGCCCATAGACATAACAGCAACCGGCAAAACCGCAATTTCGTTAAGTCTTTCCATATTTGAATGAATAGAGAATGAGAAATTTTGAAATCTTGCAACAAAAAAAATTAGATAGAAGATAGAAGTTATAAAGATTATAAAATCAGATAACAAGGCAGAAAAAAACGACCTAGATACGGGAACATATATTTTTTTCTGGAAAAAAAATCGTATTTTATACGTTCATTTTTCATGTAAAACATGTGATAATAGCAGCTTAGAAACATTCTATATTTGTGTATTTTTAAGGTCCGATAACCTACACCAAGGAACAAAAAAACAATCAATCCCAGCAAAAGTTTCGTTTGTTCAGGTTCTCATCTTCATAATTTTGGCAAACTATTTTTTTTTTCTTTTGAAATTTTCTTCAACCCATTTTTATCGTTTTGACAAATTCCAATAACGAAATTTATTATGCCAGTGGAACATAGATAGATTTTGTCCATTCACTTTTTTTTTCTGTACAATCACAATTTTGCAATTTAATTATTTTAAACGCTAGGTAGCGGTTGTGGAACACTAAACAAACAATAAAATGGTTTGATAAAAACAAATTTTCATTCGTAATAATTTATTTGATTTGAGTACAATTTGCTTTATAAGAATTAATCCGAAAGAGAAGAATGAACAATCATCAAAACGATGTCCTGTCATTACTCGTCGACGAAAAAGAAATTACCAATTGGAACGATGAAATTTTTTTTATTTTAAACAATTGTTTAAACACGAGCTCATCCAGACAGAAATTTAACAATGTCAATCATCCCTGCGGTCGTGCTCGTTATACATACACAAATGCCGATGATGATAAGAATGACATTAGGAATGATCTTATAGTTGTAGGGCCCCAAATCAAATGGATATCGCACACAAATTTGAATCAGCGCAGGAATCGCTAGACCGACCATCGACAAACAGAAACCGCCAAATAATGATATGTACATACCAATTTTGGGAATTGCAACTGCGAGTACAACTGATGAAAAGAAAGAAATAAAAACTAGTTGTTCAAAAAGAAACATTTAACACTATGATTGTTCTTGGGGCACCCAGGGCCCCCAGCGAACTTTAAAGTTGAATAAAAGTACTAAACAGTGTATAAACCGACCGGAGTTAAGTCTCATTGTATAGATTGAACATTTCTCTACACGAATGAAAAAAAAAACATATGCATATGTGTGAGTATGTGTAAAATACAGCCTGCCGCAAAACTTGTTACGCTGTTGTTCTTGGGGGACCACAGGGCCCCATGGCTATTTTATATTATAACTGGAATATGATAAGAGATAACGACTTAATGTCTGTGGTGAAGTTGTAGTACTCAAGCTGTTCTACAACTTTGCCGAAGACACCAAGTCGTTATCTCTTATCAGTTTCGCGGAATACGCGAGAAACCGCAGAAAACCGCGAAAAAACGCGTTTTTTTCCTTATCGTTTTTCACGGAACTGATAAGAGATAACGAGATGGTGTCTAAGGCAAAGTTGTAGTTCTGGTCGAGGACTACAATTATTCTGATTCATTATTCCGTTATCTCTTATCAATTACGCGAGAAACCACAAAAAACCGCGAAAAAACGCGTTTTTTTCCTTATCGTTTTTTCACGGAACTGATAAGAGTTAACGAAATAATGAATCGGAACAATTGTAGTACTCAACCAGAAATACAACTTTGCCTTAGACGCCATCTCGTTATCTTTTATCAGTTCCGTGAAAAATGATAAGGAAAAAAACGCGTTTTTTCGCGTATTCCATGAAACTGATAAAAGATAACGACTTGGTAACTTCGGCAAAGTTGTAGAGAAGCTTGAGTTCTACAACTTCACCACAGACATCAAGTCGTTATCTCTTATCAGTTACGCGAAAAAACGCGAAAAATTCGAGTTTTTGATAATCATTTTTCGCGAAACTGATAAGAGATAACGATTTCATGTCTATGGTGAACTTGTAGTACTCAAGCTGCTCTACATTTCTGTCGAAGAGGCAAGTCTCTTACTTCTTATCATCTTCACTAAAACGATGTGGGAAAATTTTGCGATTTTCGCGTTTTTTCGCGTTTTTCGCGGAACTGATAAGAGATAAGCAATATTTGTTGCAACAAAATTATAGCAAACCTCGAGTATTACAACTTTGCTTCAGACACTAATTTGTTATCTCTTATAACAGTCCAGATTTCATATGAAGTATCTTGGGGGCCCTGGAGTCCCCCAAGAACAGTAATATGTTGCAAATATGAAGAACAGTCATAGTGTTAAACCAAAATGTGTAACCATATCCAATATATATATTAATTGGTTGTGCTACAAAACAAAATTGACCAAATATCGAATCGCAATAGAAGATTGAAACAATCACTTACATGTAATCAAAACAATGGCTAAGCGAACCGCATACTCTCCCAACATTGGATATTTGGTAAAATATTGTGACAAATGATTCCCCCAGATAATTTCCACAGCCACATAGCATTGGAGTGCATACGAAAGGCCTATAGATACAGAGTATCCCATTTGGATAATTTTCGTTTGGCTAAAAGAAATAAAACGACTTATTCCAGCATTGATATTCATTTGTAAAAACAAAACGTATCGCATTTCATACATATTGTTCGGGTCTAAATTCAATGTGATGCTATCTTCTATCTGATCACCATATTTTACGTAACCAAACACACCAAAAATTATATAAATCACCGTGACGATTGTCATTCCACAGTTTAAAACACCAAACCTAGAGACGTATGACTGCGGTGTTTTCATGTTGTTCTCCAACGTAATGATAAGACCGATGGGTACCAGCGCAAAGAGGGTTGTTCCAAAAAATAATGGAAACTCCAAAATAGTACCGGCTGCGTTGCGATCCCGGAATTGTGGCATGTTTGTAAACAATTCTACTAGGATCATTATAATGGCTGGGAAAAAATGGGATGACCACGGTTTAACGATTTTCTTGAATTTAAATGTTCAGTTCTCGGAAAGTGAATTGGATTACAAGAAGATGAAACCTGTGCAACAGATGACCGTGGCAAAAATGGTGAATGGCGCCAATGCATTCAAGTTACGGATCAACATAACAGCAAATAGTGGCACAAACAACATCAAAATATAATACTCCACTCTTATGGTATACCAAGAGTCGGTGAATGTTTTGAGATTCGTTGACACAAATACGACATAAACACAACCGATTCCGATTTGATTGATTAATAGAAAACCATTAACAAATCCACTAAAATGAAGAAGAAAAAAAATTGAAAATGGATTGATTTATGCATGGAATTATACGGTTCATTTTACACAGCGTATGGTGCAAAGCAACGAAGGTATGGCGGTCCATCTTTTAGCGCCAATTGGAATGCCATTGGATAAGTAAGCACCGAAATACGGTGACGCTTGCACATTATATACATTGATTGAACTAAAATATGGAAGCAATAAGTCATCGTGATTCCTATCAATGCAGCGAAAATCGGTGCCACAATGTAGCCGGCCTGCTTTTACATCACAATACACATCTAGATCAGTTTAAAATCAAAAATGAAAATTTCAAAAAATTCTTTGACCTGCTTGAATGCATGCGGTATTGCAAACACTCCCGTTCCGATTAATCCTTTCACCAGAAGAATTTGAGTGACAATATGTCTGAAATCAATGTTCCAATTAAAAACTCAAAATTTATTCATAACAAAATATTTACGATGTCGGATGCTTCACATCGCGATGTAAATACGGATCATACGGTGCTGACGTTTCCTTTGAACATCTAATAGCAAAAAAAAAAAAATTATTCCTAAAGTCAACTTAACAATAAACGCAATTGATTACTGTAAGTTGGTCTGGTTTGTATTTGTATTTGAATTTGAATTTGCGGATGATGTTGACATTCCGTCTCTGGTCACTTTTCTTTCGAGAATAATTTAAGAGCGTCAATTTATTTCAGTTTCCACAGAAATTGTTCCTTTTTTCGTTATAAATCGTACGGAATTAATTTCTGAATCATGTGATTCATTTAAGTGCGACGCCTTCTTCGTTTGTACAATTTATACATTTGACTTGAAGAAATAGAAATCATTTTGCAATAATTTACCGAAGAAAAGAATATTATTTCCTGAAGTAAACCATTTATTTTTCTGTATAATTCTCAGCATGTGCCATAGCGTGTTAAATGACTTTGTCAAGCATTTGGCGATAAAGTCGTTTTCATTTGAGGGTGTACAGTATACACTGTACACTGTACATTCATACATTCATGTGTATATTTTTCTTAAAATTTCGTCAAGAAACAATATATATCGACACAAACATTTATGGCAATATTTTCATTTCAGGAGCTATAAATTGTATTGTCTGATTTTTCAGTGGTTGTTGTTGTTGTTGTTGTTGTTGTTGTTGTTGTTGTGTATGTAGCGTATTTTCTAATTACAAACAAAATTGGTGTTTAGTTAACCAGTATTTATTTGAATGTGTTTGTGTAATTTTTATGATTTTATTTTTTGTGTTCCGTTCTATATAGGTTTGGTCGGGTTTAGCATATTACATAATTCTATATACGTCTTAAATGCTATACTATAATTGATTCAATGATTTTCAATATTTTTGATTCTCTCCGACAAACAAAAAATCACTATAAGTTTGTACAAAATCAAGCCATTAAAAAATAAATCTAAAAATTTGAAGGAAAAAATGCAAAAAAAAAAATTATCATGATAATTATTTCACTTGCTTCTCTCTCTCTCTCTCTCTCTCTCTCTCCACTATTTGATAATTACAATGCGTAAAATAAATTGAAATTCGCAAATTAATGTTTGAATTTTTGATTTCGGTAAAATCCTGTATTCTCAATGCTAAGTAGTAACGGAATCAATTCTTTTACATCACAATACACATCTAGATCAGTTTCCAATCAAAAATGACAATTTCAAAGAATCCTTTGACATCGTCACCGAAGAAGAAAAAAAAAAGATGCTAAACAAGTAGACTTTTTTATTTTCGTTCATTTGTTGATGGAAACAAAGTGTTTCCATTGGAAACATTTTAGCAAAAAGCATTCAGAATCATTGTAGCATTTACGATGGGTTTTGTGTGTGTATGTCAAAAAAAGACTTGTTTCGTTCTTATGAGTCTAGCTAATTGACAGGTGAGATTTGCTTTGCAAAAATGTTCGTTTAAAGAAAAATAAATTTAGATTGTAATTTCAAGTAACAATTACTTGATAGCATTTCTATACTATTGTGGTCGAAAGCGATGGTTTTGTTTTTGTTTTTTTCGACGGGTATAGTGGAGTGCTTAAAGACTGTTTGGTTCGGTGGATGTTGTGGCGATCGAAATGGTGTTGTTAAATGTTTCTGTGGCATTAGTCGGTGATTGGAAACTCACGATAATATCGACAACTGATTTGTGTGTGCCAGTGACCAATCCGAATAAACCAATGGCAATGAGTATAACATTGCGGATGACCACATTATTCCAGCGTCCCCAATTGTTTGGATACAAAACGCAAATTTCCATCAATGATGGGAATGCAATGCCGAGCACGGACAAACACAAAGCACCAAACAATGAAATGAACAACGCCAACCGTGGAACAGAAATCGCCAGCAAAACTATTACCGTAAGAGAATGAGAGTGGGAGTAGAGAACGGATAAAAGTCATTAGAAACGCTATATTAACTTGATGTATATTGTGCATTACACCAAAATACAGCACAACCGACAAAAAAAAAAAGAGAGCAGAGAGCAACTCACATGTGATCAGCACAATAGTGATCCGAACAACGAACTCCCACTTGATACTTTCATTAAAACGCTTCTTTAGATAATTTCCCCAGATTATTTCAACCTGCAACGAGAAAAAAAAGACACACCCAGATAAGGATGCGATTCGGTCAATTTCACCATAAATTTATATTTAATAAATTTGACGTTGTGTCATTCAATTGCTGTTATTGATACTAACCGGTACGTAACATTGGAGTCCGTACGAAATGAATGTGGCCACTGTGAAAATTCCTTGTACCACTTTCGTCGTGCTAAAATGAAAAGCGAACAACCGAGATAGACATAAGATATAAGCAAAGTAATAAATTAAACTGCGACGAATAATAAATTCAAATTGTGTTATATATCTTACACGTCTGTGGATGGCAAGTTCAAAGTGATACTTTCATCGGAGTCTTTGCCGTATTTCCAGTAGCCGACAAAGCCAAAGAAAGCGTACAATAGCGTAATAACGAACATTCCAACATTCAATACACCGAAAGATGAGCCAAAGGATTTGGGCGTTTTCATGTTATTTTCCAAAGCGACTACCACACCGACCGCTTCAATCGCAAACAGTGTCGTACCGAAAAACAATGGAAATTCGGAAATATCGCCAAACGTTTCACGGTTTGCAAGTGGCGGCAGTGCTTGAAACACATATGTCAAAATTAAACCAATGCCTGCAACGAAGAAAAAGACACATCCAGACAAGGATGCAATTCGATCAATTTTACCATAAATTCATATTTAATGAATTTGACGTTGTGTCATTCAATTGCTGTCGTTGATACTAACCGATAAACGTGATGATATTCGCCAATGTCGAGAATGGAGCCAATAATTTTAAATTGCGAATGCAATTCAATAAAATCAATGGCAACAACAATAATAGCATATGGTATTCAATCTCTATTTTATACCAATAGTCAACAAATTCTTTCACATTTTTTGCAACGAACACAATATAAACACAGCAAATGCCCAATTGGTAAACTATCAAAAAACCATCAACGATCAAACTGGGAAAAAAAAATAAAAGAAACAGAAAACCGATTATAAATTCCAAATTCAACAGTTCAAGCAAGTTTGAGCGATAGAACGAGAAAAACAATCAGCTGGATATGATTTGCACTCACACAGCAAACGGAGCCATCCAACGAAGGTACGGCGGTCCCTCTTCCAGTGCCAATTTCATCGATATTGGATACGTTAAAATTGGAACACGACGACGTTTACATAAAATATATTGAGATCGTACCTATGCAATTCAACGAAATCATTTTTTTTTTTTAAATATTGACTTCCTTCAAACTACAAGCGATGACTTACTAAAATGTGAAGGCCCCATGTGCACAAAATTCCAATCAAAATGGTGTTTACGATACCAGACATATAGCCGGCTTGATGAAATGCTTTCGGCATCGCCAATATACCTTTGAAGAAATTTTTTCAAATTCAATTTATTTACATGTTTGGAATGTTTTAATTTCCATTTGTTGAAATTCGTTAAATGTCTTCTTCAAAAGAAATGTCTTACCTGTGCCCAACGATCCCTTCAACAAATGCACCAACGTTTCGGTGTTTCTAATGTGAAGAAAATTTATGAACGTTTAATAGAAAAACAAAATATCGAAAAATTAAAACACAAATTGATGGAAATGCAATCAAATTCCACTTACGTCGTTGGGTGTGGTACGTTTCGATGTAAATGTGGATCATATTCATCGCTTTGTGGTTGCAACGGGATTTCGGCATCATTCAAGTTTCTATAAAATAATGCAATATTCATTGAGTGAAATGTATCATCAAATCATTTCAAATTGAATTGTTTTCAGATTTTCAGTTTGAACAAGACATTGAAACAAATTAAAATTATTGATCAAATTACTGTAGCTTGATGTCTCCCTTCTTGGTATCCGTAGGTGATGTAGCTGACATGGTAATTCCGAGTGTGATTTTCTCGACCGTGTGCTCTTATTTTGTGCGCGATTTTTTGTCCAGAGATTCCAATTATTTAGGTTTCCAATACCAATTATATCTCACGCTCTCTCGTCCAAATGCTTAGTTTTTTATGATGGTTTACTAGGTTGGTTCACGAATTAATTGTGCGCGGTGGAAAAAGAGAGCAAGCAATGAAAAATATTTATAAAAATAGAAATATAGAAAAATTTGAATAAAAACAAAACAAAACAAAAAAAAAAAAAATCAAATGACTAGCAACTCTGACCGATATACGGCAATTGAATGGAATGAAATGTATTTAAGAGAGTTCAATTACAGGGGTCAATTATCTAATATATGATTCCCGTCGCAATTTCTACATAAACGACATTGCGTTTATTTGGTTGAGTTGACAGGGTGGCTAGTATGAGAGAGCAAGAGTTTAATCATGAAAACAAAACACATGTAGGAAGAAAGAGAGAAAAAAAAAAGAGAATTTGAACAGAAAAAAGCAACAAAAATTTGCAGCAGCTAACAACCGTTGGAATGATATGGTTACGGTTTTGCGGTCGGAAATCTAATGCCAGATTATTCTTCTTAGTCTTTGGACTGTGCGTATGTTTAAATAAATTGCAAATGAAATCGCGACGTAGCACATAACAAGTGACAATAAATCGAGCTTATTATTCCCATCAACTCTCAAAGCAAACAATCAAACTCTTCGTGCACTGCTCAAGTTGCTCATCAACTGGTGTCCATTGCGTAAAATATGTATATATGTAAGTATATGTAAGTATATGTACACATACACGTTTTATAACCACACACACACACACACACACTCTCTCTCTCTCTCTCTCTCTCTATCTCCCCACTCTCTCTGTTCTACTCGATGTAGCTGTGTGCTGATGCAGTCGAATAGTTATATCATATTCAAGTCATCGTGGTAAACTGCTCTAAGTCATGTCAAAAGGTTATCAACATTCTAGGCGTTTTTGTTTTTGTTTGTTTCCAACAAAATGGTCATTTATGTATAAACTCATCGAAAATATGCAACACTTGATAACACACATATGTGACTTTCAAGATGTGATTCGATTTTTTTTTTTTTGGAACAGCATGGATCAATCAGCTGGCAATGATTCGGAAAAAACTGTTCGTTTTCATTTAAATGAAGCAACTAGCAATCATAAACAATCACAGCGTTCACACTCAACCTTGTGTTTTTTTTTCTGTGCAAAAAGAGGAATCAATCAACTTCAAAATGAAATGCGTTGTTATCGCGTTGTTATTCTTGGTTTCATGTTTGGCGTTTCGAATTTCTTTTTTTCGTCGACTTCTTTGCGCAAATATTCAAGAGAGAGAGAGAGAGAGAGAGAGAGAGAGAGAGAGAGAGAGAGAGAGAAATGTGACCCGTCGAATCGAAATGTTTATCGCCCCTTCAATCAAATTCATTTATTTTGGCAAGTTGTGCAAATCAAATTGATTTAGTGCTATGTGTTCAACAGACTCCATGACGTAGGCTCATTATTCGTAAATGCCTAAATTTGTTTTTTTTCTCTGTTTTTCACCAGACCCAAATCGACGGATCGAAACTTGGAAAGTGCATTCACTTCAATCGGTTCAGTCTTATGGACCCGTCGACAACTTCTCTGACTCTACCGAACACTACGACTTTGATCTTACAAAATGTAACACGAATAGCATGCTTACTTTTAGAATATCTCGAAATACATTGAAAGAACGATAAAGAAAGAAAAAAAAAAACAAAACAAGAACAGCAATGTCCGAATTCTTGTCTACACAGCAATCCAATCGGTTATATTTTCGGAATCGCGCGCATTCTTGTCTTATTTCGAAATTTCTTTGACAATAATGAAAGCGTGATGATGGATAAGATAATTTCTTTTCTTTTTAATTCATGTAATGATGATGATGATTTCAATCAATTTGCTTGAATCTCAACGGTTTTGTTATTAACGCTAAGCATTCTTGTCTCAAGGACCAGACAACACAACAACACAATTGACATTATTCTTTATCAACGATCTATAGAATTCAAATCTGGGCTTTTATGTTGATAGAATAGCAATTTCAAGTAGATGACATTGTATTTTCGCATATATCATTTTGGCCAAAGTTCATACTTATTGGGAGTCGCCAGATAAGCATATCAAAACTTGACCCAAGAATCGATATACGAACATTTTTTGTATTACACCTGCAACAACAACCTCAACGACTGCGACAACGACGAATAGTGCAAAAGTTCTAGTTCTAGTTCTAGTTCTAATTTGTCATTGCAACCATATAACACAAACCAATGAATATTTACGTGTTTTGTTCGCGGTTTTAAATTTCAAAATGCGTCTATTTATGTTATATAAGAAACACAACAATGTATGATGTATTCATGCATGTATTGTGTTCAAACACATTTCTGTGATTTCTAAAAATAATAATATTAGAAGAAAAAAAGTGTTGGTTGTTGCTTTTCCTCGTTTCACACCGGTCGCAAGTTTTTCTTTTGCGTTGATTTTTTGTGTCTCTTTTATACGAGATTGAAAATTCATTTAAACGTTTTCTGTTTGCATGGAATCAATATTGGTCCAGCCAACGATTCAATTTAACAGAAAAACACCATTCTCACCCGTTAAAATGGTCGAATTTAATATTCAAATTTATTTATTCAACTGGTTGATGGTTTTCGTTTGATCAATGAAATTTTTCGTTTAATAAACAATAACATTTCAATTTCACATGGCTCGTTTTTTCCACTGAGATTCATGAGATTCAGATCACTACTTTTTTCTCTCGTTTAAATTATCGAAAAATCATTCCCGACCCCGAATGAATGTAAAACCGAATCGAAAATCTCTCTCGTATGGCTGTCAATTATTTCGTTTGGTTGCGTGCATTTTTTTTTCTCGTTTCGATCAATGATTCTCCCATTCGCCGTTGAAACGATTAATTGTGCATCATATTTCAAACCAAAATTGTGTGTATGCTGCTTATGCCAACTTTACAACGAAGTCAAAATTATTATGATGCAAATATTTACAAAGCCGAAATGTTGATGTCAACCCAAATTCGGCTTCAGTTAGATGCCGAAAAATCTCATACATTTCGCATCCAATCAAAATAACATTCGTATGATATGTCCGATTTATTTGACAAAAGAATATTCTTGAAGTCGATATTTAAACAAAACCACAACAAAGAATTGTTGTCACAAACTTACAAACAAATGAAATTTATTGTTAAACACCAAAATGAGAACTGTTGAATGATTACCGACAAACTTGTCGATCGTACACATGAATGTAAACTACTGTTTTTTGATGATGAATAAAAATCGGTTCTAGAAATGAGAGACAGAGACTGACTTACAACAACGTGTGCGACGCCGTTCGCGCTATGCTACGCAATGTATGTCTTCGCGCGTCTCACTCACGACTGTAACGATGACTGGATCCAATGTTTGGTTCTATTTCTGTCTGTGCTACTGCGAAAGCATTTGCCGCACATTTGAACCACGAAAAAAAAATGAGTGAAAGAGATATGATTGCCCGAAAACAACGACGAACGAACGAACTGAATTTACAACAACAACAAAATGCTCTTCTTCTTTCTTTCGTTGTCACTTTTTTGCCTGTTTGATTTTTTTTCGTGTTAAAATGTGTGCTCATGTATTCAATACAGTCGACAATTCGGTCGTGCATGCAATATGGTATAATAACATATCCATCTCATGTCTTTCGTATGTACTCTACATACATATACACTACAATCTCTAAGCTGTTGAAAGTATATCATTGTGGTTCGGTGCGCAAAGGAACAAAGAACCCACCGAATGGTACACCATTCTAAGCGAAAGGAACAGGGAAAAACGAAGAAAGAATATGTTGTCGAGCACATGTTATATTTTGTGTATGTATTCGTTCTTACCCATACACAGAGAGATCGCATATATGCACACACTTTGAATTTGACCGTATATGGGTTCCAGTGCTGTACCGGCTTTTATCTCTTTCATTCTATAATACGATTGAGTGATTTCAGTCGTTGTTCTTGCGATTCGCGGTCACTAAAAGAGAAGAGACTTGAACGGGAAATATACACACACACACTGAATGTAGAGATCGGGCTTGACTACGAAGCCAATGCAAATGATTTGAATTGTATTGCTAAGTGAAAGGAAGCGATGAATGATTTTTTTGTGTCTACAAAAGTAATGGAATGCAAACCGAAAAAAAAAAACGGATTCAGTTTATGCATTTCAATCACAATCTCATCCACACTGATTCCACAAGCGACCACAGAACTACTTATTAGAAGGGAACCTCATTTCGCTGCGTTCAAGAACGCGATTCATTTCCATTTCCACTGACCGGGCCTCAACGCAATTCACCATACATTGTTGAAGTAAAGTGTAATTAATTCTCGGCTTTTCTCATTTTAATTCGTCTTTTTTTCTCATGATTTCGTTACAATTGGTGAGTTCATTTCGATACATCATATAGATTCATCGGATGGTATTGTGGATTCTGACAACGTGAGCACCAAAAGAAAATTGTGGAGAAAAGTAGAAGATCCCTGTCGAAGATAAAATGGAACGCACTCAACATACAATCAATATGGAATGGCAATGACATGCATGTAAACACACGCATCGTCGTCGAAGTGTGAAATTCAAGCAACAATTTTACTGTTCTTTCTTTCTTTTGTTCTGTAATCGAGTCATGAAGACTGAAATTTAACTTTGAAACCAAAAAGTGTGTCTTTACGCAGTGAAGCACACACACAGTCAAATGGGAAACAAAATTTTAAAAACGAAAAAACACACTCTTTGTAAATACCTGATGTATTTTTATTTCAATTACGAGACGTCTTTCATTTTCTGTTCACTCTGTTTCGATTCGAATCTCTTCCGATCTATTTTCTTATATCGCTTGAAAATAAACACTCAACCAGACCGATTATGAAGTATTCATTCTTTTTAAAGAACAGACGCGGAACAATTCTTCACTTTTTTTCTTTGGATTTATTCAGACAAATAAAAACAGTACACATTTCTCATTGTTCTATTTATTCGAGTGCAATTGTTTGAAGAGAGTTTTAAATACTCATTTCAATAATGTCGATGAATTAATGCATTAAACAATGCTCATTAGACAGATAGAGAGAATGAATGGTTTGAAACAACTTGTATAGGCTAAATTATTACAGCTACATAATGAATTCGTCATATTTTGACGAGGTGATTGTTATGGTTTTCGATGCACTTCTGTCGCCGCACCTTTTATGCATATTTTAATTTCTGGTTTAGGGTGCAACCACTTTAAAACCACCATCAAAAGGGGCACTTTATGTGAAAATGATTGACTTTTATTTATCAAAAAAAGTTACTCAATTGGGCCACAATAGTTACTAATTCTGTGTTTGGGTTGCATTGAGAGTTTATTGGTAAAAAAACATTCATTGAGAATTTATTGGGAAAAGGTATCAAGTTACACAAATATCCGCTATATCAATATTGACCAAAATCCATACTAATGATATTGTAATATGATGATTTTGATTTAGGTCCTTGACTTCGGCCCGAATTCCACCGAAAAAAAATCGATCGAACCACAAACCCAAACATGTAACAACAATATACTTACTGCATCATGTTTATCCATTAACAATAGAACATTTCACAATTTTTTTTTATCGCAAAGACCCACAGTACACAGGGAGATAAATAAGCGTAACACGCGAATTGAGGAATATTCACAGACAGTCAGACGACGACGACGACGACGACGACGACAATTATATAACAAAGGCAAACGACGATGTGCACACAGTAAATAAATGAAATAGCCAGCGGAAAAACAACAACTAAAATCCAGTCAACTATATCTGGGAGTGGTGATTACGTTGAATTCATTATTTGATACGTCTACTCCGTAGCATATTGGATTCTAGTTGTAATTTACCATGTTGATGAATTGAAACAAAAAATTCATTTGCACACTCGGAATGGCCACTTTTACACTCTTCTTCTTCCTTGCCGTAATTGTTATATGTGTATGTGTGATTGGATACTTCTGATGAAGACCAAACGCAAAGGAGACAGTACGCACTAGGGGCACAGATGTCAACGTAATTGTTTACGCGTCGTAGTAATGGATAGTAGAACACAAAAGGGGCCCTCTCATTGACGATGATATCTTGTGTGTATGTTGTGACCATTCATCCAAGTTGACAGCTACAATGAATACACGGATTGAACAAGCGAATTGAAGCGCTGTCTCGCAGGCGCAACATTTGCACAAGCAAAAATACGAGAAAAAAAAATCACTTCCCCTGAAGCATACCTACCATAAGTTAAATTCAAACCAAAAGAACAGTTTTATTTTTGCCAGCCGTTTGTAAAGAACATGGGCCAGGAATTTCTATCGCATTTTAATGATACATTGAATAAATTAGTTTTTTCTTCATAAATTATGAAATAAAAATGTGTTTTTTTTTATTAACAATTTAAATCAGTTCTTGTTCTTCTTCTCTTGTATTTATTTATTCCTTGCCTCTATTTACTTAAGCTTTAAGTAATGGTATTGAAATTGAGATAATATTATAGTCTTAACATTGCTTTTGCCAACATATTCTGCGTTTCTCAACATTTTTAACTTGTTTCTTTTATAAAGAAAAATACTTCCTAAATTCATATATTCTAATGGCTTCATAATCACTATTTCTTCCATCTATTCACAGCAACCTCTAGACACAGCATGTAATTTATTATTTTCAAGACCTTTTGTCTTATTTTATCAGTTGTTTGATCACTTGAAATGTGTAAATGTATAAATGAGACCGTTATGAGATTTTTTTTTGCTCATTTTTCTTCGTTCGATATTTTCTTATTCATTTTAATATTAATCTCATCTTGATAAATAACTGTAAATGTGTTTTTGGTTCATATTAATAAATATGTTTAGGTAGAATTTTTTTTTCAATTTTCTCTGTGTTTTTAAAAAAATCAGTTTAAAATAAGGATATTTGTTTGAGTTCGACTGACCCATATTATTATTGTTTGGTGTAAAATTTTATCCCAATCAATGGAACCGATTCAATGTTGAAAAGAAGAGTGTTACCGCTTAGTGTTTGTTGCCTCGTTTCATCATGTAAATTTCGTACGGCGTGTAGTAACGTTGTGCTGATTTTTTGTTGACTGTCGATTTTTCTCCATCTGCGATGGTGCACCGTTGCATCTCGTTGACTGGAACCGCGCTGAGTTCATCGAAGTCGGTGTCCGTGAACACCGTCCAAAACTGCCGTTTAGCATTTACCATTTCATTTTGAGCATTTTTACCGTTGTAGCCATTGCTGTTGTTACCGTTGTTTGCATCGTCGCCGTCGTCAGTACAATTGCTCACATCGGTGGTCTCTTCAACAAAATCGTTACGGAATTTGAAGAACTTCTCACTGAGCAAAATCGGGATGCGATCGTTGAAAATAACGTCTGGTTGCTCTAATGGTTTCGGCTGCACGTAACCATTTGGGAAATTTACGACAGCCGGCAAAATACCAGGCATATTTCGTAGCATTCGTGTGATGTCACCATCTTTGGCATATTCCGATGGATGAAGTGGTTCCAAAAACTCTTCCGGCGTTCGGATGGTTTCCTCTGGCAACGGTTCTCGAGTCTGCAGGAATTCTTCGGGGGAGATGTGATCATCATCATAAGCATATGATTTCAAATACTCATCCAAATCGCATGTTTGATACATAGCCTTCTCTTTAGTCTCCTTTGTCATGTTGCTGAAAAAAAAAAACAGAACATTTCAAGTTATCAATCATCAAAAAAAATGCATGAAAATTACCAAATTCACATATTATTGGTCGTGTTTGTAGTGAATTTAATGAATTTCAGTGACTTCAACCGATTCGATTTGAGCCAAGACATTGATCCATATTTCGAAATGCATTGACATATCTCAAGAAAATGTGCAAATCTTTGTATATTCTCATTGAAATTGTGCAAGTCAAAAAGTGTGATGTCAACAAAACCCACTTATCATTTCTCTGTTGAACAAAAACTATTTACCTTGCACAAATATCACCATTTCGAAATCTTTTTACAAACATCTTACATACACACAAAGCAACTCTTTCAAATGGATGAAAAACCTAACTGTATATCAGCCTTTTGGTTGAAAAAAAATAATAATAATACACCAATAGAAAATCACATTGCAACACAACCAAATCTGTCGGTCAAATGGTTCTTGAAGCGTGTGTATGTTTTGGAAATTACTTCGATGCATTCAAATGTTTCACAGAATTTCATGGTTTAACAAAACGTAATTGCATTGGAAAACCAGTGACAATGAGATGTAAGATGATTTCATTACAAAATGCAATTTTGGTTTATTTCAATTTTCAAATATTTTTACCTTTGAGTTTTGTCCAATGGAATTCGCTGCATCTGAACTTGAGTTAATTTGATGGAAATAAATTTCTTTTTTAGTTTTACACGATGTTATTTTGATTTTACCTTAAAAACAAAAGCGTGAAAATCCAAAATATTCTTTAAATTGTTCGTACATCGACTTAACTGAGTATGTTTGCTAGTATTAGTGCTGTCCGTTCTTTGCCTTGCTGAAATGTGTGTATATAAAGTGAAGTTGACGCGTTTCAATATGTCACATGTCATCGCACTGAAACGCCATGGAAAATGGAACCGCTTCATTTGTCATGTAATATTATTTGACAAATTCGACCAAAAATCGTTTTTATTACATTGCAATTACAAATTACATTTCGCTAAAAATTCAGTACAATTTGCACTATGTCCTACATGAAAAATATCTACACTTTTTTGCCGTTAATTTTTGTCAATTGTTTTCTCGAAATTCTATCAAAGAACAACAGACCGGCTGATCGTTCAACTGCTTCAGGTGGTACCTGCAAATATTTTTGCAATTTTAAAAAAAAATTACTTTAATATTTTTTTTTTTTAATATTACATATGTCAAATCATAATTCAACGTTGATTTTCGAGTTCAATTAAATTCCATTCAACTACCTGGAACACATTCAATGGTGTATTGTCGTCGATTACTTGATTTGGCATCACATACGATTCTAGCTCTAGCTTGCCATCCGGAGTTTCGCCAACGATGACTTTATAGAAATGTGTTGGAACCGCAACGGAATTATTGCCAATTACTTGATATTTTACGTATGCTTTGCCGTCGGCTTCTTTCTTCGGTAGATACAGTGGCCCAGTGCAAACGTATACATCTGAATACGATTTTGTTAATTTGCGAACGTGTTTTTCCAAGCGATTCCATGAATCTCGATTGAAGCCAGAACCGACTTGTGGTGCCATATTCGTAAGATAAAATGTTTGTACACAATGTTCTTGATGCGATTTATGATTGCCAGCAGCAGCCAAATGTCCTAAAATGAGTTGGAAATGGATGAGAAATCATTCGAAATGTCGGTTCCTTTGATGGAATCAATACATGGAAATTGATTCTTCTTCAATATTTTGTTTGATTGCAAGAGCTTAATCCGTCGCATGTTTTTTTTTACGGAGAAAAGTTTTCCCACCGCTTTACATTTACCTCGATCGAATCCGGAACCTTTGTAATCGGAATTCAATGAACGGAAAAATGGATGTATGCTTTCGTCGGGCTTAAAATCGCACTTGCTACGGTCAACACTTGGATTCGATTTCACATTTTCCAGTGTTAGGTGTTCGAACACCCAATGTGCGACACGATTTCTGCGGTCGTATGAAAGCACATAGTCAGAATACGAGCGAACATTATCCAATCCTGGAAAACCGTATTTCATAATTTGAGAGACCCGATTCGGTTGATCCAATTGGGATGGCTTTGGTGTATCAGGAACGAATGGTGTTGCAGCTGACACCGTTCCAAATATCGGAAGTGCTGGCATTGCGGTAAGCTTAACACGTGAATAGAACCAAATAAAAAAATACAATTAATTCACTTATTTCTATTGCGAATTGGAAGTGTGTACCTGTTTAATATCTTTGCCAGCATGAAGAACATAAGGATTAACCGATTGGTCAATAAGTGTGTTGCAACGATTCCGTTCATATGTAATGCCACCTATGAAACTGCCAATTGTGAGACCAGATAACGTGGCAAGACGAAATGCAAATTTTTTGTTCATTTTCAATTCGATATCACGGATAAATACCTCACAGCCAAACTATTGCTTCAAGTTTTATTGAAGCATATTTAAATTCAAAAATTTCAACCACAAGTCCCGAACACAGAGCGGACGATAGTATGACTTTTGAATAGATTGAGGCTAAGGGGTAATCATGAAGCATTTGTCAAATGAACCATGAATCAAATTGGCAAATTTGAAACGACAACGAAATGAAACCACAAACGTTCGCTGACACCTGAATTGAAAACAATGATTTTTCATTTATTTTTCATATTTATTTATTTTTTTATTCAAAATGGAAAAAAAAATTGAATACAAAACTAGGGGAATGGTTTCTTTTAATGCAATGATGAAAATGACCAGTAGTTCTAACAGAGAAATGTTACGATTTTAGTAGAGATGCAATCAATTTGAATTGATTTTCTTGTTTATTTCATTAAAAATCCACTTAGCGCTAATTTAAATATTAAAAATACGTTCGTAGTTGCATTTAGTTATTTTTGTTTGTTTGTTTGTTTTTAGAATTAGGGTCAAATTAAAGGTACATTCGTGGACATTGGACAAATGAAAATTACTATATCTAATTTGTTAAATACTCCAGTTTTTTTTTTTTTTGTCATTAGAAACATGAATAATCTCTCGTGGTTACTGTTGTTCAAACCAAATTGAAATTTATGAAGAAAAAATCCTGTTTTGTTTTATTAAATTAGCTCTCACAGATCAAGTGGTTTATTGTATTATTTTTTTCAGCATGTCTCTTTATTGCAATCCACGAAATTGCTTAATTCGGTTGAATTTGGCGGTCCTGAGCTATAAAGGTACGTGATAGGCCATAGGCGAGCCGATGCAATGTCTTCGAGATTTTGCAAACCACCAGGCTGTGGAGGCTGTTGATGATATGAGTCGTTGCTGTTGGTACCTTTTCGCTTATTACTCGTGTATGAAATTGGCGATGTTTTCTTTTTATTCGAACTGCTGCTACTACTACTGCTGCTGCTGCTGCTGCTGCTAGACACATGACTACTGCTGGAACTTAGTGGGAAATATCGATCGCTGCACGTTCTCCACTGATCTGGGCCCTCACCAACGAAACACCTAGAATATTTAAATTGTTTTAGCAGTTTTTATCTTGAATTGTGTTGGAAGAATTTTCATTTTTATTTTGTGCTAAAAGGCAAATTATTGAACTTATGAGAGTTCAAGAGAAAATGTTTGAAATTTGAAATGGAAAAATTAAAAAATTAAAAATTACAATTTTTTTTCTGGATTATTTTCGAAGTATTTGAAAACAAGAAATCCAAAAAGACAAATATCATACCATGGATAATCAAATCCTTGTGAGTATCCACATGGATAGTCAGATTTGCAGCAATAGTCCCATGCACCGACTTCATCGCCATCAATTTCGCAGGAATAGAAACCCGTTACAAGATTTTTGTTGCAAGATGATCCCATACGACATGCTTTTCCAGACACCGTAAAATGGCTCCACGTGTTTTCGCCTTTGTCAATTTTGGTTGATACATTAATTGATTTTATTTTTGTATGAAATTGGGAGGAAAAACCTGCTCTTACTAAATTCTAAACTGTACAGTAAATCTCTTTTTTCAAGCAAACAGATGCTGATTTTCTGTGACTGTGCGGGGGAGAGAGAGCTGGTGGATTGCATCATTGGTGGCTCGTAAAACAAGCACACCTTTGTACTAAAGTTTATTTACATTCCAGTGATTTACATCTAGAGAGAGTTTGGCTTATCTCGTTTGTTTTTAATAGGATTGTTGCATTACAAGGATTTTTTTTAGGTGCGTTATTTAGTGAATATCATTTCGGAAGTATTGCACAATTAGTATTTTCTAACAATTTTTTAAAACTAACCTTTTTGTTTACATAAAATCTATTTTTTTTTAATCAATACGTTATAAATTTTCGATTGGTTATTGAAAAAAAAATGCGAATGTGCTTGTTAAGTGCATAATGCGTAAATTATCCGTTTACCATCTTTCTCTCGGAATATATCCATGCGACGATCGTTATTCGCCCGATTGGAGCCCCCGACGGTGGCCACTTTATCGCGACACGTGAAATCGAATGGATTCCATGCAAATAGCCAATAGTCACGATCATTTGTATGTGCATAGTGAACATTCAATTTCAGTTCGCTTTGATCTAAATCGGACATTTCACAATTGAACGTCGAGGCTTGTGAACTGCATTTTTTTTTTTTCAAATGAAATGAAATTGAAATGAATGAAAAAAAAACATTAAATCATTACTGTGATAAATGGAATTCTAAAATATCAAAATGTTCTTTCATACCCAAAACTGAATGAGTGGCATTTAAATGGTGAGTTCTCTCGGAAACGAATACATTCGTTTTTACAATCGAGTTCGGTTGGAACTGAGACCACTTTTTTAATAGCTGATGAAAGCAGTTTAGCCGGCGAACCATATCCTAAATAGCACACTGAGAAAGTTAAGAAGAATATTAGTAAATGTTTTAATCGAATTGTCTCTTAAATCAATTATATCGCTTGCGAATAGCCGTGGTTTTATATGGCTTCGGCGACTTTGTATGATTTCATCTCACATTTTTTATGTTTATCATCGGTGATTGGTTGAATTTCACATCCATGCCCGTAGCTAGCTCGCTCGTACACATCAAATGCACTGTCATGTATCAAATGCCGATCTTTATCCATATCACGAACAGGCCAATCGGAAAGTTGACAATTGTCAATGATGCTTCCTGGTGTCTTCGGGCCATATCTATACCAATTCAAATGACTTATTCATTCAATTCTATTTATCCATTGATTGAGATGCTTGGGTTTATACCTATACGAAAATGCACGACATGTAAACTTTGTGGTTTTGATGCATTCCATTTCACATTCTCCAACGGAGCGCACGGTCAACGAGTCTCGAACAATTGACTTATAAAATCTGGTAAAGTCAATTGCTCTGAAAAAGCATTCTATAAAAATCCGAAAATGTGCGTTTCAATCGAAGGAATAATCAGAACAGAGAAGAAAACGTATAAATCACACAATTTTTCCTTACGCGCATTATTTTCGTGGCGTCCATGTGTGGCCACTGGATTTGTGCACATTTGTGGATCGTCTGACATTGTATAAATGTCGTAATCTCGATTTGGTTCGACGTCTGTATAGAAATCCAAGTGGCTCATTGGACGATCGCAGAGCAGGCAATTATCCCTGGTTTGTGGTGAGTATTTATAACTGTAGGTAACGCAACGGAATTTTCGTTCGCTGTAGCACATTCGCTCGCATTCAGTTACCGTTGGCACATTGTATACGTAGCGAATGACGGCTTTGTGCAAACGGAATCCTTCGCTTGATTTCACCGAACAATCTGGCCGAATAAACAATGCAAAACTACAGCATGTTGTTTTTTTCTTATTTCTTTTTCATCAAAATAAAGAATAATAGATTTACCTTCTTGACCGGGTCGTCGTGTCCAAAGGCTGCCATAATAATTTCTATCCTTGTCATGTTCATAGCCGGTATCATATTTGCTACCCGGATAGCTAAGCACCGTATTTTCGTTTGGATTTATCTTCGGCCCATTGCCCAAATTGAAATAATTAAAGTTTGCATCGTTTCGTTTGTTCTCGTTTGACAATCCCCAGAAATCTTGTGATTGATGATTGTAATGTTGTGCACCACCGTACGTACCACCATAAGTTGCCCATGAGCCGGCATCTTTATTGATTGTATACGGAATGAATGGCTGTGATTGAGGTGGTTTTTGTGGTTTGTAATTTGGTGGCTGCGGCAATTCACGTTCTCTGTCCAAATAGTTGTGCGATGACGGGAAGTGTTCGGGTTTCTTTGGCCGGTAGCCAAACGATGAGAAACCAGAGTCATTTGGCGGTTTGTATGGGCCCAAGTAGTCATTGGATGATGATGATGGTGGGGGTCGTCGCGGTGGATGATAATCGTTGTCCTGTGAATAGCTTGGCCTAGGAAAATGTGGCGGTGGATCATTATAAATTGAGATTTCGGAATAAATCGGACGATCGATTGGCTTCACATTATCATATCGGTCCAAATCATAGTTTGACGGCCGATAGGCCGATGATGAGAAATGACTTTTTGAATCATAGCGATTGTATTCGAATGCATCAGGCGGCGGCTGGTGCTCATAATAATCGAATGGTAATGGACGGTACTTATCCTGGAAAAAAAGCGCATTTGTGAATTCAAAGTGCAGGAAAGAACATTTTTTCGATCATTTTCAAGATTTTTCCAAAATAAATACTTACGATGGCTGTATTTTCATAAGGTGGTTGGAAACGATCTGAGCCATGGTAGTTTCCGCCGCCGGAATTATGATGTGATGGTGGTCTTGAGTCTGAGAATGGTTTGAAGTTATCGATCGGGCGGTATGTAGTTGGTGGTGTATTGTAGTCAGGTGGTGTGGGCAGATATGGCTTTCCACCGGAGTGCGGAGTGTGATCACGTTCACGATCACGATCACCACCATCATTATAGCTTGATGGAGGCGGTTCAGGGAAGTATTTTGTTGGTGGTTGTGAATCGGGCCTTGGTAAATACGGCTTGCCGCCCGAACCACTGCCACAGTCTTTACAAAATGATGGCCGACAAGCGCTCCTATCCCGCTCATAGTAATCGTAGTCCGGGTGGAATAGAAGATTCTCATCACGACGATTGGGACTCGAATATATATCGATTTCGGCCAGTGGAACGTCAATTAATTCACAAATACCTTGACCTTGTCCACTGGGATCGAGTTGATAATTAAAACCTTCACACGGGAAACGTTTCTCAAGCGCGCATTCTGCTTGACAATCGTCGACTCGTTCACACGTTAATGTGCGCCGAACCCATTGTGGTGCTACACGTTTTCCAGCCAACGCGCGTCTAAAGCAAGCTAAACAAGAAATTCGAAAAGAAACACAGTTAAATCGAATCATATGTGAGAGGAAAAAGTAAATCGATTTCGCTCGAAATATCAGTTGAGTCTATTTGAAAATGTGTACATGTTTTTCATTCATTCATTCGTCAAAGTTTCATTCATAACCGTTTTCCATCAGAGCGATGTAAGAAAAACCGTATACGTATGTACATTGTACACAATGTAAATTGAAATTTATTGAGAAAACAACAACAACAAAAACGGCAGAAAAAAAAAATGAAAAATCATCTCGGCATTTTGTGTGGTCATATATTCGGATGGTGTGGTCGCGTGCGATGCGCATTTTATCTTAATGGGAATCACAACTCCAAAATATGTTAATCAACCTAATGAAAATATACAAAAATTATGTACGTGACATTGAAATGTTGTTTTTTTTTACCACGTCTCTCTTATACTTAGCCCATTTTGAATTGTTTACCTAATTAAAAAAAGGTTTATTTGAACGCCAATCGGGCAACGGTGTCTGCAATGGCATCAACCAACGATGAGTAAAACGCCATAAAAAATATAGTCGTTTCTCTCTCTCTCTCGCGCGCGCGCGCGAACTATTTTCATCGGTTCGTTGCTGTTCGAACATTTCATGAGAGAAATAAACAGTTCGTGAACGTGAAAAATGTGGAAAAACAATGTGAACGCTTTAATGCAGTTTTGCAATCGTTGCGAAAGTGCCAGGCCAACAAATTGACACAACAAAAAAAATTCACAGATCTATTTTGTTTCTGAAATTGCAATGGTGATTTCTTCGTGCTCTGAGCTCGATGCTAGTCTCAAGAAAAACACCACCATGAAGAAGACAAATTTTCCACTTTTGTGAACGTGCGACCAAAACATGTGACCTTAGCAACTCCCATTCGAGCTAATTTCTGAGTGTTTTTTTTTTCGTTTGATGTACACACACTCACACGCATCCAAAGTCCATCAAAAAATTTAATTTAACGCACTTTATTCCCATTGAATTCGTTTGTGCATCGCATGACAAATTTTTCATTGACCATTTCACAAGAATTGATGTGGAAAATGTTTCAAACACACGAAAAACAAAAACAAAATGTAAAATGAATTGGCATCCGTTATTTGTAAATTGGATCGATATGATACGCGAAGCTGGACAATTTCGATCGCTTATCGTGTGTTTCCATTGAATTTGTGCAGTCTCCTCTCTCCCTCTCTCAATGATCACCGCATACATACAAACGAAACACAAAGTGAGCAGAGGCAGATTGCGTCATCGGGCCGCGTCATGCTTGAATGCGCAAATCGCCACTGAGAAATTAACGAAAAATCGATCGATGTCAGATAATGCACAGTGTACAGTAATTGTTGATTATCATCGAGTGAAAATGAATGAGCGCCCGTCCGTTCGATCAGCCGCACGAGAATCTCGAGCCGAATGTATATGATTATTGTAATTACATTAGCACGAATGAAATGTATGCCGTTAACTTGTCGTACTCATCTCATAGCCTTTTTATTTAGGTAAATCATGTGAAAAAATTCAGTCAGTAGTTTACAATTGCAGTGCAATTCATCACCCAATCATACACATACACACACACACATACCTTTGGCATCTTCAACGATAATTATCGTACAATCCGTTGATACGCACAATATCAAAGCACAAGCTATGAAGCGAATCACAGATCGTAGCGGAAAATGTGTTTTTCTGTCTCGTCGCAGCATTTTCTGTTGTGTTCGTCGCACACTTTCGAAAATTCGAAACATCAATTTAACTTAGATCCGGATCGTTTTCTAGACTATGTCTATATAGATTATTGAGTGGAATGTTCGTCCGAGCGAATGTTTGTTTGTGTTTCTATTTTCAAAATATCAGAGATTTAGATGACTCTTATCTCATCTCAATTTTGCTCTGCTTGCACTAATTAAATTCGGTTGTCAATGTTTACACTTTTCTCTTTTATTTTCTGATGCGAATCTGCTATGATCAGCAAATGAAAGCGAATTTGTTTCAACTATAAATCGATTCACTACGCCCGCATGCCCAACGCGTTCATTCACTTATTCTGTACTAATTTTCAAGTCAAAATAGGAATTGTGGAATGAAATGCAAACATTTGTCACAGACACTGGCTTCCGGTTCTCAACACTAATAAATTATGCTGACATCCCAATACGCGTCATATAAATCGATAGATGCAAATAAAACAATAAAGAGAAGAAAAAACTAATCACAGCTAAAAATGGGGCTTTTGTTATCACAATATAACGATCGACATGATGATTGCACCGATTTTCCTAAATTTTCTTCTTTTCGGCGAGAAAATGACAATGAGGAGCGCCGAAAACACAATGCGTGCTTGCTTCGTTTTAGTTTGTTTCTGTTTTTCCTCCGTTCTCAAAAGTCTTTTTATTTTTATTTTTTTTTTATCGGAGATTAGTCGATAAACTTTTGCTTTTGTTTATGGGTATGAAGACAAGTCGACTGAAACTCAAGTACCATTTGTATGATGTATTTATAAGTGTTGTTATGGCGCGTCATTTCGCAAAACTTTGCAAATAAATTGTTACCACTTTTAAAGCACTCGGAGCGCGTAATTCGTGTCTGTTGATTTTTTTTCACCACTCGCTCGCTCTCTGTCTCTATCGGTGTCACTGTGTATGGGTGTCTTTCTGTGAATGATCCTATTCCTCTGCACTTGATATGCGCCTGTGCCTGTGTCTGTGTCTGTGTCTTTGTTTCAGTTCAGTTTGGCTTGGCGGTTGCGGCTATTACATTTTTTTTCCCATTTGTAGTGGGGTGATTCTTCTTGTTATTATTGTTGCGGTTATTGTTTAATGTATACAATATACTCATAAAATGTATTTGTTTATGGGCCGTTTGTGTATTGTTTCAGTTCTCTCTCACTCTATCTCTATTTGTATGCATTTACAACCGAAAATGTGCGATTTTAAACACAATTTGATTTCAAGAGAGTGCTGCTTTTTGTTTCTCTCTGTCTTTTTCCTCTCATTCTATCTCTCGCTGCGCTGTCTATCTTCACATGTTCGAAATTCAATATGCATTGAAACGTCTCTGTTGCATTTTTCTAGTGATAGATACTGATTTGTGTGGCTGGTTTTGGTTAAACGCATGCAAAAACTGGCCAACTGTACGTATCAATCGTTGGCTTCCCGACCGAATAACAAAGGGCCAATTTCCATAAGTTGAAGTACAATCGCCAATGCGATCGAACATACACACATATAATCCGAATCGATTGTGTAATAAATGGCCGAAAAAAAAGAAACAAAAGAGAGCGACAGAACCAAATGCTCTGCATCGAAGTGGCCATCAAATCTTTCGGGAAAATCGTAAAATGCTCCACTGTTAAAAATCACATTAGAATCTCCATGTTGCATGCATATTTTGACGATGGATGCGTTTCATATCCATAAAATTTATTTGATTTTTGTTCTTGTTTCAACTGTGTACTCATCGTTTCCTTTGTACACCCATCTTTTGTTATTTCGGCAAACTCATCATTCCGTTACACCGTCTTTTGAGTGAGTTTCTGTTCGTCTTTTTTTTTTCTCCTCCAGTGGCTTAGCGTGTTTTTGGTGTATTTATGCTTCAATTTACTGACCAACGCAAAACGATGAGCACAGTTGTTCTTATGCGCGCGGTTTTTTCTGCTTGTTGTACGCGAGAGACAGATGTTTTGTTTGAGATGAGTGTGAGTTTTCAACAAAATCAAGGACAAAATCCATTCTCGTGTTCGGTCAGCTTGAAATTTTCAGTACTTTTGTTAAAATATCTCGATGTCTTCAATTAATCTCTATTCACATACACGATGTGCTGTGTTTATTTGGTTTGTTCTTTGTCCGTTGCTATTGCTGTCTTCGTCATCACCGCCGCATTTTGTTTCTTCGCAAAAACGTTGTTTCTCTTTGTTTTTACAAATATATTTATTCCATGACGGAGTGTTTTTCTCTCTATCTCTCGTTGTTTATAGTTTTCAGATTAAATCCGCCGCATTTTTATTGTAGCCTTTGAATGCGTTCTTCTCTCGCATTCTCGGTGTGTGTGTGTGTGTATGTGTGTTTTTTTGCGGTCAATTCATTTGTCTTGTGGGTGCTTTGTACCGTACTGCCACTGTTGTTGTTGTATTTTCATTAACAGGCTACCAAAAACAAAGTGTCCATCAAGTGGAGATATTTTATGCACATAAGCAACAACATCGATGGGAATGTGTAATTTATGAGTGTAATGGCCGCGATAACCACGCGCTGGTTTGATTCAGTTTGACCGGGCTGGTTCTCCTCCCTTCGGCACTCAGAATGGCCGCAGGCCAAGAAGAAAATTTATATTTTATGCGTATCGGTGTGACTTTTGCTGAGCTGAACATAAGATCGAAATATTTATGATTTTTTTCCGAGAAGTTGAAGGTTGATCGAATCTCCCCGCGCGTATTGTGTTCGCTTCCGAACACACACACACACACACACACACACACACACAATGTGAATGGATTCGAACAAGTTTCGATTGTTCGTTACAATAAATTCATTAAATCAAATGGTTCGGGTGAAAAATGAGCCCAATGCACTATCACACACATGATTGCCACTTGAAATTTGAGTGGCCATCAATCATAAGTTGCAGATTTTACACGGCTTTTTGCCGCGAACCAATCATAACTGCTTCATTCATTTTTCATTTATTTTCATTTTTTGTTTGAGACCAACATTTTTTCATACTCTGAACTTTTTCGGTCATTATTTGTTGGATGAAAACAATATGATTTTGTTTTTATCTCAGAATTAAAATGTTATGAACAATGAATGCATTGGGTGAACTTGAATCGCTCCAAAAATGTGGCAGAAGAACAATTGAAAAATGTCTGTGAAAATGAATGAATGAAGGCAAAATTCTTTGTTGAGAGAAAATGAAGCGTTGTCGTACTTTGTTCGAAAGAATCTGCCACTTTTCTGTTAGCATCCACGATCCATTT